TTACTGCTATTGCTTTAATAGTGAATGCGACTGTGAGCGAGTTAACTACAAATATCCGATTAATCGATAATCGCTTGTAATCTACAGATTATTGACTTATCGTGGCAATACACAGAGTACTTCGCTTAGTAAATACATTCTAAAATACTGGCAACTTAGTTATTTATCAAAATTACCGTTTATGTGAAATAATAAAAACTATAAGATTTGATGTTTTAAACTAAGGTAGGCTACAGAAATGTAGGTATATTACAGAAACTCGTAGTAATTGGTTTCTTTTAATAAATAAGTTGATTGCTTTTTTACTTACTTCGGAAATGTCAAACCTCAAGTATTAAATTTGCCATATGAAAGTAAAACACATATTAATCATTACACGCTTTCAAAGAAAACGGTTTTCAAAATATTAAACAAAATATTTTTTATATACGATATTATAAACAAGTGTCTATTAAATCCCTAAATATAGCCTTCGTATAGTTAAAACGCAGGCTTCACATATATTTTACTCTGTGACAAGGTTCGGGTACACAATAAAGTAAGTGCGCCCATATGTACACAATGGAGTAATGTCGCTGTCACACACATGCCCCGCTAACGTAAATATCGCATACTTTGACAAAGAAAACAATTGTGCCGATGTTTTCGTTATCTAAAATTCAAGTATGTATTATATGAGACCATAAAGTTCTGCACATTATAATGTAATCTTAAGACATCTCATTCGTGATTTTTTTGATTTTTTATAGCTAATATCGTTATATTATAATTGTAAAGAAAATATCAAGTAAAAAAAAATACAAAATCAATATATAAAAAAATAAAAAAATATCATGACGATACGGATATATACTTTAACGACTGCCACCTCAATTTTCCTACTTACATATATTTACACTTTTTAATGATTATAACTTAATCAAAAAGAAATTACATTAAAAATATTATTATAGATAAAATTCAAAAGCAATAAAGATTATAATTTTTTTTTAATCACACGCATATTTCCTATCCCTATACAGTAAATAATATTTTAGATAACTAAAAATACGTTTTCAAAAGATTGTTAATGTCTCATACATATCTAAACTAATCAAATAAGCCCAAACTCGAAGGTATACATAGGAAAGTACTAGTTAGTAGCCATTAAAGAATGCCACCTCCATCTTGAGATCAGATCAATGGTAACAAGTTATTGTATTGTTATTCGGATTTCATAGACAAAGTACTTAGACTACAAACTCAAAAGCAATTAGTCAAGTGAAAAGATAATAAAAGCTTTATAAAAAGTTGACGGTTTTTTGTGCATGAAAAATGTATAACACTAGCGACTCACTCTGGCTCCGGGTTCATCCCTACTTTCGTTTTAACGTTTAGTATAAATTTCTCAACGATGAGATATTTTTCCGCAGTAAAAAGTATCCTATACCCGGATAACCAGCTAGCCGGATACCAAATTTCGTCAAAATCCCTACCGTGTTTTCCGTGATGCGGTCGAATACAGACAAACAGACAAAAATTCTAAAAACTATAGATTCGGCCTCTGTATCGATAATAATGTTTATTTCAATAAGATTTTCCATAAAATATTTAATGTACAGATTCAACTCAAGTTATAATTTTATTATCTATACTAATATTATAAAGAGGTAAAGTTTGTGATCTTGTGAGTTTGTGGGTTTGTGAGTTTGTGACGTTGTAGGGGGTAATCTCTGGATTTACTGAACCGATTTTCAAAATTCTTTTACCAATAGAAAGCCACGTTCTTTCTGAGTGTCATAGGCTATATATTAACCCGAAAAATGAAAAGGCTTTTACGTGGAAGTCGGATTTGCAAAGTAAGTCGGAGAAAAAACGGTCGAACGAAAACGTTTCTTACGAACGCTGCCTTAACGATGAGAGATATATGATTATGTTCTAGAGAAAAGTTGTAGAGCTTAATAATGCCTACAAAAAAGTCAGCGACAGCATATGTCTAACTTTTATATTTAAGTCACAAAAAGTAGTTTTTTATATTAAAAAAATAATTTAAATCGGTAGGTCATGTTTATTGGTCATATTATCAACAATTATGAATTCTTATCAAAATAAGTAAACTTATCGTCTAAAATGTTTAAAACAAAAGACTTTTCCCTTTTACTGCATATAATTTGGACAAATGGTTAAAGAGATAATACAACATATTCGTAGGTATGGACGAACCCGAGCGAGCTGTTTGTCTGTTTTTCTGTTTGTACGGGCTAATCTCCGAATCTATTGGACCGATGTAAATGAAATTTTGCATTGTGGTACCTTATATCCCCGGACTACATCGTAGATACTTTTCATTCCGGAAAATTATAGAGTTCCCGTGGGATAGTTAAAAAACTATAACAACTTATACAGCTTAGTACACAAAAACTTACGCACCTAATTTAGTAAAATTTGGCATGCTGATACCTTATATTGCCGGTCAAACAACAGGTTACTTTACATCTCGGGAAAATGAACGGTTCCCGTGGGATAGATCTGTTTATGCTTTTCTAGAGGTGAACCCGAGCGAAGCGAGGGTGAGCCGCTAGTATGTATAGATAAAGAAAAACATCTTCTTAATAGCGATCTCTTGCACGTCAGGATTATAAAAACTGTAGATTTGTCTTTCTAAAGATTAAATTGAACGTGACACTTTAGTTTAAAATGGTTTAATTTCTATAAAAATTAAACACGCCATACAAACAATAGAGCTTCAGTGAATAACAACAAAAACCTGTACTCAAAACATGTGTCGTTGCTTTTAATTAAACGAGACTTTCGTGAGCTGTTTGATAGGGCGTTAAATTCTTTTATTTATATTGACAGATTTCTTTTTGTCCCGGTGAAAGTGCACGGGGGACACAGGTTTTGAAAAGTGTCACGAATAGTTTGCCTTTGGGTATGAAATATAACAAAAATATTAATATTTCAATCCTTCTAACTTTACTTTAGCTAACCTTTTTTTTTAACTATGGGAAATGCATTTAGGCATACCATCTGCATATATACAGGTGGTCATGTTGGACTTACCGGCAAAGCCAGTACTACCCACTAAAACCCAACAGAACCTTCCCCCGTCTTAATGAGGCGTCGCAGGATCTCTTCCGCACTTAAACACGACGCCCCGACGGCAGGTCTGCCGAAGCAGACCACAAAAACCATGGGATTGCTCCAATAGTCCACTCTGCCGACAGAGAAGTACCAGGAGCAACCCGCATGACACACCGCCCACTGAGGCGGGCTACCTACCAGTGCGTTTCTTGGCTTCGCGCCTCGCTGGATTGCAGGATGCTAATGAGTCTGCCGACCACGACAAGGTGAACTCACGTTTGGGGGTTCTTTAACTAACTACGCAAGCTACAGACTAGTTAGCAGACTGCGGCCTTTCGAAAACCAGTTAAGTTTTGTAAGACCGTTTTTACAAGATTTATCGTTGCGTATGGCCAATTGATAATAAAAGTTGAAGCGTCCAAATCGATGTATAGTACAATGTAGTAAATCCAAAATAAAACAATCTTGTATACTTTTTACCCCTCAACGACAGAGTAGGATGTTAGTGCATTAGAGAAATTAAATTATTACTAGCTTGGAATCTGTCAAGAAGGTTTGAAAATATTATACTTTTTATTATCTTAGATAAAAAGAAAATATTTCTTTTGAGTAAATTAAATAAGTATAAGATACTTTTTGGAAATAAATAAATAAAAGAGCTATTAGAAAGAATTGTTCATATAAAGCGATAATTATTTATTCAGCATATGAATAATATTTATTTTTGATCTTAGGCCAAGCTACGTACCTAATCTATATCTATTTATTTATATTTTATATAATAACATTGTAACTAAGCCGAATCTGTACATTAAATATTTTTGGAAAATCTTTTTGAAATAAACCTTATTTAATTATTATCGATACAGAGGCTGAATTACTACTTACTTACGGAACTACTCCCTTTTAGAATTTAGGCAAGAACATGAAATTTTAGGCAGAACCTTCTGTCCGCCTCCCTGCCCGGTAACGCTATAAAGGCCACTAAGGCCAACGTTGTATTTGCACACTTAATGAATATTTTTTATTATATTATTCGGTATATTATATAATATATAATATACCGAATATTTTCTTAGATTTACGCGACATTTTAAATAAAACTATCTTTTCGGATGTTTTCGCAGATTTATTTTGATCTTTGGTTCCCGACGTCTCGAATGCTTCAGAGCAATCATGGTCACAACAGAGGCTCTCCCGACTTCAGTCTAAAAATTTCGCGAAAAAATCCGAAAAGATAGTTTTATTACCTATTAACAAAAAGAAGGTTAAAAAAATCTTACCCTTTCCAAAAACCAGTTACCCCAAACAAAAATAACTAAACTTTCTAACAAACTTCTTGTAACTTGCTTAAAATAGAAAATTACCCCCACATCCCATCCCCAACGAGGGGCGAGCGCTAGTGCATTAGACAAATTAGATTATTACTAAGGTGGTGTATCTATCAAAGGAAATGTCGAGCGATACATTAACCATATATCTACATGTATGTATATATGTATATGCATATACTATGTAACAAATTATATTTGCGTGCACTGAAGTAAAGCCCACATTGTCTTGGGAATAGAATATTTAGTATATAATAGCGTGTATCACATCAAAGAGACTAAAATGGGTCATAGGTAGGCAATTGGAGTTTAGGTAACTGCAAAATGAATTTAATATTAACAAAGTAAATTAAAAAAAAATTAAGAACAGTATATTCCGTTATTTTTAAGATTGTTTAATATCATAACTAGTTTAATTTTCAAATATACACAATATATTTCTTGTTCATCTAAAGAAAAAGCATCTGAAAAAGTAATAAATGTAATAAAAACATTCTACAAACTTACCTCATTTGCTTGACACTCTGTTCCCTCCGATTACTTCAAAGGGATATAGCGTCAAGTTACGTATTTATGTATGTACATATTATGTATGTATGAACGTACCTTATAATCTGATGTGCCCTATTCCTCAACAAGGCCAAAATCTCCATTTCTTCTTTCGCATCCTCAGTTTCGTCTTCGTGTAGTCTACTTGCGCACAACACAGAGTCCAGCGCCACGGACAGACAATCTGCTAACTGCTTAGCTAAATCCATCTCCCTTTGATCTGATTGAAGATCTTTTTCCTGGAACACATACACAGCTTTACATATATTGATTTAAAAATAAATCGCAATTACTAGGTTTTAGTCGTAGCCAGGTTCTATTGTATATAGTAGTTTAGAATTATTGCTTCTATAAAACGTAAAATTTCTACTCCATAGAATTTGTTGCATTCCCCATAATATAAAACATAAACTACATTCAAATTTTATTGAAATCCGATCAGAGCTTATCTCTTACAAAATACTAAAAACTTTCGAACTAAGGTATTTATAATAATCTATATGAAACAGTGAAATGCAAACTCAAAAATGACAATAACTAAGATCTTAAAATTTTGCCAGATGATGGTTTGTGTAATTTAAAAGAAAGGTTTCCTACTACTTCTAATAGGTACGTAATCGTAAAAAAATACTTTAATAATAACAATAAAAAGACCAATGGATGTTATGGAGAAATAGAAAATATAGGCATTGTGAACTAAATCAAAGGTATTGCAAAAGTTTAGCAAAAGGAAAGGTTTGTACTTTATCAATATGACGACAATTTGTCATCCTCAAAATTTATATTAATATGATATTCCCATCGATATATTTGTATTATGTTTATATATATGTTTTTTTTATTAGGTTAGCATGTGACTGCCATAGATATTTGTCCGTGCCTTTTTATTCAAGCTTTAGTTTGATTGTTTGTGATTCTTCTTTTATGTTTTAAAAATCAGGTTATAATCTCGCGTTCAAATGAACCGTTAACTTACTCTCCAATGTTAAGGTTTACAAACAGACATACAATACATATGTCATAATGTATAAACATAAAGAGCTCTTTTACTATTATAAATATATATTTACGTATAAATAAAGGACGAGAAGGTATAGCATAGTTCACGAGTGTAAAAATGCAACGCACGCCGACCATTAGACGAGGTTACGTGGGTACTGTATCAGCGCGATAGCACATTAGAGATCGAGTGCGTTCACATCGGGCGAGCTACTTGCCTATTCAACTTGGATAAGGGGAGTATTTTGAAGATTCTACAGAATAAATCAAATAAAAAAATTATGTATTTTTGTGGAGGCTAAGGAGTTTAAGGAGATTTAAAAAAAGTTAATAAAATAAAATACATTTCAAAATCCTAAATTCGGCTAATTTAATATTAATTATAGTACATGTATATTATTTTAATATCATAAAATTCTATACGACATATTTACACAAAACCTAACACTGTGATCAGACAAGCACTTATAAAATCGTAAGACAAATATAGGTTGAGTGTAGCATTAATATACAAAATTGGTCCTAAAATAACAAATTTGGCACGCATCGAGATTTTATCGCGTTTTGTTGCGACCGAGACCTCGTAAACAACTAGATTTACTGCATCTCGACAAGTAAAAAGCAAAAAATTAAAGATGGTGTCATTGATAACCGCTAATAACACAGCACACGGTCTGTACCTTCAAATGCATCCTAATTAATATAACATTATGGAATGGGAGCAAAATTCGAAATGGGGTGGACACTTTTTTTAATTTATTTACCTCGATGCATCTTACATCGTTGAGGTGACCTTAATTAATAAGCGATTCGATGTTTTTAGACATATTTACAATGAAAATGTTGTTGAATATAAAACGATGAAGATTATTATGGAATCATATTTTTGGAGACAAACAAAGTTGATATAAAAAGTTACACTTTGTTTATTCCTTACTTACGTATCAATTTTCATGCTTTATCGGGCTATTATTGTATATCGGAAAGTCTGTATGTGAGTGTATGAGTGTATTTTATATTGTTACTCCGTCACGCTGAAACGGTTGGACAGATTTAGATAAAACTATGAACTCATGAGAGAGAATGATCCGCTAGTATTGTATAAAAGCAAAATACCAGCCACTCAGAGATTGCAGAAGTTTAGTTAGAAATGTCATAAATTTGACATTAAATAGGGAGGTTATTCAATTCATAGGTAAATTCATAGGTAGTCGAGAGGTTAGTAGTAGGTTCAAAGGATTTTTGTAAATTCAAGTTATAAGTGATAAAAAGCAGTTGAAACTTTATATGAAAATCTGTTGTTTTACATTAAGTTAATAAGTAAGTTTCATCAAAATTAAAAATAATCTTTCTAATCTTTAATAATTAAAAATTACAATTATTCTAATTCATAGTATTTAAGCTAAAACCTCTGGATATGAAAATGTTAGAATTATATGAAATATGAGATTTCATTTTATTGATGATGATTGGAGAAAATAATTTTAGTAATATGAATACATAAATGAAATGGAAAAAAACTAATCATTAAATATTTAGGTTAATTTAAATACTGCTAACTAATAACTCAAACACTAATCTCGTTTAAGTGAGATAAACGAAATCAAGAACACTCGCAATTAACACACAGAACCAAAAACTTTATGATACGGCGATGAGCAAGAGATAAGGGAGGAGAGAACATATAGGTACTTTTATATTGGCGGTACGGATGCTGTATTACACTGATAGTCTAAGATCCCGATCTATGTGATGGACCCCTCATTTTTTTTCTCTTGTTCCAGGCGAAATATATTTTTTAAACCATAAAACATATTAACAAATACGACTCAGGCGGGTTGTCAACAACCCAAACCCCCCCCCGTAGTGTCCGGCACTACAGCCGGGCGCGAAGCCAAGAAACGCACAGGGAGGTGGCCCATATCGGTGGGAGGTGGCCCATATCGGTGGGCGGTGGGGGGTGGCCCTCTGCGGAGGGCGGTGTACCATGCGGGTTGCTCCCGATACTTCTCTAATAGCAGAGTGGACCTTGGAGCAACCCCGTGGTTGTTGTGGTCTCCTTCGCAGACCTGCCGTCGGGGCGTCGTAGTTGAATGCGTAAGCGATCCTACGACGCCCCATTAAGACGGAGGAAGGCTTTGTTGGGTTTTAGTAGGTAGTAGTTGCCACATCTCGTGCGTAAATGCATTTCCCAACGTTAAAAAAAAAGTGGGTTGTCACCAAAAATTTGCTCCACACTATTTTTTACTAAATAGCGTCTAGTCTGAAGATGTTTTAGTATGACAACACTATGTCATTAAATTTGTTATTAAATTGTCTATACATAATTATACATACGAGGTAGTTAACTACTTCAATTTACTTGTTTATACCTGGATGTCAGGTAATTTGGTTAGGAAAAAGGCCGCTAAACATATGATGGCATTTTCTACAAGTCTTTTTCTTTCGATTGATACTAAGTTGTCACAGAAAAATAATTCTTGTACTTATTAAAAAACTATATTTATTTTAATTAAAAATAGACTACACCAAATTTTTGGTGACCACCCGCCTGGGTCGTGTTTGTTAATATGTTTTATAGTTTAAAAAAAATCGCCCGGGAAAACAGTGAAGCGTCCACCACATTGATCGAGATCTCCTACTATAACAACAACAATGTTACATATAAACTGTCAATAAAACGTAATCGCCCAACGTTAATTAAGAACGTATGCGAATTATATGAAATTTTTATTCAAATCCCCGAATCGAAATTACAGTTTTAACATCGTTCACTGCAAATATTATCTCTTCAATCAACCGTTTATGAACAATATCTTATCAATTTTATTATTTTTGAGACCGTGATTAGATTTACTGAATATTTACATTAAATTAACAAGAAAGTCAGATGATTCTCAGAAGCAAAAATTGTATAATATTTTTTTATAAAATATAAATACATATTTGTTAATTCAAAACGTATTCAAATAATTTAAATGATGCGTGATATATTTTAAACTAAAGATAACAAATATTTTATAAATACGTTTAGTAACTATGTAAAATTAAAATAACTTTGAAACTAAAATCTATTTGAAAAAAAAAACCAGTATGACATAATAGACAAGAATTAAAAAAAAACATTTGTCTCGGATAATAAACCTAAATAGCTAAACTAACATTATATCTTCCAAAATATTTCGAAAATTTAAGAACATGCATATTCTGAAAATGTGATAGTGTCATCAACTAGGGTAGGTACTTTTCCTCGTTGCAAATTATTCGGACATGAAAATATCGAGGTGCGAGACCCAGGATTTGAACCCGCTTCACTCGGTTTCCAAAGCGAGCGCGATACCACTGGGCTAACACTGACCTATTTGTCTATTAAGTTTTAAAATTCATTCGTTTGATACGATAAACTATCCGTGCAGCATTTTTTCGTTAAAACTAATTTTAAACATAATTATTATTTATTATTATCTTACAATATTTTCCTCCTAGTATGAAATTTACAACCATAAAAAAACAGATGAAACTACTGAAATGAAAAAAAAGACTATATATTATAAAATAGGCAAGTAAACTGAATAGAGTAAACGCTCCCTCTGGATGCATTAGCGCCGCTTTTAAGGCGCCCGCCCACTCACCGCTACCGGGAGTACTCAGGGTTGACACAGTAATACTATCCTTTTAAAACTATTGTTTTTTTATCTATCTTATCTATACTCATATTATAAAGAGAAAAAAAAATGTATCCTTATTTGTAGTGGATAAACTATAAATCCACTGAACCAGTTTAGATGAAATTTGGTATGAAGATAATTTGAGACCCTGGGAATGATATAGAATAGTTTTTATCCCGGAAATCCCATAAGGGGGTGAAAAGGGGGATGAAAGTTTGTATGGGAAATCTAATCAATTCTCAAGTAAGGGATATATAATTATTCATCATACCTATGTATATATGTAGGTACTAATATATAGTCTGTCTATTACATACTAATAATTAAAATGTGTCTCGCAACATTTTGTTTCATTTCAAAATAGACTACCCTATATACATACATAGTATATGTATTTATTTGAAAAAAAGCTCAAGGAATCAAAAAATATGTGTGTGTGTTTGTTCTCCTGAATATTCCAAAATGGTTAGTCGGACAATTTGAAATAATGTCTTAATACTTTTTTATCGTAGACTAATTTATTATCGTACATAAGACGTGAATGAAACTGTGTGCGGAAGATCGGAATAATTAATAGATATTGATCTAGGTAAAAAAAATTAGATATAAAAGAGAAAATATCACATGGGAACCTGAACAGTCGAAAACCCGTTCTACTGCGAAGAGATTACTTATCCCCTAAGAAGTCAAACAGTTATAAAAACTGTAATTTTTCATAAAATGAGGAAACCTTATGGCGGAAATGACCAAATTTAATAATCTTAATAAACTAAGTTTTAATGAAAAAAAAAATATAATAATCTAAAACTTTCAAAACAGCCATCCCTAAAAACGCAAAGGCGCGACCGACGCGACGTGTGCTTTATATGATCGACCCGCACTGTTTAACTGCGAGTTATACACATACCGGGGTTATACAGAGATTATTATCACGTACCTAGTTTGAACTACGAGGACATTATAAATATAATAACAATTGGTGTATATCTATATCATTATAATAAGGATGTTCCTTGTTCCTTTCAGTAGCATATGTGTGTTACTCCATCTGTGCATATAATATAATTTCATTAAAATTTGTCCAGGCGTTTAAGCGGAAAGGAGTAATAAACATACACACGCCTAATAACTTTCGCATATAATTAGTAGTCCGATTCAAAATTATTCTGTCCGTATATCTGCTAAATGGTAAAATCGATTGATATTGCTATATGGTAAAATCGATTTTGATAAAGTTTAACAGAAGCATATTTTGATATAATTTTTAATATTAATTAAATCTTCCTCAAGATCCAAAGTCATTCCTCTACAAAAGATATTTGCAAAAGTAAAATACCGAAAGAAAATTTGGTACTTTTACATAAAAAAAAGGTCAAGCTATAATTAAATAATTTAATAAAAAGAAACGGTGAATAATTACAAAAAAAAACACTCGAGCGACGGATTTAAATAAAATTCGAAATAATTATAGTGTTTTCTCCAGACATTAAGAAATTAAATAAAAAAAAATACCTTTTTTTAGAAAAATTATGTATTACCTAGCTGACAATGGAAGCAAAACCCATAGAAACGAAAATTGAGATCAATTTCAATAAGAAATGGCATACGGTACTCTAAAAGAAAGGCTATATTTACAACCCCATAAGCGTCGAACCCACGACAAATAACAAATACCATGTTAAATATAACTACACTACGACAGTAAAGTAACTCGATTGGGTTTATCGAAACAAAAAATAACGACCAAACTAAAGTACTCTAGCGATAAAACATCGTAAAACATGTAAACTAAAGGTTGATTGAAAGACATCAAAACTAACTGCCGGAAGAACGCTACCCCTTTCAATTTGATAAAAAAACTTTCATTTTGGGGTAAAGTTAGAAACGTTTATTGTTGGAGATGATTTGTTCCTTCAATGCGTGTAATGTGACACTAGTTGTACCATTCGATGTTGCTCGCTAAAGCTTTTGCGAATTTTAAAATAAAACTATGTTTTCGGATTTATTTTGATTTTTGGTTTTCGACGTGTTAACTATGCTGTAAAGCATTATAGAAATGTCGGGAACAAAAATCGTAATAAATCCGCCAAAAGAAAGTTTTAGTTCAAAATGTCACATATTTGCGTAAATCTAAGAAAGTATTATGATTTTTTTTCGAATAATTTATCTATGTATCCTAATTGCCTCGATTTGATTTGCTGTTTTACCGGCTTGCGCTGGACCAATCGTAAATGTATATGAAGTAATGAAGACATTATTTGAAACTCGTAACGCCATCTATAATGTGGTCGGGAAACTTTTTGGTAAAACTTATATAGAGCTTTCAAGTAATAATCAAACTTAGTGATAGATGTCGTTAGAAGTATAAAATCAACATTCAACTAATAATATTTTTGATTATAACAAAAAACATGTTTTTAGGAATGCTCTAACGTTAAATGGATATTATTATAAAATTATATGAAGCTTATTTAATAAAATCCGAAAAGATAGTTTTATTTAAAATACTTTAAACATATTTACTAAAGAAGTATAATAATACTTTTCGAGTAAGCGCCATCTATCGTCAAAGCAAAATAGGGCTAATGAAGTTCTTAAGTATAATCGCATCATATGTATATGGATGTTTGTGTGGTGTAATAATGCGATGTGTGTGATATGACACGGGTGATATGACATGGGTGATAATATAACATGGGTGATAATATAACACGGGTGATGACAGACACACCACGTACCATCTGCCGGGCCAGCAGCGTGGCGTGGTGCACGCAGGTGTTGGTGGCGAGCAGCTGCGCCGCCGTGGCCGTGCACGACACCATCACGCGCGACACCAGCGTCACGCCCGTCGTCAAACATCTGACGGACAGATTAAATTATTCACTATCAGGTTTTTTTTAAATTACATTACTTTCAACTGCAATGAACACCTGTTAACGACAATAACAGACGATATTATTTTTAAAACACTAAAAAGAACGTCAATTCATTTAATTTCAAAAGCACTCTCACACTCACGTCATTAGGCCAATATTATTTCAAAAGCACGTCTTTCGTCAGGTATCTGACAGACAGATAATATAATTCCAAAAAAAATTCTCCATCCGCTGTCAGACATTAATTCGGCGTCATCAGGTATGAATCGGAAACTTTGTAAATATGAAAAATCCAAATAACAATACAATATTTTAATACGAGTAGGACCTAATGTTAACGAGTCAGGTAAATCATAAGTGATAATTCTTGTATATATTATATTTTTTTATCTAAAAATATTCCACTTTATAACCATAAAAAACTAACTTGGCCGATATAGGAGGGTTGAGAGTTTCCTTCTCCGCGGCGACGGCTAACATCTGCGCTATCACTTTCACCGCTTGGAACCTTTGCACGGCTGCCTTTTCTGTCATGTTTTGCTGTTTAAAGATAATATATAATAATATGAATACTAGCAGTTCAAATATTATCAGATACGTTGATAATTCATGTTTTAATAATAAAAAAAATTTATGCAATTTTTTGTATTCATTACTATGAATTAAAACTAATAACTTAAGATATGAAAAAATCTTAAAATCACGTTATACAAATTTGACTACTAGGAGTTTTATTTTTTGGAATTTATGTCAGACCTTTGAGTAATATATAAACTACTAGCGGCTCACATTCGCTTCGCTCGGGTTCGCCTCTAGGAAAACAATTACAAACCTATCCCAAGGGAACCGTACATTTTTCCGGAATAAAAAGTGTTATTTTAGACTATATATATTCTCTGTACCAAATTTCATCTAGATCCGTTCAGCCGTTCTGGCGTGCAAGAGTAACAAACTTCCATATTCACAAACTTTCACATTTATAATATTAGTAAGTATAGATTCATTAAAAAAGAATAATTATAAAAATCTATCTACGAGTGGGGAAAATATCACGAAAGATCTTCTTCAAATAGATCCTTATTCAAATAGATAAAAAACCCTATTATATGAATGCTAAACCAAAGTATGCTACTTCCATTTTCAATGTCATTCAATCATCCATTGAGCTGGTAAAGCATGAACAAATATGAAACACAAAAACCAACTCACAAGCTTTCATATAAATTATTCGTGTATAAGTTATAAGGGCATTATAAGACATTATATTCTATTCTAAATTACATATTTATCATTGATCAATTTCAAATAAAAGGCACACAATTGTTGTGTATATAACAATATCCATTTTGATTATTCATCTATACATATAATAAAATTTTGAATCGAATCTGTACATTAAATATTTTTTGGAAAATCCTTTTGAAATAGTACTTGTTATCTGTCTGTAATGCAGTCATCACGAGAAAACAACTGGACAGATTTCGATGAGGTATGATGATAGCTGGTTATCCGGGTCTACTTATAGGATACTTCTTACTGCAGGCAAATATCTCATTCCTGAAAAATCTATACTAAAGGTTATAAACATAACCCGGCACGAACCCGAGCGGAGCGACGGTGAGTCGCTTATTTATTAATTAGGTTATTATTATACTTCAAATAAAAAAAAATACTTTTAATAAAAAAATTAAGATTGATTACCTAATAGGGTCAAAATTAAAGTAAATTGATAAAATTAATTACCTTCTCATACTTCTCCATCAGTCTGTACAGCTCATTCATTTGTTTCTCCAAAAACGGTAAATCTAGATCGACCTTCTCCTTTTTTTCCCGCCGACTCCCCTTACTCATATCACTCAGAGAACTACTTATGGAACTCGCTTTACTTAATTTAGCCTTTTCTTCTGCATTCTTCTTTTTCCTCTTCTTTTTACTTTCTACTTCTGGAACTTTCTCCACATGTGTACTCGTGTTCGGTTGTTCTGATTTAACTTCCGTATTTTTATTTTCTATGACATCTTTAGTTTTATCGTTACTTTTGTTTTTACCGTTAACATTATCGGTTGCCAAGCCATCAGTACCGTTCACAATATCAACTTTATCATCGTTAACTTTACTTTGACTGCTATCAGTTCCGTTAACTATAGGTTTATTATCATCGTTAATATTGTTTCTATTGTCGTCTGTTTTTACATTAACATCAGTACCGTTAACAATTTTATTATCGTCTGCTTTGAATCCTTTATTCTTCTTCTTCTTCTTGCCAGTTTTATCTTCTTCATTCTCGAGTGGACTTGTATGATTCATCGTTTCTTTTAGTAATGGCGCTATAATGTTTCTGATAGAACTAATCACGCGGTAAACTTTACTCGTAACTGGGTTAAGAAACGTGTCGGCTGTCGTAATCGTGTCGTCAAATATCGGGTTAGAGTTGCCTCTGTTGAAGAATTATATATAATAATATTTGTATTTAATATCAGTTTGTATAAAAATTGATGTATAATGAATAACACCTTTAAGGCCAAATATGTATAAATAAATATTATGTATTTCTAAACTTTACATAAAATTAACTTTAAATGAAAAAATCTACCCATTCAAAGCTTAACAGATGTTTCACTTAAAATAAGTCCTATATCAATAATAATTATAAATATTACATATACGTTCATAAATAGTATAGGTCAACTCACCCAGCCAATAGCTTCTGTTTCAGTTTCCTCGCTTTCTTCTTGATTGCCTTCTGCTTCTCTCTTTCTTTTCTTTCTAATTCTAATTTATTAACTTCTTCTACTTCTTTTGGTGTTTGTTCTTGACTTTCTGAAGTCGTCTGTAATATATTCACAATTAGTTTGTATGATCACATAACATACTAACACTGTTTGTACCCAAACTAAGATCATAATAATGTGTATTCAGATCAAATTGAGGTAAAAATTAACGAGAATTTAAAAGTTGAGGTTTTAAGACTAGAGCAAAGATATCGACACCTGCAAGAAAATTAAAACATAATAGGGAATATGCGTGTGATTTAAATAAAAGTGACATATATTTTTTTATAATTTTGATTGCTTTTGAATGAAGCCTATATCAATATTTCTATATGTAATTTCTTTTTGGTTAAGAAAATAATTATTAAAGAGTACAAATATGGGTGAGAAATTCAAAGTAGTTGATACGCACGCCATTGGGCAGACCGAATGTGACGTCAAAGTATTATCATAACAGAGCGCTTAGCGATTTTGCTAAATTTGTCATTTTTCAACCGACTTCAAAAAGGAGGAGGTTCTCAATTCGACTGTATTTTTTTTATGTTTGTTACCTCAGAACTCCGTCATTTATTAACCGATTTGGACAATTTCTGTGTTGTTTGAAAGGGTATACTTCCAGATTGGTCCCATTTAAATTTCAAAAAAAAATACCATCCGTAAGGGTGGAAAAATAGCTGATGATGAATTTAACCTACTTCTAATTGTCATATTAACTTTAAATTTGCAAGTGTTTCTATTTCCGTTGATAGTACAGTGGTTCGGTATTATTGACCTGATCTGATGGTAAGGCCAGAAGGTGGATAGGTGGAACTCTTCAACGGCTAATAGTAGATACTTTGAGTTTGGGCTTATTTTGTTTGATTTGACAAGCCTAACACGTTAGAATTCTTACTTCGCTACTACTGTGTATACTAAAAAGGGAAAAATAAAAACTTTTTAACAAAAAAATAAAAACCGACTTCAAACAAAAGCACTAAAAAGTAAAAAATAACTGATTGGTAGTTTTCATTTACTATACATACCTAATCAAATATTTTCGAAGTCGGTGTGCTTTGCTTTGTATGGGCTGGCACCGATTTCGAAAATATTTGATTAGGTATGTATTTAATAGGTAGGCTTTAATTACTTAGCCAAAGCACACCGACTTCGAAAATATTTGATTAGGTATGTATAGTAAATGAAAACTACCAATCAGTTATTTTTTACTTTTTAGTGCTTTTGTTTGAAGTCGGTTTCTATTTTTTTGTTAAAAAGTTTTTATCTACGTTTATCCATTCATATCGGTATGACATTTTTGAAATTATTTTTTATTAAGTATAAAATATTTAGTTATTCTAGTTTTTGGAACTGAATATTTTTTTGCAATTATTTATTTTTTTTTTATTTTATTTACTTCTTTTTACACATTGTATCAATTCAATGATCACTTGTGTACGTCAATTAGAAGACTTAAACTAAAGCTACGAGAGAAGAAATTATATAACGATGTTAGCTATTATATAAAAAAAAATCATGTATATTCCCTATTATCTTATATATGTTTTTCACAGCTCCAAGGTATTGCAGACCCGAATATTTAATAATACATAACATCAACACCTCCAATCCTGAGATAAAGGATTTTGACAGACAGACAACTATGAGATCCTATACAAGTTCCTTTTTTCCTTTAAGGAGTCTGCCTACTACACCGTCTTATACCATGATCGTGCTAGGACCGTGTCAGGCAAAAAAATATTCTTTATATTGAAAAGTATGAGGCTATCTTTTCGGATTTTTTGGGAAATTATTTTGACTTTTGGTTCCCGACGTTTCGAATGCTTTACAGCAATCATGGCCACGGGAGAGACTGAGGTGTTATATGTCTCAAAGGCATTAATATAGTTGTTACAGACAGCCTACCCACAAAACAACAAAATGAATTCAAAAAATTGAAAAATGGCACAAAGTACCTTACAATATATATTAATTTAATTTTAAAACATTTTTTATATAATTTTGATAATTTTATAACTATAATTGAATATTGAGTATTATTTATTTAATTTTGGCTATTACTATTATAATTATTACAATTTTTTTAGAAAAAATATTAATTAGTAATCTATATTTAGTGTTGCCATTATTATATTTATAACCATAAAGAAAAAATAAAATATTAATTAATTAAGCCACATATTTGTTCTATGTGTAATTTAAAAAGTTAAAATTAATTAAGTATAATAATTTTAATTTAATTTGTTATTATTCAAAAAAACAAATGATTGAGCAACACTATTACCACATATAATATTTACAAATGAAACAATCCGAAAAGATAGTTTTATTTAAAATGTTAAATATACGCGTAAATCTAAGAAAGTATTAAATACGAGACTCTGCCCACTAGATCGTTCCGTCCCCGCCAGCACCGTCGCGTGCCGCGCACGGAGCGTCACGGGCGGCGATATGGTGAGCGTACGCAACACTGAAACCGTTATGTACGGGCATGATACGCTGTTGATACGTTCTAGTAGGCATAGTAGTCCATGCAATGCCCGTTTCCGTGCCTGATACGTTCATAGCACGGTCATGGTATGAGACTCCTTTAGAGGTAACTCGATGCCTCCGTTGTCCCGTGAGAAGACAACCCACCGTCTGGCGCGGGCCGGCGGTGGCGGTGGTGGCGCGCTCGCGGATGGCCTGCAGGTGCGACTCGAGCCGCAGCTGGCTGGCGTCCTGCTTGTCGCGGATGCGCGAGCGCAGCGCGTCCGCCTCCAACTCCGCCGCCGCCGCCAGCGCCGACAGCCGCGACTTCACGCCCTCCGCCTGCCGGGGTACGACCGTTGGTTACTGTTAACACTTTTCTATTAATATTATAAACTAGCGAACTCACCCCTAGGTACGTATTAACGGTTAGTATGGAATAGATCTTAATAGATATATATCATTCTTCTGTATGTGTGTTAGTCACCTAACTCCTCCTAAACGTCTGGACCGATTTAGTTGAAATTTTGTGTGTATATTTCAATGGGTTCCTGGATAGTTTAAAAACACAAAGGGACCCGTAAAGGACCAGTAAGTTGCGCTGCAGTCGGTGTGTCAATAAATTCTTATAAAAGAATCCATTTTCCAAGAAATAAATAAATTTAAATTGTTAATTAAATAAAATAAAAATCGATGTGTGTATGTGTTTCCTAAGGACTCGAAAACAGCTGGAGCGATTTTGATGAAATTTTCAGGTAATCTTCAGATTAGCCCAGCGGATGATCCTGTGAATTTTGTTAGCGATCGGAAGTTTGGACGCGGGTGAAGCGGCGGGTACTGCTAGTAAACTATAAAGTCTATGTAAAATATATTTTATATGTACCGGTTCTTGATAACTAATACACTATTAGATTGTTAAAGTGAGAAACGTTTACGAATTAACACTTGATACTATTTATTGCTTGTAAACTTATTATTAAAATGGACTTGCTAGCGGTACGAGAACTAAGTTGATTTTATGATTTAAAATAATAATGAACGACGCGTGTCGTGTAAAATGCTGAATTGCAATATATTAAGATTGCACCTATACATTATGTATATACATAGGTATGATGGGTTGTTGTGGTTAGTATTATGACGTGTTTTCTCGTGGGAATAAGATAATATCCCGCAGTAAAAAGTAGCCTATGTCACTCTCCAGCCCTCCAACTATCTCCACACAAAAGATCACCGCAATTAAAACATTTTTACCGATTGTCACATAACTAGCATAGTAATATGTATTTCCGTTTCTCGAATATTGTGCCTGATTTCTTAATTCGAGTGTCGAATAAACTTCCGTTCCATCAGACTTTGAGACCAACATAAAAATTAATAACAATTTCTTGCTATTTAATTTTATCATTAAAACAAAATGAATGATCGAAAAAACCCCTTATACTTCGTATTCAACATGTGATTTTAAAAAAATAAACGATATTTTAAGTAATTGTAAATATGTAGTTATATATAGTAAAAAAATAATAATAAACAAACATTAAGTTCTTCTATCTATTTTTTCAAACTAAACTTTTCCCTAGCGTCAGCTAAAAAAAATAATTTACAAAAATCGCATGAAATTAAGTTTTTAAAATAATAAAATTTAATAATTTCTAAATATATTTTTGCAAGCAATAAAATAATATAATATAGTTCACAATTTTGCAATTTATCTTACAGCCCGGCTAGCTCAGTCGGTAGAGCATGAGACTCTTAATCTCAGGGTCGTGGGTTCGAGCCCCACGTTGGGCGAATAAAATTTTATCTTTTAACTTTATTTTCTTCTTATTATTCCCATTATTATTAGTTTACTATTAAGTTTTGTTATTAAATTTGTTTTAATATTATTTTTGTGGACATAGAACAAAAATTTTTCAAAAATTTCAAAAGCTGGTAGATTTTCTTTGCAAGGTGGTTAATAGGTGTTAAATACTAAAAGTTGGTATATCTACCGAAAAGTTGGTAGAGTTGGTAACACTGTTTAGGTGTTTGGTAACTAAACTAAACTAAATCTTTGGACTGAACACTTACTTTTCTCGACGCTCAAAGTGAACGTCTCGTGTGTATCGTGTAGGTGTGCGCGCGTACCTTCTCCCTCGCCGCGTCGTCGCGCTCGCGCTGGCGCACGCCGCGCGCCTCCTGCACGCGCGCGGCGCGCTCGCGCCGGCGCTGCAGCAGCGCCGCCACGTGCGCGCGCCGCGCCGCCTCCAGCGCCGCGCGCCGCGCGCCCACCGCCGCCTCACGCGCCGCTTTCTGCTCCTACACACACACACACACAAACACACACATATATATAAACAAACATTTATTCGATACACACACACGCTTCACAAGATTATTGAGGAGCGTCAGAACAATAAATAAATCACATTTTGACATATTTTTTTATGAGGCCTCTCGAACATCTCTTGCTCTATGGTTAACGGAACCTGGTCGAAAAATAATAAATCCACTTTAAATCCGAATTACAATAAAAAATAATATTAATTATTTTTAGAGAATATAGGTTTTCAAACAGTGATCCTAACACCAGTAAATTGATACGATTTCGTTTAACTCTAAATTAGAAAACTTGGCCACTTTTTTACATTTTTCCACAAAAAACACAAATGTGATTTATCGGTTTTTGTTCCGACGCTCCTCAATTACTAATAAAACGCAAATACACACACGCACACACAAACTATTCTCTTACCTTTTACCACCCACCTCCCCCCTTTCTCTTTCTCTCTCTCTCTCTCTTCCGTTTCCCATCCTTTCTCTCTCTCTCTTCTTCACATACTTACCAGTTTAAGCAGCCTATCCCTCCGCATCTGCCGCAAGCGTGTAGTGTGCGTGCGACACTGCTCTAGAAACTCATGCCTTCTGTTCTCTGCTTCTAATTGCTTGATGAAGGCTATCTCCCGTAGCTTCTCTTCTTCATCGTGCGCTTTACGTACTATGTCCTGCGAGGAGTGAATATGGGTTGAAAATATATTTTTTACACAAATTAAAAAAAAAATACAGATTTATTAAAACATGTAAAAAATTTTTTTTTTTGCATTGATTTACAATTTGTATGCAATAATTCAGGGGATGTTAACTTTCGCATTATTGATTAACAAAACATTTAAAGAACTCTATGTTAAATTATAAATTCGATAATATTACATATTTATACAAACTTTAAGGTGTTGGTCACGGTTTTCAGCAGCCTTCTGCAAGCGCCTCTCCATCCTCATTCTCTTCTCTTCTATCAATTGGTTTTTCGCAACCTATAAAATAAGAAACTAATTAAAAGAACATTTCTGGAACATGTATGATATTTAGGTGTATTTCAGATAAAATAAAATTTAAAAATACGTATGTGCAATTATTATATTTTTTACTAGCAAGCACATTTTTTAAAACCAAAAACATATCTATTCCACGGGAACAATACATTTTTCCGGGACAAAAAGTAGCCTATGTGTTATTTTGATATATGAGCTTACATTACTATAAAACTTCATTAAAATGCATTGAGTAGTTTTTGTGTGAAAGAGAAACAAACATCCATACATATATACATCCAGACATTCTTACAAACTTTTACATTTATAATATTGGTAGGATTATATTTTAAAAGAAACGAATTCAAATGCTGGCTCGACATTCGTTTGTTCAAATTTTAATAAATTTGTTTAGTTTTTACAAAAATATAGAAAAGAGCACTCTCAGAGTCAGTTTTTCCCGAATTTTCGAATATCTCAGCCAACTATTTTTTTTCTCCATAAAACTATAATAACCATATTTAAACTATTAGAAATAATAAAAAGAATTATTCAAATCGGTTCAGCAGGCATTTTCAAAAAATTATTTCATTTAAAATGCTTTAAGAGTATTTTTCGCTGCTTTGATGGGAAGGGGCTACTATTTTAAATTTGACATTTTGTATGTATGTTTTTGTGTTTGTTTTATTTAATTTATTATACCTTAACTTCTTCAACTCTGGCCAACAATTGGTGTATCTTCTTGGCACGTTCAGTTTGGTACTCTAACCTTTGGCGTTCTGCACGGGCCTGTTTGGCTTGAAGTCTGAAAAAATACATAGAAATATACATACAGATGTATAAGATATCTATTTATTTGGGCCTTTGATGTTTTTAAATAATTCATTTTTAACTGACACGATTGAAGAGAATTGAGATCAAAATCATTTTAAAACAAATTATTCTAAGCTTATGAGATAGATTCTTATTTAATATTTTTAATGATAAAAGGTTTATAAAAATTGGTATAGATTTAATATAGTACACTTAAAAAGCATACATATATTCCCCTTTTTGACTGACTTTATAAAAGAAAAGTTACTCATAATACTTTCTTGGATTTACACGAAAGAGGTACTCTATTCATTCTCACAAAAGTCCTGTTGGAATGTTACGCAATATCTTTGCCAATTATACGCAGATTTCACTGATTAAAAAAATACACAATCCCATGCAAAAGTTCTTTTAAACCTGACACCAATTGTGTTTAGGTAATTATTCTAGTTAAAATAAATATCAAACAATGTAAATTGAACCTTAAATGCAATGCTTAAAGCTGTTTTCACAAAAAAAAAGCGCGCTCAAATGTTCAAATGAGCGCTGAATCGGTGAGGAGATTTTTTGTCCGACGCTGATTGTGTATCTAGTACTTTTTTGACCGATGGCCGATTTTCATATTTTTTCAATATAGGTCCTTATGTTCCTACATCATTTAAAAAAAACTTCTAAAAGATATGTTTAAGTGATTTTAAAATAGCTGTACATTTTTTGCTATTGAAATCGATCAACAAAGATAAATATTTTATTTACCTTCGCAGAGCATCCTGCAAGCTCCCACGTCTCTTGATACCTTGCGACAATTTAGCGTGCAACTGTTGGGCACGACCTGGAAAACAATTATTTCAATGACATAACTATACTCACACTTTGTAATCCATACTAATATTATAAATGTAAAAGTAGCTCTGTCTGTTACATTTTCAGGACTAAACCGCTGAACAAATTTTGATGAAGTTTGATTTATAATTGGGAAAATTTCTATTGGAAACAGATCATTTCTTAATTAGAGAAAACCTAATAACGTATTACTTTGTTTTTGTTTGTTTCTGTCTATTTTGATATGCTTGGTGTATTAAGCAGAATATATAAATACAAATGCTATGCCAGGCAGGCGGCCGGTCGTAACACTATTGCCAAAACCGATCAGCAGTATGGTAGACGTTCTGCACCGATCCCAAGTAATTTGGGGAAAGGGCAGGAAGATGATTATGATATGGATACAAATGCTGTAACTTCGAGAAATCTCTCACTAAGCTCACCAACAGTCCCTTTTTTACATAACAAGAAATATATTGGATCAATGGAAGATTTACAAAATAATTAGCGGCTTACCCTTACTTTGTTGGATTGCGTCCTTAGGTGCCTACAAGCCTATCTGAAGCATCTCTAGAATCTAGATCATAATCTATGTACTAAGCTTCATCTAAATCTATCCAGCTTTATCAACGTACAAACACACATACCAGTGGCGAATCGTCCATACAAGACGTTTTACCTTAAATGTATTTTGCTATAATTTTACATACATTAAATTTTTAAAACATATAAATGTTCTTTTGGAAATATATATTATAATAATAGCTTTATTTCTTTCTGTATTAATACGTATATAAAAATTGTATATTTTTGGAACGGCTACCTCTGCTAAAATTTCACCCTTCGCCACTGACACATACACACATTCACATTTATAACAGTAGCCCGATGACACATACCCGGATCCCTTGCAACTAGAGCTTCAAGAACAACCAACGTGTCCACCCGCTCCGCCCACGACATCCCCGCTAAAGCAGTCTCATACTGATCCTCCAGGGATGCTGCGAGTGTACCCAACGTTTCCGTTTCACATACTTGCTGCTGTGGATCTTCGCAGAGGATCTCTGCGTCTGTCTGTTAGAGCGAGAAAAGTGCTGTAGATATCAAGTGATTGGTCCAGTTTTTGTAATACTTTCTTAGATTTACGTGAATATTTCTCTATTTTTGCTATAAAGCATTCGATATGTCAAAATGAAACCGCGAAATTATCCGAAAAGATGTTTAATTTACTTTTTTATCATTATATGTTTGTCTCTTTTTTGATTAGAAAGGGATAACTTGGACTGTAGTGATAAAATGATGTGATGTTTTGTATAGCGGTAGTTTATTGGGCTAGAGTTCATTATTAAAAGGAATTATTAAATAAAAGTCATGATTTTTCCTTATTTTTAACATAATTAATTAATTATTTTAATATCAAAATCACGTGACTACAAACGCCAATTACGGTGCGTGACGTAACTTATCGTTGTCACTAGTGTCAAGTATAGTATTATAAAATCTGTGCTAGTTTGTTGTATACACAGTTGACAGTGTAGTTTTGAAAACTCTCTATAATACATAGAGTACTCGTATATTGCTACATATACTGTAATTTCAGTTTTAATCGTTTAAGTAAAGTAATATTTAAATTTACTAACGTTCCTGGTCAATACCATTGCAAACAAATTTATTAGAGCTGGCAACTCAAATCATGTGTCGATGTCATGATGGTGACGGAATTTTTCGCTAAAAACCCTGATTTTATCATACGATATTTATATGTAAGTACTATGTATTATTTTCACATAAGGGCACTGAATAATACTGATAATACTTAATTGCACTCACTTTCGATATTCTTATTCCCTTTTCAATTAATAATTAATTGATCGAGATTGGAGCCCACAGATTACAGAATATAACCGAGCCTTTTACAGTCTACGCACGCTCTGTATGATAAGTGACGTCACGCTCGACGATTGTTAAAAGCGTGGTGTTTTAGCGCCAAATTCAAAAGTAAAAAATAATATTCGATTTTTTAACATAACAATACAGTAATTTTTGCGGGAAAATATTTTTAGCAGCATTTTATTTATGTAAACAATAGGTTGAGATACTTTTCAAAAAATAGTCCAAGACCCTATTCTATTTAGTCTTTTATCGAACATAATTATTATATTATATTTAAAAATTATTTTTTTCATGTATAGTTTCATGTATAGTATTGATGTGCCATTGTTTTTTTTTTCAATTTTTTATATTATCTTACAATAATTACATCTAAAGCTTAATACACAATAATGTGAAAAATATATTACCTCTGTATCATCAGTTTCCGTGTCAATATCGATGTCGGACACTTGTTGCAACTCCAATATCTGCCTGTTCAAAAGATCTTCCTCTTCACAAAGCTTTCGCTGATCTACTTCGGCTTGAAAATCCAAAGCCCAACTTATTTTTCGTTCGTTTTCCTCAATTTGTGATGTCATAGCCTCTATTTCTGACATTTCTGAGGGATCAGCCGCCTTTAATATTTCAGTTTGATCTGGAATTTGATCGTCATCTTCTAAATATTTGAATGTGGATTTAAATTCGGCTTTCCATTTGTCAAAGTCAAAAGTTTCCTCCGTACTCTCTTGGGAACGGGCTAACGCTGACGTTAAACTTTCTAAAGATGAATGTAAACGATTTTTGGTTAATTCATTCTCATCATCGTTTTGGCTATCTTTTACTTTTTCCGCTCTCTTTGTTAGTACTTTGCTTCGTGAGGATTTTGTTCTAAGCCCCGTCACATCTGACTTCTGCCTTATCATTGATGGATCTTTCACTTTATTTTCTGATTTCGGTTTAGCTAAAACCTTAACTACTTTTTCAGTCCTAGGTACTTTTTCAGGACTTTTAATTTGTACATCTTGTTTTTCCACAGTTTGGGGCTGCTCAGATTTAGCACGATCTTTTTCTGATTTGTTATCTACAATTTCTTTAGTTTCCTGCTTAGGGGATTCGAGCATGTTCAATGTAGGTAGACTAGTTGTAGCAGAAGGCTGATTAAATCTGTTCGCCCAGTGCGACTTGGAATGCTTTTTCGACTCACGACTCAATCTTCTTGACTTTACAGTAAGCCAACCTTCATTATCATTCTTATTATTATCAACATTAAGTACTTCAATGGAATTGGCCACATCATGCAATGATTCATGATTTTCTGGCACTACAGTTTTCAAGCTCTCACTTGATTCTATTCGTGACATATCAATTTGAGTCACAATTGTATCTGAACTACTATAGTCCTTAGATTCCTTATTTTTCTCTAACGCTGGGTTAAGTTTTTCTTTTTTATCGTGTTTCTCGACAACTTTGAGTGATATAGGCCTAGGTGGTCGTTTTTTAAGAACTTCCTTAGTAGATACAGGTTTGGAATCACCTGACGCCAATTGTGTATTCCTAATCGGACGTTTAGGTAAACTCCCCTTTGTTGATGAAGATGGAGTTCCGTCAAATAAACTTGTACGTCCAGTCGTTAAGTTGAAGGGATAGCTGCATTTGTTTGCTTGATTTTTTTTCTGGAATGATCTTTGTGTTCTAGGTACAGTAGTAGGTCGAATTTCCATTGCAGTAGAACTTCGTGCTAATCTTACAGGTGTTTTGACTTCATTTTTTGTTGAATTTGGTGGCTTAGGTTTTGCTGCAGCTTGCGAGTATGCAGGCTTAGCGTTTTGTTTGAAATCAGTAGAAGATTTAGGATCAGTTTTTTTAGAATCTTGATCTTTTCTTGATTCATCTTTATCAATGGTAGATTCCTTAACTGATTCCTTATTATCTTTAGCGGTTTGATTTTTTTCTGTTTCTTTATTTGGTGTTTCTATAGTTACGTCTTTCGAAACAATATTATCAAAGTTATCTCCTACATTGATTGTTTCTCCAATACATAGTTTTTTCTTATCAAATGCTATGGTTTGATTTTCTACTTGATCATTAACTTTATCCTCTGTGCCAATTTCGACGCTTATATTTTTATCAATACACTCCATACTTCCACTGGCATTTAACAAATTTATAATAACATTGTCTTTTGGGTCATCTTTCTCTATTTCAATTTTATGAATTTCTGAAATTGTTACACTCGAATTTTCAATTGTTACCGTTTCTAAAATATTATTTATATCGCGAATTTCTAGAGAATCTTCTTTGTCCGATATCTCTACGTTTTCTTTTGCTATTTTATCAATATCAATTTTTGGTGAACTTTCATTTGATATATCAGCAAAATTATCTTCAGACTTAGTTGGAGATTCACTTAGAAAAGTCTCTTTCTCCTCGACTTTTACTTTTACATCCGATACGTCAGAGACTGCTTCAGTTTTCTCATTTTCTTTTTCAATATCCCGGTTTATCATATTTTCATTCTTGGCTTGATTAGCAGTAAGCTGCTTTTCTAAAAAATCATTTTCCATTTCATCTAGCTGCGCTATTGTAGTTTTAGCTTGGCAAGAAATATTGTTGTTATTATTAGAGTTGGATGTAATTAACTTAATATGCTTCGGAGATTTTATCACTACTTGTTTTGGAGAAACATTTTGGTACTCTTTCGCTGTACCTATTTCTATAGAAACAGGTTTTGGATCTTTTATGGCTTTGGAATCTTCTTTTGCAATTGGCAATTCCTTTGTAGGTTCTTTTATAATGGGCAATTCCTTTACATGCTCTTTTGAAATTGATAATTCCTTTGCAACTTCATCAGCGGCTTCTTTTACATCTTTCTCTTTTATATCAGAGAGTCTAGAAGTCTCTTTAGCAACTTTCGGCTCCGGTTTTGCCGTTATCTTAGAAGCAACAATTTTGTTACTGAAGAATTCAATAGACGCCTTTGGACTTGAGCTAGGATGGGTTGGTATCCTAGGACTTATTTTCCCACTACCTGGACTTGCTTTACCTGTTAAATTAGGGCTATTTTTGCCACTAGGCGTATTGTGTCCTGAGAGACAAGGGCTATTTTTCCCTGAGACAGACGGTGAACTTTTAACTGAGTAGGTACGTCGCGATTCTGGCCTAACAAAATCAGTCTTCCGAATCTCCCAAGCTAAACTCTGTGGCCTCTGCGGTGGAGGTGTATTATCATATTCCCATTTCAGTCTAAACCATTCTCCTAAAGCTTTAAAATCACGCGTGTAATTCTCTAGCACTAGTATAACTTCTTGGCACTCGTTTAAGTTTTCATGAGCCTCTACTGTGTTATAAATCTCACCGATCTGTCAAAAACGGATATGATTATTTAAATGAATCATTTGAAATACATAATTTTAATCGAAATTTTGCATGTCCCAAACATACATAAGCTATGACTTACAGCACGTTGCAGATCTCCAAACAGTAGTGCCCAGTACCTGGCACGCAACTCAGACCGTTTGTCTCGACCAGCCGAAGCCGACCTCAGGCGAGACGCTCTAGGCGGAACTCGACGGGCCGGGGGCAAAGCACGAGGCGGTTTGCGAGATACTCGAGCTTAAACAAAACGTATCAAATTGAAATATCATTATAGATACGTTTACAAACTTACGTCCACTTTTCTAGACTATCGTCTGAAAAAATTAACGTGGGAAAGTTTGAGACACTCTGATCAAGCTGTTATAAACTAAATTGGTAATTCGAAACCACAGCTAACATAAATGATCTACAAAATGCTCTTTTGTATGACTCACATTCTAATTTTTAACTTAAAAGGACAACGTAATAAGTTATGGTCTTTCGTTGAATGGTAAGGAGTCAGAAGCTATTCTTTTTTTGCTAAAACAATGTCATAATGTTATATTTAGACTAATTACGTAAATAACTGTCATCAAAGAGTCATAACTTATATGTTTGCCAGACAGTAAAAAAAACGAACTCACTAAATATTACTTAGCGACTTGTAAAGCAATGTCACAGAAAACCGAAGGATATTTTTTTTTTTACAAATCAAAAAGATCTAAAAGCTAACTTAAAGTAAGATTTTTTATTTTTAATAATTTATATTTTTTTGCCAAAGTAAACAACACATGGCCTATAATTATTTGAGTAAATATTATCGACCTTAACCTTTAAACTTTTAAATCACATTTTTTTAACTCAGATAAATTGTACAAAAACTACACTGATTTCAAACCTGCGTCCCTTCAATGCACTAACTAACCATCGCGTCCCAGCCACCAGTCATAACTGGTCTTGAATTTATAGCGTTCTAAATAAAATTCTGTCCTACTTTAACCTAAGCCGAGATGTTTAAAATTATATGGACTTGAAACTATTTTGTCGTGAAAAATAAATATAGAGTATGGTAGACGACAGACAATCGATAAACTCAATGCAACTAAACACATGTACGTTCACAACATTAAATATTTAAGATATTGATTCGCACTAGAAATAGTAGCATTAGAAATACTAAATGAGATATTTAAAATGAGATATTTAAAGACATCCAGCATTATAATTAATAATTCAGCCCTTTACGTCCCACAACTGGGCACAGAAGTTCCTTAAAACGATAGAGATCAGACAATAGCCCACCACGCTGGCCAAGTGCGAGTGGACAGACTTCTGACGATTTTCCCTTTTACCATACGGCGAGTGGTAATCTTGTTATTAATTATTCACACATGAAAATATAACATTATTGGGATATGGGGGTTGAACTCGTTGCAGTTGGTCTCGTAAGCGAGTGCGTTAACACTGCTTCGCTGGGCTTTATTGAGATAATATTATTGTAAAATAATATGGTTTAAAAAAAATAAAAATGAATTTTAATGGCTAATTGTAATGTATGGAACTTTAACTAGTACCTATGCATTGAATAGTTACAAATATTCACTACCTAAAACGATCAATAGATCGACTCGATATTATAAAATTGTTGTAAATTGTAGAGGACAATCTCTGGAATACACATTCACATTAATACAAATATTCATATTAAAACTAGCAGAATGAGTTTTGTAAATTTCCATTTGCGATGATCCATCCACAATATTTTAAGTTTTAAGTTTAATTAAGTATGTGGATATTAATTATCTATATACATACAATAAAATAGTAACAAAGCAAAATTGGTATATGAAATATTTTTTAAAAATAAACACTTACGTATTATTTACAGACTGTTTATCTGTGTGCTTAAAGTTGTAGAGCTGTGGATGTGATGGTGTTTTGTCAAGAAAACTGTATTTGTATGTTTACATGGCTAAAAGTAGCTATACCCTAAGATACATCAAAACAGTGTATGTAGTAAAAAATTGTAATTTTAAAAAGCCCTACAAAAAAGTCCTTAATAGCTTATTTATATCTCCTAAGTTACACTCACCATAACTTTTTTGTTTCCTTAAAATATACCTAGGATTGCGACCGAGTGAAGAGAGGGTATATCAAAACATATCAGTGGGATAGAAGAAGGAAGTTTATTTGAAATTTCTCTGAGGGAAACATAGGTTTTTATATGCTTAATATGGCATAATTTAAAAGATCATTCATTTCTTTTATCTCACATGCATTTAGTTACTAATTTGGATATTTATTTATAGTTTACTGCTAACTAAATATTTAGAATTCACACAAACAAGCTTTCTTGCTTCATAAAATAAATGTTGTAATTAAAGCTTAAAAACTGCTCTTTTATTATGTACAGACAAACAAACACTCTGAATAAATGTATTCTACAATTCTACAAACAACAGTTAATAATAAACACTTTAAAGTAAAATGTAGAGTTAGATAATTCATGTGTAAAACAAGTCGGACTATTGATTTACTTTGGTTGAGTCAGAGACTTGAAAGGTTACATTAAACACACATGATATCATTGGTTAAATACAAAATCAAATGCATCCTGATTTATACAAAACCAAAAGTAAATCTTGTTTAGTACAGAATAAAATAATTTATGTTGAATATTTAATTACAAGAGCAAAACCAGGATGACTGCTCACTCATTATAATGAGTTATCCCATGCTGTTTTTTTTTTTTTTTTTTTTTTTTTCCTGAGCCTCCAACATGGGGGAAGGAGTCTGTGTTTTCTACTTCTTTCATATCAGTTCTCGCTTTTATGCTTCTCGCACTTTCATTCCGCATACTATGTCTTTCTATCATTCATCCGCATTCGTTCCTAACTATCTGTCTATCTATTTTATTTAGTTTCTTTGTTCTTATACTATGTAACACGGGGATAATAATTGGGGGTAGTCGGTAATTTTTATTTATAGTTTAGGCTTATTTATATATGCTCTTATTATTAGACTTATCCTTTTTTTTACACTATACATTATATATGTTACCACTAAATCCCATGCTGTTAAGAACAGAAAAACAGTTTTTTTAATTGTAGCCAAATATATCTAAATATAAAACAAAAGATAGCAAAAGATTTAGGTGTTTATTTAGAAAATCATTGTTTATACTGTTGATATCTCCTAATCTATCTAACATATAAAGTTCTTGTGTCACAGAGTTTGTAACAAATCTCCTCCGAAACGGCTTGACCGATTCTTATGAAATTTTGTGTGTATATTCAGTATGTCTGAAAATAGGATGTAAATTATTTTTCATATCCCTAAGTGATAAGAGTGGCTACCCCAAAAATTTTAATTTTTATTTTTTGGTGAAATTTTTTTATTATTTTTTTTTATGATTCGGCATTAAAAAATACATGCAAACCTAAATTGTCACTAGGGACTAACCCGAGTGGAGCGAGTGTGAGTCGCTAGTTAATCCATATATATGTTGACTGTTTAGATATTTTCTTTAAATTCCTTAATAGCGGCTCACCCTTGTGCTTCTCTTGGGTTTGCTTCTAGAAAAGCATATCTATCCCACAGGTCCCGTACATTTTGTCGGGATAAAAAGTAACCTATGTATTAATCTTATGTATGAGCTATATTATTGTAAAGTATCACCAAAATCCATTTTTGCATGAAAAAGTAACAAACATCCATACATCTATACATCCAGACATCCATACATCCTCACAAACTTTCACATTTATAATGTTAAAATACAATTTAAAACAAAAACTATAAAAATATTTGTGTAATACACAAAGATAAATATAGTAAGAAAACATTGTAAGACCATTAAATTAACATTACAAAATAAGCACATTCAACATTGTATTAAAAAGAAATAATTGTACTAATGTTACATATAATGTCAAGGACAGTTCTGCCCTTAGCATAAAAAAACAATGCACTTTATATGGAAAAGTAATTATGTTTAAGTACACATTATGTAAATTTTAAAATTTCACAGAAAATTATTCATGATTTAAATAATTCATTCTGATCCAATGAATTATTTTCAATATAATTGTGAGATATTGATACTAATTATCTTTATATTTAATTTTAAGTTCCTTTTATAATAAAGAGGTTAAAGATACTCCTTGTAATTAAAAATATTTTTTCAAATACCCTACATTGTTCAATTAATTCCTCTATAGTTAGAACGTTGTTGTGCATTTACAATAAATAAGTACCTAATGTATGAAAGGTTTAATTTAAAAAAAATATAAATATTTTATTAACAATCTAGCGAAGTATAGAGTAATTTTTTTTCTAATATCCATTATTTGTAAAATGTATTGCATATACGTACGCCCACGGATAATAACGTCTTTCTTAAAAGACAATTAAGTAATGATAATTTTTAGGAAGAAAATATTGATTTACCTGGCGTATCCACGGCAACATGGAAGGCCACGAGGTTTCTCGCCTCCCTACCTTCTTCTTGCACCAGCTGCCTAACTTCTTCCATATTCTATCAACCAAAAATATTTCTGGCTAACGAAAAACAAATGGTAAAACAGAACACATCGCTCTTACAAATATGTTTAAGCGAAACACTATTTAATCATGGAAATTTAATAAACTGTAACAAATAAGAAATAAAACATAAAAACAACTCTATAAAGACAAATGTATTGCTCAAAAGCGAATTATTGGAACGTTAAATATTTTCATAACAATTCGCACTTTGACAAGTGGATTTGTTTTTTTTTATTGCACAATTCTGTTTCACGCAATGGGTTTTATCTACCTACCGACATAATCGAAATAAATTGATACAATGTACGAGTAAAAATGAAACATATATACTTTATAAATTATCCATTTTATAAATATATCTTGATCCTTTTTATATATAAGGAAGAAAAAACAACACATGAAAGAATAAATTTTCGAGTAAAAAAATTATTTTAATTTAATAAATATATATATATATATATATTAAAAGCATAGACATAATATTATTATATATCATTTATGTAATATTACTTTAATATAACAAATGTAACTTTAAATTAAGATATATTAATTTAACAAAAAAATTGTACTGGAATAATAACTCAAAAACGGCTTGGCTTATATTGAATGCTTTGAAATAATAAAAATTATCTGTGTCTTTATATCAGTCAAAACTTATTATATCTGTGACATTTCTTTTCATTGTCAAGCAAAATGGCGGATCAGGTATGTGCCGAATTTATTGATTTAAAATGTGTTTTTATGGAGTTTCACTTTATTAATTTACATTATTAATTACTTAAAGTCAAAGAAATGTATTGCCTTAATAATTTTTTGTGAAAGTGTACTCTAAATCATACAAAATGCGTTTATACAAATCCACGTGGGGTTCTGGTATATTTAAATGTCCTTTGGCATATTTTATTATTATTCATATTGACAAAGATATCTGATCTATATTAGTATCGGTATAAAATCATATTAATTAAGAATTTTCCACAATAATAGCTAGCAGATTACCTTGTACGTATTAGGTTAGTTTTATTCATAGCAATGTTCGGATGTTCAAGATGACAGGGTATGTACACTCGGGATTCGTAAAAACTGCTATCAAAATAGTACTTATTGACTGATATGAAAAAATATTTGTTTAAGTAGTAATAGTAAGAATATAAAACTAAGTTCTGTTCTGAATAAAATTTAGTTTTGTATTGCTGCTAATAATTCATAGATAGTATGTACCGTTATAATTTTTACTTTAAAATTTATTTGTGTATTTTAGTTCTGTGAGAAATAGTTCATATCAATAGTTTAAGTGTAGATACCTAATGATACTTGCGAATTCCAGACGGAACGTTCATTCCAAAAGCAACCTACGGTCTTCTTGAACCGTAAGAAAGGCATTGGTGTGAAAAGGAGCCGTAAGCCACTCAGATACCACAAAGATGTGGGGCTTGGTTTCAAAACACCGCGAGAGGTAACGCATGGTGTGATTAATAGTGTGATTTTTTGTTTAGACCGAGAAAGCGTTTCAGAAACAAGCCACGGTTTTCCTCAACCGGAAGGGAGGTTTGAAGAAAAGGGATATGCGACATCATAAGAATGTCGGTCTAGGTTTCAAGACACCAAGAGAGGTCTGAATTTATAGTTAACATTTAGGTGGCAAGAGGGCTTCGTCGTCGCTAACGATGGTTTATCAGAGTAGAACAGATAACTTGACTGAAATTTTATGATTAACATATAAATATGTACTTTAAAATTTCCATTCAGTGAAAAAGATATATATTGTTAAACAAAAGTTAACTGTTCTATCTGTTTAGGTGCTGGTCCATGTTTCATACAAGCTAAATATATAAGCTAGTATTAAGTTTATATATTGCAAAATAATTATTGCTTCAAAACCACTAACAATTATCAAAATTTTCATTATTATTTAAGTTAAATATGGGGATATTGGAGATATTTTTCATTTTTATATAAATAATTATTTTGTAAACATATGTTTATGTACTTTTACACTGATGCTACTCAAGGTAAGTTTGCCTGCTACAATATAAGATATATGCATGTATCAATATAAATATGTACCATATATAAATAAGCAATCATATCAAATATGCTTCAAAATGCTAATAACACTGGTGAGGCCATTAACACTTTGGAAACGCTATGCAAAATATAGACATATTTACATGGGGCACATGATTTTTTTTTATTATATAATCAAATTCATCTAATGCATTTAAATAAAAAAATAAACATTTCTTTTATTACGTGTGAACATATGTGTATAAAAGCAAGTAGGATAAATACTATGAATATACATATACAGATTATTTTTAAATGTACTCAATTTTTTTTCGTGTGCCCTACAAAGTTTAAGCTCAGTATGCTAAAAATATAAACAAAATGATGAAATCCACACGACGGTCTTCTGATTACAATATGAAGAAGACAGTGTTTCAAACCCAAAATCTGATTTATATAGTTGCTTGAAAATTTTACATTTGAAATGATAAAAATAAGACCTAAAATTTAATTAATATGTAAAATATTCAAGATTACAATATTCAAGCTCACCATGTAAATGCTAGAAAACAAATATCCTAAATATGGTTGCTATTAATATTTTAAAATGTATATATTTCAGGCGATTGAAGGAACATACATTGACAAAAAGTGCCCTTTCACTGGCAATGTATCAATCCGTGGTCGTATTTTAACTGGTGTGGTACAAAAGATGAAGATGCAGCGCACTATCGTCATCAGACGCGACTACTTGCACTACCTACCTAAATACAACAGATTTGAAAAACGTCACAGGAACATGTCTGTACATTTGTCACCTTGCTTTAGGTAAGATTATTTTTTTTAACTTGTAGCTAATAGTAAAATATTTTTTAAATATTAATATATATAATTGGCTAAACAATCCATTAAATAATGATTCTTTTAAATAAGTAATGTTCCAATTTCAAAATTACCCAAAAATTATTTGCTTTAATGTCTTCCAGTTAATGTATTTAGTTATATTTTTTTAGATTTTAATACAATATTAAGTACTTTTTTTAATAAATTTACATATTTATACTCAAAAAAAAATTAAAATTCAAAATATTTTATTGAGCATTAAATTATTTCAATTTTTTACTGAATGTTATGATAGATATTACCTGACAAAAATCAATACCTAAAAGAAAATTGAACATACAATTTATCTAAATGATGATACTCACACGACGGTCTTCCGAATACTATTTGACGAAAGACGTGTTCTAACCCAACATCTGATCCTATTTACTTATCAAACATTTTTTTTATATGAAAGACTGATTTTAACCATGACTTCTTGTCTTTACTTTCCAGGGATGTTGAATTAGGAGACATTGTGACTATCGGTGAATGCAGACCGCTGTCCAAAACTGTCAGATTCAACGTACTAAAGGTTTCCAAGGGCAAGGGATCCAAGAAATCTTTCAAAAAATTCTAAATAAAATTACTTTATAAGTATATCTCTGGTATTTTATTTCATAAAATATATCTGGTATATGGCATATTATGTTTCGACAGCCATCTTGACAATGTAAGTGTCATATTATGGTACTAGCATTGCCCGCTACGGTGTCCCGAAAATATTGTTCTTGGTTTTCCTCAACGCAAGACCTCTCAAAACTTGCGTAATTGATCGTAGATTACCGAAATAATTTTAAAAATAAAATAATACTATCTAGGGTTCTACCGCTCCTAAAGTTTTGATATTTTGTTTTATTTAGATATAATACACATACGAAGTATCGATTTACATGTAATAATACGTTACTAACGGTTTCGAATTTGTTAGGTTTCAACTTGCAAATACCCTTAAATTGCAATTTTTTCCGAGGACTTTCTTGATTTAACTCGAGTGTTTTCTTCGTTGCCAAATTAATTTTGTTGCTATATAAATACAGTTTTAAATTTTTATAGTGTTAAAAATAGATATAAGACCATATAAAGAACCTTACGATCGACAACTACCTATTAAGGACTTCATTAAATATATTTTATTTATCAAGAATGGTCTGAAAATGAAGTATAATGGAAAGAATCTATTCTAGTCACATATATATGCGATTGTTTCTGAAGTAATAAATAATATTTGGACCAAATCTTCGATTCCAATCGTAAGCAAGGAACATGTAACTCAATTACAGAAATCCAATTTCAAAAAAAGCCTCAATATGAAAAGGTGTCCCAAAAGTAAGCAAAATAATAGTTTTGAAAACAAACAATTGTTCTTAGTCATCCGAGAAGCTTTTCGACGTTACTCCACAAGTAGTAACATCGAAAAGCTTCTCTAATGACTAATGCACTTCATTTAAATCTTGTTCGTATTTAAAATCTAAGAAAGCTCCCATCAGTGATAAAGGTTGTTTATTGGATTAAAGAAATTACAGGAAAATGATTATAAACGGTGTTGATAAGAAAGAAACGGCTAGATTAAAGAAACGATAGCAGCATAGTTAGTTCCTAGTATATACCAATGTACTCTGTGATAGTTAGCATTTAGCAAGTTGAAGAGTCAACAAATTGTCAGTATGTCGTTTGATGATAGAGATCATATTCGGGAGCTGGCATAAGGCATTGCGAAGAATAATAAAAGTTAGAGATGCTGAAAGTAGCACTAGATGCAGGATATTAAATTAAAATTATATATTATTCTCTTTAACTTTTAGCTTTCCATAATTATATAATAATTACAGTTCGGGACTTAAACGCAAATTACGGGAATTAAAGGTGAATTCACACGTTTAAATCCCGTAATGTAATTATTATTCTTAATTAATTTTAAATTTCACATATAACACTATTGTGGCTTGAATATTTTTTTTTATGTTTATAAATATAATAACGACAACACTAAATAAGATGACTAATTAATAAAGTTTTGTAAAAAAAATGTAATAATTATAATAATAACAGCTAAAATAAAATAAATAATATTCCATGCAATTATAAAACTTATTAAAATTATAAAAATGTTTAAAATTAAAATTAAGTAATATTGTAAGGTACTTTGGTGCCATTAAAATTTAAAGGGTTTATTTTTGACAAATACAACGGATCTTAATTTATAATACTATGGTTATAAAAAATATTCGAGTGGTACGTGGTACAACACTAGCTCTTAATGAGGGAAAGTATGAAGCGCGGGGTGCGGTAGCACGTGTTATGTCGTCCCGCCCGCGCGCCTCCTGCCACACCCGCTCACGCCTGTGTAATTTTGTTAAAATCAGCGTTTTCAGATTAAAATATTATTTACCGATGAAAAGAAATATCTTTGTTCGTTTTAGTTTGCTTTCGTGAATCATTTTTACAGCTTGGAACTGCACATTTTAACATGATTACATAAATTCAAATAAATACGCTGCTTCTAGCGCGCACTCTATAGCAGATATATACTCTAAGAGTTAGATTGTTCTTTTTTTATATTTATGGTTTTTATGAAATTGAAAAATAAATTAATCAATCGTAAGTATTCATAAGATCATAATTGTTTAATTTGCTTAAGTTTTTTTGGTATATAATTTAAACAATATGCAAAGCAAGAACTATGCAATGAATTTGAGCTCGTGTGTGCTGGCCATTAATGCAGATGTCTGTTAAAAGAGACGTCGCTATTGTAATAAGAATCGATTATTTTAATCGAATGTTGATTTAATTGACAGAGTATAATACTCTAAGAATTGACAGCACCCATCACTAGCTAAAAAACAAAAATGTCCATCTTGTGAACTTGCACGTAACATTTAATTGTATACGATATGATATCGTTCTTCTCGAAACTATCGTTGAAGAACTCTGAGAAGTCGCCAGAGGAAATAGCTAAGCCTGCGTATATGGATAAAAGTGCGACATTACAGGAGCTCGGGTACAAAGACGATAATGACTTGAGAGAAACAATTTATGGTTTGTTTTGAACTTTGTAATTTCAAGTGTTTTTGGATTGTTCATTGTGATTTTAACAGTGTTGTGGTGTTTTAGACTTTTTGCGGACTATCCGGGATCCCGAGAAGCCTAGTACGTTGGAGGATCTTAAGGTGGTGTATGAAGAGGGAATCTTCGTGAAGGAACCGACGGCTGACAAAGTCCCCGTGCTGAGAGTGGAGTACAATCCCACTGTACCTCATTGTTCTTTGGCAACCCTTATTGGTCTGTGTATTCGAATAAAAATACAGAGATCTATACATCATCCTATAAAACTGGATATCTATATAAAAAAGGGTGCCCATACCACTGAAGATGAAAGTAAGTATTTAAAAATGACTTTTATTTCTCATTTTTATACCTTATTTAATAGTTATTCTTTTCATAGATAATATTTGCATACCTTTATCTGCTTATTCCTTTTTCTTATTATCATATTTGATAAAGAACTTGAATATTTTTTATTGGTCATATTTATTGAATTAGTATAAATATTAAAAACAGTCACTTTCCTGTTATTATCATTAGAGTTTAGATTCATTAAAGCTAGTTTCAGTTAATTATCTGCAATCTACATTGAATTAAACAACAGCATCATAATGATACACAATTATAGTCTTATTTATATTATAGGTAAGGAGTTACCTAATTGTTAATTTTCTGACACTTATGCTAGATTAATATGCAATATTATAAACTAACTTCGAAAAAGAGCTTCTCAATTTGATGTTTGTTAGAAGGTTTAAAGATTTATAATAAATGGTAAAAAATATATATCTTTAGCTCTCTTGAGAATAATTTACAAGAAAAGTTATGGTTTTATTTTTACTTTTTTTTTAAAACATTTAATGAGATTCACACAGTTGACAGCTAAAGGTTTACACAGCTGACAGCTAAATATTAGTTTTATTAGATTAAAACAATATATTCATTCATAATTTCAATTATGCATTTTATTAAAATGTTTATTTTTATACTAGTGACTTACCCTTGGTTCGCTTGGGTGCATCCCTATTTACGTTTTAATTTTTTTGACTGGAAATTGGAATAGTAATAGTTTTTCTAAAATTAAAGTAGCTTTAGTTACTCCTTATAAGGAGTAACTAAAGCTACTTTATGTTATGTTATAACATCAGCTATCTCCCAGTGCAAGTCTTGTCAAAATCAGTTCAGCCGTTTCGGAGATTAGCCTGAACAAACAAACAAAGAATTTAAGCTTTTATTTCGACATTAAAAACGGACACTTCAATTTTATTTATTTGCATAGATTAAATTATTATTATTCAACTCTTACATATAACTAGGTTTTAATAACGAGTCATATAATATAAATATATTTTGTAATAGGGTTATCACATTGTATTGCTTACATATGATAAATGTGTAAGAGATAATGGAACTAACCCTGCATTTTAACAAACAACTTTCGTAATACTTTCTTAGTTCTTCTTCTTCTTATTTAAAAAACAACTTTTGCTGAAAACTAATAATTGCACTCATTATCACATAAAAAAAGTACTTGATGTTCTAAATTTACATCACTATATAAATATATATTTTAACTAGCGACTCACTCTCGCTTCGCTTGAGTTCATGCCTACCTACGTTTTAACGTTCAGTATAGATATCTCAAAGATGAGATATTTTCCCGCAGTAAAAACTGTCCCATAGTTGACGCGGATAACCAGCTATCACCATAAGAAATTTCATCAAAATCTGTCCAGTAGTTTTTTCATGATGCTGTAACAGATAGCCAGACAGACAAATATTCTAAAAAATATAGATTCGGCCTCTGTATCAATAATAATGTCTATTTCAATAAGATTTTCCAAAAAATATTTAATGTACAGATTCGGCTTTGTCAGAATTTTATTATGTGGAATAGATTAAAAATTATGTTTTTATGTCTTTCAATTCAATTTCCTTGTTAATGGCTTTATAATGTGCCACTTGCGAATTTATTTCTTTATGTCCAGTCTATATCAAGTTTGTTGCCTTCCTACCATGGTCCTTTCATAAGATTCAACAAATGAACATATTTTCGCATTCAATATATTAGCTAAGATAATAATTTGGAGCATTTGTTTTTGTAAGCAAATTATGGCATCATAATACATTATCATACATTGTGTTCTATTTAAACATTACAATCTGTATTCTTCACATACTAATGTGTAATGTCAATAACATTACATTCCTATCAGTATTAATTTTTTATAATTGTTATTTGATGATACAATTGTCAGCCCTTTTAACGTCTCACTGTTGGTCAAGGGCCTCCTTCAATATGAAGGGGATCAGGCCATAGTGCACAATGCTGGCCAAGGCTTGGAGGACTTTACATGTCTTTCTAAAACTTGCTAGGTTCTCTCACACATGTAGGTTTCCTCACGATGTTTTTCCTTCACTGTAAGACAAGTGGTAATCATGTTGTAAATGATTTTCATATGAAAATATCAGAGACTTGGAATTTGAGCCCGCTTCACTTGGTTTTCCAAGCGAGCACATTATCACTGCTGAAATTAATTTTTTTTTAAATAACCTGACCATGTGCCCACATAATATCATTACAATATAAATAGTTAGTACTTTCCCACATCTTCTATCTATCAAGAAAACCCCATTAAAATTGCCTGAAGCATTTTTCTAAATATTAGCAAGTTTTATTACAAATGCTTGTCTAAGTGTTGGTATTAGATAAATAATTATATAAGCAATTGTCAACAAGTATTTCAGTTTTATTTATATCTTATAAGTATAATGACACCTAATATACACATATGTAATAGACACATCATGCTAATATTAAAAATATGATAGTATGTGAGTGTGTGTACTTGTGTGTAGTGTGTAACTTTTCATGCTATTGCCCAATAGATTTAAGTGAAATTCAGAATGGATTTAGCTTACAACCAGGATTTGTGTTCTTATACCAATTTTATAGTGTACATTTAAATGATTATACAAGGTATGTAAGAAAATAGTAATTCCACCTAATTTATTCTAGTATATTTTATTGTTTACATATTAAAAATTAAAAAAAAATCCTACCATCTTGGACCGATTTTCATAGATCATAGCTAAAACACTCCCCACTAATTCACCCTTCAAACAAAAAAAAAACAACAATCAGTTCGGGAGTTACGATGCCACACACAGACTCACACACAGATACGTCAAACTTATAACACCCCGTCGTTTTAGCGTCGGGGGTTAAAAGTTAAATAGATAAATACTTAATTGCACACGGCATTATTGCTATGAACAATCTCTTACAGACAAACTTCGGTGAAAGGTTTAGTGGAAACCGTAAATGAGACGGTAAAATCAATATTAAATATATACAAGGACATTATGTTACATTATTAAATTACTGTATTTATTTATTTTCATTTGACAGTCATGTTTGTTTGGTTGGCTGATATGAAATTTCACCGTTTGGTAAATTCCTAAAATCGAACTTGCTATCACTGACACTATAAGCAGTTCCAGTCGAGTTACTACTAATTGTAAGACATAATGGTTGATGTAATTTAGGTCAGTGATTTCTTTTATTGAAACAATGTAACACTTGCGCAAACGCATATAGTTAAGTACCCGCATTATAGATATAGACGACGCGTGATACACTTTTTTGTATATCATATATGAAATAGTCATGAACGAATTAGCCACTGATTCGTTCATAGAAATAGTATAAGTTGTTACATAGATATGTATATATTTTTTTACACAGTAAGCAAGTGAGTTTACAAACTGTTTAATGTCTATGCACGGGATATATAAGAAGTAGAGATGAAGAATATGTCACTTTTACCCTTTAGCTTTAGATGTTTTCATTAATTAAAGAAAACTAAGTTCATACATATCATATTAAACTATCTTAAACATATAATTAATATTCAATCCTTAGAAAAATGTTGGAGCCACTATAATTCAATATTGATATGTAATAGACAAAATTCACCAGCTAGTGATTTTGTACAACTCTTAAATTGTTAGGCATGAGAATGCTAAAATAATGTTTAAAACCTTACACTTATATTTATATTCTAATATATAAAAAAAAAATACCATGTAACAATTTTGACGTGTAAGCTTTAACTTTACATAATATTATTATATCATAACTTGCAATGACAATTTTCACAAAAAATAGAAGAATAAAACACTTTATTGCTAAGAATTAATTATTATATTGTAGATTTGTAGCTACTAAGCTAACCATTATTTTGAACAAATTCATTGCACAATTCCTTCTTGTTTATGGTAACTAGGTATAGATTTTTGAATTATCTAAGGCCTAAGCATGCTAAAGTAGTATACGAAAATAACCTCCTCTTCATAATACTACTTGTTATTAAAATGTAATGAATGTTTTGTTTTCTATGTGTACGATATAAAATTATTATTAACTTGCTATCAATGTTACTATGTTTATCAATAGATTTAGATAATACACGAGGAGGCACTATTTAAAATAGCAATACATGTTATGTACTAACACCTAACTTATATACATATGTTGTTGTCGATTATAAGGTCCTGGGTTCAAGTCCCGGGAGGGCAAAAACTATTTATTTTTAAATAGGATTTTTTTGGGTTTATTCAAACAAAATTTTGGTACCAGTTTTGAGTTGGGAAGTTGCCATCTCATCGGATAAAGAGAGTGAAGGAATACACCGCGTGTGTTTTAGTATATTCTAGTCTCTACCGCGAAGTCTAGTTTCAATCTGATTTACCTATATTACGCTAATTCATTATTATTATTTTTTAATCTAATAAGAAGGTTTTAATAAATATATGTATATGTTTGTATTTTTTTTCGTATGATAGGATTCTATTCTCTAATTTTATATTATAAATGTGAAAGTGTGTTTATTTTTTTGATTATTTGTCCTTCTTTCACGTCGTAACAGAGTAACGGAATGGCGTGCTTTACTGTTGGAGATTATCTCATTCCCACGGTAAACCATATTATAGTACAACCAACAACAACTTCTCATACCTATGTACATGCATATAATATAAGTAGCGACTCACCCTCGCTTCGCTCGTGTTCGTCCCTACTTACGTTTTATCGTTTAGTATCGATTTCTCAGAGATGAGATATTTTCCCGCTGTAAAAAGTATCCTAAATGTTGACCCGGATAACCAGCTATCATCATACCAAGTTTAATCAAAATCCCTCCTGTGGTTTTTCCGTGATACGGTAACAGACAGACAGACAGACAGACGAAAATTCTAAAAACTGTAGATTCGGCCTCTGTATCGATAATAATGTTTATTTCATTAAGATTTTCCAAAAAATATTTAATGTACAGATTCGGCTTAGTTACAATTTTATTATATGTATAGATATACGTATAATTTATATATTTCATACTTACCATTAAAAAGTATCTAGGAACGAACCCGAGAGAAGCGAGGGTGAGTCGCTAGTTCTATTTATATATTGCTATTTATATCTTATAAATGATAGTTGCACATTATAAAGTTGCTATTTTTAAACAACAATGCAAGGAAACTCTTCTATAAATAGGTGTACTTAATATATCTAGTATTAAATTATCCCTAGTTGAAGGCAAAGCACGTTTTACAAGGAAGTACATACCTACATTTTTTCCTTGACTTTTGCATGAGACTGTGTGGAGTGTGTTACTGGTTACTTGAAAGTTTATCATCTATTTTTTGGGATTTTCCATGGTTTAAATAATTATAAAATTTATTATCTAACAAAAGATATATATGTAATTATACTCTCATTTGAAAGTGAAGTAGCATAAATTTGAAATATATTAAAGCTTTATATTTAAGCTAAGCTCTCCTCCAAGTACCCAAAGATACCATATTCATTTCCATAAAAATTTTATTTCCTTTGCCATACTTTTTCATAAAAATTACTTTGTCATTCTTATTTACGAAAACTAGCATAATCATTTGTAAAATTCAATAATCAATGCTTATAGTAGTTGTTTCTCACGGCTCCGTCCGCGTGGATAAAATTGTCCATTTGTTTATCCAACATATAGTCTTATCTACGTTCCGATTTTTATTCTGCTAAGCCGTTACAGCGTGAAGAAGTAACAAATAAACACTCACTAATAAACTTTCATATTAATAATATAACTGTTATAGTAAAAGTATTTTCTTTTGTTTCAGTTAATAAGCAAATCAATGACAAAGAAAGAATCGCGGCCGCAATGGAAAACCCTAATTTAAGAAACCTCGTCGAGAACTGCATCGCTGACGAAGGTTAAATCACAAATAGTAGTAAAAACAATTAGAACGTAGTTTTTGTTCATATTCCTACAACCATGGCGCCGGACGCAGCGTTCTCTAACATCAGTGACAAGAATGAGTTTACTAAGTTCGCAAAGTTTCTTGCCTATAAAGGAGTTCAGGTCATCGTTGAATCCAGGAAAGGGGTTAAAATCGAACCCAACACAAAAATGCAAACATCCGACTCGGACTGGTTCAATTTACAGATTCCCGATTCACCAGAAGTCAACCAAGCCACCAAAAATGCTTTACCATCAGATAGGATACTAGAAACTATCAAATCGCAGTTACATGTAGAGATATCTGTCCAAACTGAAGATGGTGATGAAATGGTCCTTGAATTATGGACTTTAGAACTAGACGACACCCAGTTTGATACGTCGCTTAAAGCTATGAACACAGTGTACTTCAGAATGGGGATACTTTTAAAGTCCTTAATAACCATCACGAGAATTACTCCCGCATATCATTTATCTAGAAAACAAAGGACTGAATCGTTTACTATTTTCTACAGAGTGTATAATGGGGAACCTAAATTGAAAGCCTTAGGTGATTCAGTAAAGAAAATCCAAGCTGGTATTCTAAAAACACCTCTCGGTGGACTGTGTTTCACAGTTTCTTACAGAACCAACTTCTCAATATCTCCTAATCGATCTGAAACTAACAAGACATTGCTACTAAAAAGCGATCACTTTGAACTAAGTCCAAAACACGTTATTTTTGAATCGAAAAAGAAGAAAGAGAAAGAGCAAAAGTCTTTTACACCTGTTGATTTAAATAAGCCTCTTAGATTAGCGGCCTTTGTAGACGAGTATGTAATTCAAAAAGTGGTTCAGGAATTCTTTGAGAAAATGCCCGTACCTAAATGCAGAGCCCTCCGTAGACCACAAACCCCTGAAGACATTCCCTGTGTAATAGACTGCAAAAGCACTCAGGATTTAGATATTACTGCAATATCAAAAAGCCCGACCTCATCAGAATTGCCACCTAAAAAATTTCCTGGATTCCGCAGTGAAAATGAACCGCCTCTGAAACTATTACATTTCCCATTTGCTGACGATCATCCGATACGAGAGTTGGCGGAGTTTTATAAAGATTTCTTTAACGCGCCTCATTTAAAGTTATCAGATGAATATCCGGAAAAATCAAAAAGTACAGAATGTCTGGATGCTGAGAACAGAATCGATGATCTTTCCAAAGATTTAGCCTTACACGAAAGTTCGGTTTTGGAATTTGATGAATTATTGGCCGACATGTGCAGATCGGCCGAATGGAGTGGGAATTAGATATGGTGTTGGAAGACTGAAATTGTATTGGTTTTTAAATAAATGACATATTTATTTGTTTAACTTTGGTATTTAATTACTAATATTGTAAATCCTTTGATATATTATGTACCTGACTGGAGTTAAGTTGAAATTCGAGGATATTGCTCGAATTCATTGCCTTTAATATGAGCCCTAAAAGTAAATTTATTCATACAAGTCCGCCTCTAGCGGAAGCTAACACGAACTAAAGTAGATACAATGTTTGAACAAATTCATACTAAAGGTCCATGCGTGTTGTAAGATGTTTGTGTTCGGGAAATGTGAGGGAATCAAATTAATGATGGTAGTTAATGCTACTGTTATACTTATTGTGATAGTTATTCCTACTTTCTTAGATTTACGCGAATATTTTAGATTTTAAATGAAACTATATTTTTGGATTTTCTTGCGGATTTATTTCGATTTTTGGTTTCCGAAGCTTCGAATGGTTTACAACTGGTCACAGGAGAGACTTAAGGTAAGGTGTAATTAAAGTAAATCCGCGAAAAAAACTGAAAACATAGTTTTATTTATAATAGTTGTTCATTTATTTCATTAGAAATATTTTCATAACATTGTATAATTAATGTCAGGAATTAAAGTATAATTTCCATATTATGTAAATAAATCTTTTTTGTGTATGTTAATTTCAGTATCTAAATAAGGCCATAAATTTAGATAATATAGCTATCAGATGTTATAGTCAGTCTATGAATGTATCGTTTATTCCGCACATGCTTAAATATGCCAATCGTCAATACATGTTTCTTAACAAGAGCGATTTTTCAATCATCAAATGAAAGTTTTTAAGCTTTTATGGTCACTGGCAACATTTCTATGATGTAAAACGGGATATTTTTTTGAGTTTCCGATATCTCGGCTCTGTTACAAGCACCATGTCTACTCTTGGATATATCGAGTATTGTACCAGTGCCAAAAATGTCGAGAAACCATGCAAATAATTTAATTACCATAGTAAATATGATAAAAGACAAAATTCTAATAAGAAATAACTTACATTTTGAAATAATTCATTTATTTCCATTATTATGCAATCAGGTCATAATTTTGTTAATAGGTTTTAAAACATTCTTTTAGTGACTAAAAGGCCAGTTAATTAATTATTATTTTATTTATGTGGACTATATTTTGAGTATTTTTTTTTATTTTTTGGATTGATATTGACATATTTTGGCATAATCAATTCCTAAATCTCAACACTCGTTTTATGAAAGTGTTATATAATTCAGTTTAGTATTTATTTGACAGCACTTTTTAGCACTAATCTTGCCTAAAAATTGTCTCATGATGCAAAGTAAACAAGTTTCTATAGTAATTATGAATTAAATAGCATATTTAGTAGTAAGCAATATTAAGTACCTATAATTTTTTTTTGTTATGTACTTACCTAGTGTTGTCTTTGTGGCAATACATTATTTAAATTGGACTTGATAACTTAGGCCAAATTCATTGATAGGAAAAATGTACAAATAAAGACACTTCTTTTTCAAATAGGTCTCAAATCGGCTCTGCTTTTATGAATTTTAAGTGAAATATTTTAAGAAAATTTATATGTAATATGAACACGACTTAAGTATGTTCTCAATGGTAATTATTATTTTTAGGTTTCTTGAAAAAAATTGTATTAGAATAATTATATCATATCTATTTACATTTCCTAATAAACTTTTATGAAACTTGAAGTTGTTTTGTTGGACACCCATTTTTAGAAAGCTTATGTTATATAAAAAAAGTTGTAAGCTCTTAAAAAATTAGGTCAATATTAATCTTAAACAGATTTTAGTCAATTTAGGCCTTAGTGTAAGGCAGGGTTTCCCAACCTTTCCTCTGTTGAGCCTCCTCGGATTATAAAAAATATTTTCATGCCCCCCTTAATTTTTTTATTATAATAAAACGTACATTTTAACAATTTATATTTTCATGTCCCGCTTAATTTTTTTTATTATAATAAAACTCATTATTTTAACTATACGCGTGCGTGCGTGGCGTGCCTCCTTGGTTGGGAACTCCTGTTCTAAGTCTCCTGAATCCTGGCATAAAAGAATTACATCGACGGAGTATGCTAAAAAAAAGTCAAAAATAGTATAATGTTTTAAAGCATTGTATTATTTTTAAAAATTGTCTTCATGTTTAGTGCTTTGACTGTCTTTATTATTCCTTACAATAATATTATGCCAAACGATAATGTTTTCAAATAGTATACTAATATTAATAGAATACTCATTACTGTGATATGTGAAATAAATGATAATAAATAAAATAGCTACGGGATTTTATCAAAAAAAAACTAAATATTACATAATATTATATTTCTCTAGCAAGGGCAAGAGAACTAATATTTAAAATTTAAAAAATACAAAAGAATGCAGTATTATTTTTATTATTCATATTTTATTTTCTAAATTGTGTATTAACAAAATTTATTTACGATTTGTACGGCAAAATGGAGAACAGTGTCTCACGCAGCACGCTACTATAAAGATGTGTCAACTCGATTTACTAACTCGAGTTGAATTCTCTGTGACTCGAATAGGATTTGCGTGGTAAATGAACGAATCAAGCGAGTACGCGATTGACCTTACGCAAGCGCGGCGGTTCGTTCGTTGTGTTCATACTTTGTACAGTCGTCAGCACTTCAGACTATACATTTATGTTGCAAAATCGCTGACCTATGACAACCGAAAAAGATGCCACAGTATTTAACTTAATCGCTGTCGTCCGTACTCCCGCCATAGCGTATCACCGAATTACAGCGTTATAATATCCATACTAATATTATAAATGTGAAAGTGTGTTTGTTTGTTTGTTTGTTTGTTTCTTTGTTTGTCCTTCTTTCACGTTGAAAAGGAGAAACGGATTGGGGTAATTTTTTGGGTGAAGATAGTTGGAGGGCTGGAGAGTGTTATAGGTTACTTTTTACCGCGGAAGATTATCTCATTTCCACGAGAAAACACGTTATAATATTACCCAAAAAAATATTTATGATCAGAATTACTTGAAACATGGTATTAACGCTCTTTAATACAATTAAATAAATATATATGTCAGCATTCTTCGAAATTTATTCTGTAAAATAGGGGATGAAAGTTTGTATGAGACCTACTTTTTAGTGTTTTTTTTGTAGTTTTAGCGTGAGCGAAGCCGCGGGTTCTGCTAGTAATAATATAAATAAATAAATATAAAAAATATAAATAATTATAATTGTCCCAATAAATATTTATTACGAATCTGTACCATTTTTTAATATTATTGCGAAGCCGAATCATTAAATTAGTACAAACAAAACAAATCATTCACTTCATTTTTCATCCAGTTAACTCGAGTTACGTAACTCGAGTTCAATTCAATTTACGTGAATTTCAACTCGAGTTAAATCGAGTTATATTTTTTCCGAGTTAGCACATCATTACGCTACAATTTTTGACTTTGACATTTATTTTGGCGGACTCCGTCAATATAGGTAAATGTAATTCTTTAGTCTGAGTTTTAGGTATAAAGTAATATATTATCTAGGTACAATATCTGGGTTATTAATACAATATTTCGGCATAGAGAACTATAGAGCTATTTCTAGTCTGTGCTAGAGATCAGAGAACCTTAGCTATGGCTATGCTATTCAGTGCTGCCAATTGGCGGGTAAATTACCCGAAAAGCGGGTAATTTTAGGCGATTTTTGATGGCGGGTAATTTTGACGGTATTTGCATTGACCACTGAGCAGGGTCAAGGCAGGTACAGTCCTCGCGCCTTAAGCTCAGCATTGCCTTTGTGTGAGTGTACACACATAGTGTACGGAGAGGTACGGCTTGTGGCGTAGCGCATGGTTTAAACCCGTTTAAACTGGTTAGTGGTTTTTGAAGCCCGGCCTGAGCGGCGGCGCGTCCCTTAAGTGTCATCTACCTGCCCCGCACTTTCCGCATTTCACCTCTTGTACCGTTTGCAGCTTATCGTATAATATTATATTGTTATTGTGTTTGAATGATTATATTATTATTATTATCATTAGTGAAATGGCTCCTACTGTAACTAAATTGACTACATGAAAACCATTAAACATCCAAACGAAATTTTTTTTGTGCAAATTGAACGAATATGTTAACGAGTGCCGATAGAATTATATAGAATTCTGTCGGCAGTCCTCATGACTACTTTTTTTTTGATAATTAAAATGTCAGCATTTCCTTCTGATAAAATGTTGATTTTATTTTTATGTGATTTTTTTGACTAACCTTACTTTTAGCTATCACACACACAAATGCAAAGCTGAGCTTACGCCTAGAGAACTGTATTTTAGTTATATTTTAAGTTTTTTTTTTATGTTTGATTTAATAATTTAAAGTTGTTTAATTGAGAACTGATTACAGTGACTTCTTTTTCTAACATTAGTTCTGTCTTTTATTCTATACAAAACATGAATTATATACTTAAAAAAACTTTTTTCGTGTATTCTGCTCATAGTTGGCGGCGGCGGGATAAGCTGGGTATTTTGATGTTTATTGGTCGAGTAAATCAATGACTTTTCTGGCAGCACTGATGCTGTTGTTTTGTCATAACAATTGTCAAAAAACAAGATTTTATAATTTCAAAATGTTATGCTAAATCATAAATAGTTACTGATTTAAATAGCTAGCGTGAATATGATGTGTAAGTTTTATAAATTAAAGTAATAGCATAGGACTAAATTATTGTTTTAAGTGTTTGTTATACATAACCTACGAGTGAAACAAAGCAGTTAAAATGTATTCAATTTGTCGTCAAACGCACCCGGCTACGGGAATCGAGCATGCTATTAGTTGTTGTTTCTTCAATAATGACGAAGTTTGCTTGGTTACTGCTGGTGCGAATATTATCAAGGTGTTTAGGCTGTTGCCTGATGGACACACAAAGGAGGTAAACGCCGGTAAGTGTTCTTTGTTATTGCTAATTAAAGACAAAATAATTATCATATTTAATGTTATTACCAGCTCTTCGGGTATAATATAAATATTATAGTTTATATTTAACAGCTCAACTATCAAATCAATATCTATCAAATAAAATTTAACAAATCAACTAATACAATATTAAAGATATAAAGTGTTATCTGTAGTTGACTTTAAAATATAAAAATATACTTCAGAATACATATAACTTTAATATATTAAATATAATTAGGTATGTTTTATGTTATTCATTCTAGCTGGCCAACCAATTCCGCCTAAAATGAAATTAGAATGCTTCGCTTCTTACACACTATGGGGTAATGTTATGTCTATTGCCTCTGTAAAATGCCCCAGTGCTGGAAGAGATTTATTGCTTGTATCCTTCAAAGAAGCAAAACTCTCGGTGTTACAATATGACATACAAACAAATAATTTAATTACTTTGAGTATGCATTATTTTGAAGAGGATGATATGAAGGTATAATGTTTAATTATTATGTAAAATATTTGAATTGATTTTCTAAGTTAATCTTGTTTTTTAATATCATGTAAGCATATATTTACATATCTTATAAGTAATTTATTTTACAATAAGTGCTCTCACATTCCTCACAAAATTTAAAATATATTCAATTATACAATTGAAAATATACTTTCTGGTAAAATATAGAAATATTTGTTGTATATTAACATAGACAAAGACAAATTATTCAGAAAGTTCAGTAACTTTTTTTCTTATCTATTTGTGAACCAATTTTCTTCTTTTTTTTGGTAAGTAGCTATTGCCGGAGTAGGGAGAGGCTGGAGTATTATTAATACAAAAAAAAACTCGATTACTATTTTGGTTGAATTTCAACCACTGGCCAAACAATAGCTTAACAATTATTTAATAGAATTAATTCATATTGTATTTAACTAGCGTCTCACCATTGCTTCGCTCGGGTTTGTCCCTATCTAAATATATAATATATATTGTTTTTCAATGATGTATTTGTTGACATTTATGATTACTGCTCCGCTCCCTTGCCTATAGTCTTCCTCAATAAACGGACTATATAATGTATAAAGAATTTTTCAAATTTAATTTGTAGTTTCTAAGATTAGCACATTCCAACAAACAAACTCTGCCTCTTTATAATATTAGTGTTGATAAAGCTAAAGTGTAAAATATATTATCAATTTATAGTATATTGAATTATATAATTGTTTTATTTACATAAAAATATTATATTTTTAAGGGTGGGTGGACAACACATCCACACATACCATGGATAAGAGTGGACCCTGAGTTTAGATGCGCAGTCATGTTGTTGTATGGTCGGAAATTAGCTGTGTTGCCATTTAGAAAAGATATCACATCGGAGGAAGGTGATCCATTAGAATCTAAGCCATTGGATAGTAAGAAAAATGTAAGTAAAAATCAATCTATAAGGTCAACTTAAAAAAAGGGTTATCAATTTTTATTTGTATGTATGTTACTAGATATCATCGCCAAATATAAACTAATTTTCATAATCTTTTGAAGTTATACTTCTTTCGGCACGTTTGGAAAAAATTACGATGCGCGCGCACATTGACAGTCAAAAAGCGACATGATGAAGTTAGGTACATTCCTTTTACAAACAGAGAGTTGTGATATACTGATGAAATCTTTAGCTATTTTTGTTCTGTTACGCCAAAGAAACTATAACTTCTTACGTGCGTACGCTAACATAAGTATACACACACGTTTTTTTTCTTTTCTTTGAAATTGCTTAAATGTAACTCCATATCTATGTTCAACATTTTTCAATACAGCTAAAACAATAGAATTGTAATTTACTCTAAAAACTTGTTTCTATGATCTTTTGATGTTGATGATCTTTATTGATGCGTAAAGATTTTTTTATTCATTTTTTCAGCAACCCGCCCAACAAATGACACGTGCACCAACTTTAGCGTCCTATGTCATAGTATTAAAGGAGTTAGACGAGAAAATTGATAATATTCTGGATATACAGTTCCTTTATGGATATTACGAGCCCACATTGTTGCTTTTGTATGAACCTGTGAGGACATTTGCTGGGTGTGTATATATTTTTTATTTAGGTGTCCTCCATTATAAGGAATCAGCCTTAATTTTGTTACTAACACTACTATATTTGTCTGTTTGTTTTATTTCTAAAGGTCTTACAACAACAGCCGAGTGGCCTTCTTATTTGTTAAGTGCATTGTTTTACATAAATTGTTCTTTTTTTATTGTTTTATTGTTGTTGTATTCTGTGTATATTTTTTTATTAATTCATTCATAAAGATGGTAAATATCCCATTGTACATTATAAAAACATATATCATGATGTCACTGGTTTCTTATTATTATTGTTTTGTTAGGTAATCTTGTGTATTGTAGTATATTATGTCCAAATTGAGTTTTCATTCATTCATTCGTCCATCCATTCATTAATTTATCCATAAACCCATGATTACTACCCCGTTATACACGATAGTATGTTATGTAGTGTTGTGTGTGTGTGCGCAGACGCACGGCGGTGCGCAGCGACACGTGCGCGATGGCGGGCGTGTCGCTGAACATGAGCGCGCGCGTGCATCCCGTCATCTGGGCCACGGGCGGCCTGCCCTTCGACTGCATACAGGCCGTGCCCGTGCAGAAGCCCTTGGGTGAGTTTTGTTTAAAAACAAAAACAAATCTATCCCACCGGAACCGTACATTATTCCAGAATATAACGTATCTCAGTGCCGAATTTCGCAAGCGAAGCGAGGGTGAGAACCTAGTAATCTCATTATTAATATTATGCGAAAGTTTGGATGGATGGATATTTGTCTGTCGTGTTGTGTTGTGGAACCAGAACGATTGAACGGATCTGGATGAATTTTGGCACAGGCATACATTACGAGTATTAGTCTGGAATAGCATATAGGTTGCTTTTTATCCAGGAAAAATGTATGGTTCTCATGGGATGGATTTGTTTTTCACTATAGACGAACCAGAGCGAAGCGAGGTTTAGTCGCTAGTAATAAAATAACAATTGAATAGTAGTTTGTATTTTTTTTATATTTTTTATTATTTAACAATTTAATGTATATAAAATAATACATCTCAGGTGGGTGTCTCATAATGGCGGTGAACTCTCTGATATATCTAAACCAGTCGGTTCCGCCGTACGGCGTGTCGCTCAACAGTGTGGCGACACACACAACTAACTTTCCGTTACGTAAGTATCGTATATGATAAGTATGATATTTTTTATATTTATGTGGGGTTGGCGAGATGAGTATGCGTGAAATGATATTTTATGAGGATACTATGAACAAATTGGCCACTGGACCCGACATATAAGCGGACGTACCTTTACCGGTCTTGTCAGTGACCAGGAAATTTTAGCCTTGGTCGTTTCTTTTTGCGTCAGTCTCAAGCACTTACTTGTCAACAAAACATCTCCCAAAAATGACTCAATGTCCTGTTAAATGGTGTAAAAACTATAGCGGCAGAAGCAGGAAAAAAATCGATTACTAAATAATCGATTTTTCTCTCTAAAATAAATCGATTTGTAAAAATCGATCAACTTAAAAATTACTCGATTTTATCGAACTATTCGATAAGTTGCATTTTTTGGAACACAATAATAACAAAAAAACAAACCCAAGTTTTTTTGTCAACTTAATCCAGTTGGAAACTGAATTAAATTATTGCTACTAATTTTTAGTACTATTTAACATTTTATTGAAATGTATATAAAACAAAACTATAAAATGTGTAGTTTGGCTACATTGGTTTAATCCAACAACGAATATCTTATGTTTTTTACTTTAAAAAAAGAGTAAGTAATATAATCGATTCATTAAAAATCGAATTTTAATATTTAGGAAACCGGTTTTTAAAAATCGATTTAAAATAAAAAATAATGGATGAATAAAAAGATGTATTATTTGTTGACATCCCCGGCAGGCATCCAGGAGGGTGTGTGCGTGTCGCTGGACGGCGCGCGCGTGGCGGCGCTGGGCGAGGCGCGCTTCACGCTGGCGCTGCGCGGCGGTCAGCTGTACGTGCTCACGCTGCTGTCCGACAGCGTGCGCAGCGTGCGCAGCTTCCACCTCGACCGCGCCGCCGCCTCCGTGCTCACCTCCTGCGTGAGTGTCGCACTCTTACACACACTGCCATACCGTTACACTAACAACTAGTTACTTACATTGATCCGCTTTTGCGTTCACTTCCTGTGTCACCACCAATCACCCTTACTAATTGCTTATTTAGATTTGTCCTACTGGATGTTATGGACTACATAATATTCTATTTTATAAATATGTAAGTGTGTACATATGTAATGTAAAATATAAAAAATAAAGCCAAACTCATTTTGTATTTAATAAAGAAATTTCATTTTTTTTATTCTACTTATAATTAAAAAAATTATTAATTTAAAATTTTTACTTACATAATATAGGAAAGTATCAAAATCTCATTTTCTTCAAATTAAAAAAAAATCTTAAGGAATGGATGTTTTTGAAATTAGAAAATGAAAAAAAATATTTTTTAAAGTGATTTTTAAGTGAGGGCAACTTTTTTAGTTTATTTGACTATTGTTATACGAGGGTAGATTGCAAAATGCTTAATAAAATAATGTATTTACAGATGTGCGTGATAGAAGAAGATTTCTTGTTCCTGGGCTCCCGCCTCGGCAACTCGCTGCTGCTGCGCGTGACGGAGAGGGAGAACCGCATGCTGTTCTCCGTCGACAAGCCTTTGGAGGCCACCGTGGACCTCACCATGTCTGATACTGGTGAGCTATGAAATCATATTATACATACATGTGTGTGTGTGTGTTTTTGTGTGTTACACAGATAGTGAAATTATCATTATGAATTATAAGGCAGTGGTAGCCCAGTGGTAATGCGCTTGCTTGGGAAACCGAGTGAAGAAGGTTCAAATCCCGGGTCTCGCACCTCTAATATTTTCATGTGCGGATCTTTTCTAATATGATTACCACTTACGGTGAAGGAAAACATCATGAGGAAATCTGCATGTTTTAGAAAACCTAGTAAGTTTTCGAAGGATGTGAATTCCGTAAACCCGCACTTGGCCAGCGTGGTGGACTATGGCCTGATACCCCTCGTATTGAAGGAAAGCCCGCGCCCAGTAGTGGGACGTTAAAAAGGGCTAAATACATTACGAATTTCACTATTATCTGATGAGCCATTGAACAAGGAACAAATTATCATCTTTTTGATATTTGTTTTATGTCAATCTTGTTACATATAAGATTTTTTACTTTATATTTTAAATAAAACTAGAGCTTTCATTCCCTACGAATCGTAAATACTATAATAAATTTAAATATTCCAGATAAAGAAAGAGAAAAAGAAAAAGATAAAGAACAAAACAAAGAACCACAAAAAGAGAAAGAGAAGGATAAAGAAGATCCAGCAACAAAGAAGAGGAGACTGGACACAATAAGTGACTGTGTAGCGACTAACGTCATAGAGATATGCGATAAGGACGAGTTAGAGGTGTATGGGTCAGACATACGAACTTCCACACAGTTGACCAGTTACGTGTTTGAGGTATGGGGCTCGATTTTTTTACTTTTTCATAAAAAAAAAAATTAAAAGGACGTAGAAAAAACCGAAAATATTTATTATTAATATGGGAATTTAAAAACTCTAATTTGGATTTTTCGGATAAATTCATTTCTCAGTGATAATTGGTCTCAAAATTCAATAAGTTAGTTAGTTTGAAAGAAGTAGTTATTTAGGTAGGATAAAAAGTAGTTTTGTAATATCTTTGTCAACGGGTTTGCCAATTCGGAAAGTAAAAACATTTTTATAACATTATAAAATATAGATTACAATTACATCATCAACATCGGCGAAACTTCGGCAGTTTTCTTTTTAAAATACAATAAAAAAAATTATGCTATGGGGAAATATATAAATATTTTATTTTTTATTTAAGTAGAGAAAGGTTAAAACGGTAGAAAGTTAAAGGAGAAAGTTACAATTATTTTAAATAAAACTATTTTTTCGGGTTTTTTCGCGAATTTATTTTTTACGTTCCGAATGCTTTACAGCAATCATGGTCCCGGGAGAGACCGAAAAGATAGTTTTGTTTAAAATGTCAAATATTCGCATAAATCTAAGAAAGTAATAAGTGACAATATATTATAGGCAATAGATTCATGTGCGAACACGTCACAAGGGACAGAGTAGTTGAGCAGTTTAAAAATGCATGTTTAGTATTAGTTTTGATAAAAAATTATAAATCATATAACTTCTTCATAATGAAACGATTATTTTTCTAAATAAATAGTCGGTATTAATAAATAATGAAATCTTTCATCCAATATAAAGATGAAATAATGAATAATTACTTTAAATCTTTTTGGATGTTTTCGCAGATTTATATTGATTTTTGGTGACCGACATTTCGAATGATTACAGCGATCATAGTCACGGGAGGGATTTTTTTTTTTTTTTTAATGAAAATTACATCCACAGGCTTTAATTGCCCGTGCCCTTTTTTATTACATTAATAATATTTTTACTTTTGGCGAATACATTTTATATTTGCTTAGAACTATATATTAATACCATACCAATATTCCCTGTAGGTATGCGACTCGCCTCTGAATATATGTGTGCCCTATCGGCGATATATTGATGATTTATTTGATGGTGATGATGATATACCGATTGTCAGCAACTATTAAAACTCGGTGAACATGTTAGCCAACCTTCAAGTATCTCTTATGGAGTTCCACAAGGTAGTGTTTTAGGACCTACCTTATTCCTAATTTATGTGAAAGATCTCTGTAACAAAAGTATTCAAAGTTGTAAAATATATACTTATGCCGATGATACCGCCCTCATCTTCAATGCAATGCAAAATCTTGGGAGGAGCTAAAACTTATTGCTGAATATGGGATGCGTTGGGTTTCTTGCTGGTTAAGATCGAATCTATTGACGCTAAATATAAACAAAACCAATTATGTAACATTTTCAATTCGTAATACTACACAACCTGACCTCCATTTCAGTTTAAAAGTACATACATGTAACTATCCGGACTCAAGTAGTTGCCTTTGCGACAAAATCTCTAAAACCGAAAAGATAAAATATCTTGGAATTATTATTGACCAGCACCTCACCTGGCGACATCATATAGAGAGCATGGTTGAGAAGATGAGGAATCTTATTTGGATATTTAAAAAACTTAGGCATGTAGCGAATAAATCCACTCTTATTACCGCCTATAAAGCTTTAGCGCAATCTATACTAAGCTACTGCATTACTGTTTGGGGCGGTGCAGCCAAAACGCATTTAATAACTTTAGAAAGGGCGCAAAGATCTCTGTTAAAAGTGATGTTTTTCAAACCTTATATTTTTCCAACCTTCGACTTACATAATAACTACAAATTGTTAACCACTCGCCAAATCTACTTATTAAATTGCGTACTTAAAGTTCACCGTCACTTACCTTTTATTCCTAGTCTGATCCAAAAACGTAGGGGTAAGGCCGTTTATCCTATCCCTACCAGTAAAACCAAATTTAAGAAAATGCAATTCAACTGTCAATCGGCATATCTTTACAATAAGCTTAACAGCAGACTTGACATAATACTTTCTTAGATTTACGCGAATATTTGACATTTTAAATAAAACTATCTTTTCGGATTTTGTCGCGGATTTATTTGGATTTTTGTTTCCAATAATGGCAACACTAAATATAGATTACTAATTAATATTTTAAAATTGTAATAATTATAAAAATAATAGCAAAATTAAATAAATAATTTTCCATATTCAATTATAATTAAAATTATAAAAATGTTTAAAGTTAAAAAATATTGTAATGTAATTGGTACAATTTTCATTTTGTTAATTGTGGGTAGGCTGTCTGTAACAACTATACATTCAAGACATGTAACACCTCAGTCTCTCCCGTGACCATGGATGCTGTAAAGCATTCGAAACGTCGGGAAACAAAAATCCAAATAAATCCGCGACAAAATCCGAAAAGATAGTTTTATTTAAAAAGCAGACTTGACATTTACAGTCTTTCTAAAACCCAATTAAAACGTGTACTAACTAAAACTTTACTGACATTAAACTATGATGAGACTGAAAAATTGATGATCAATCAAAACGTCGTATAATACATGTTCGAGCGTCCCATATTTACGCACTTTTATGTACACATAGGTAACACGTGCACACACAAACACATACACATGCTGTGCGCGTATAGGGGGGTTTTACTGGGATTTTTAAATGAAAAATTAAAACTTTGATGACCGGACAGCACGCAGTCTTACGATTTATTGAGAAAGAAAAATTTAAAATCACCGTCTGTGCTACAATGACAATATATAACGACGCCTGATAGAAAAAAAGAGCATTACGTTGGTTATGTTACTTAATTAACTTAAAATAGTTTAATGGTGCTTCAACACATGCACACACACACAAACGCAAACTTATATATGTAATTTATTGTAAATTTTTACTTTGTTTTCACTCTGTTGACTTTCTAGTCTTGGTGGATGAGCAGGGTACCCAGTAATACGGGTCTACATCTAGTACAGGGGCCCTTGCGACTAGCTTGGAATGTAATCTTTAAGTCAATAAAAGTATTTTTTTATTTTTTTTATATATTGATTTTTGGTTCTCGACGTTTCGAATGATTACAGCAATCATGCCCGTGGATTGGAGATTAATTCAAATAATCCCTGTAGGTGTGCGACTCTCTGCTGAACATCTGCCCGATCGGCGACATATCGATGGGCGAGCTGCAGCTGGCGGCGGAGGGCGAGGGCGAGGCGCGGCGCGCGCTGGAGCTGGTGGCGTGCAGCGGCCGCGGCAAGAACGGCGCGCTCACCGTGCTGCAGCGCTCGCTCCGGCCGCAGCTCGTCACCGCCTTCGATCTACCCGGTCAGATAAACTATAAATAAATAAATATCTCGTTAAATGTTATGCTAGTCATGTCCCATTTTATATTACATATATAATATTATAATTCGAATGTTTGGTTGAATGAATTGGATGGTTTCTAATTCAATCACGGCTAAACGGATCTGGATGAAATTTGGCACAGAGATAGATTAATTATAGTTTGGAATACCACATAGGTTACTTTTTTTACCGAAAAAATGTACCTTCCTCGTGGGATAGATTTATTTCTCACAGAGCAAGGGATCGACTATTTATTCCATACTGACCATTAAAAAGTATTCAATTCAATCAATTCAAAACTATCTAATATTCAATTCGCTAGTAAGGATATAATGTTCACATATTACATTCTTAGATTTACGTGAATATTTGACATTTTGGATAAAACTATATTTTCGAATTTGCGAATTTATTTTGATTTTTGGTTCTTAACGTTTCAATGCTATACAGCAATTACGATCACGGAAGAAAGAGTTTTATTTAAAACTAGCGACTCACCCTCGCTTTGCTCGGGTTTGTCCCTAGCTTGCTTCCCAATACAAACTTTCATCCCCTTAAGGGATTATATCCAAGATAAAAAGTATCCTATGTCCTTACTAAGGTCTCAAACTATCTTTTTACTAAATTTCATCTAAATCGGTTCAGTAGATCCACAGGCTACCCCCTACAACATCACAAACTCCAAAATTTTACCTCTTTATAATATGAGTATAGATTATATTATAATGTTTGTTTATCGTATGGTTTCAGGGTGCATCGACATGTGGACGGTGGTGGGCGAGGCGGCGGACAAGGAGGAAGGCACGCACGCCTACCTCATACTCACGCAGGAGGACTCCAGCATGGTGAATAAATAAATATCTATACATAAAACAAAGTTTAACAACGTTTATTGTCCGGTAATACTTTTTACAGTGACATTAGACATGACAGTTTTAAAAAGAAAAAAAAGTAGGCACACAACCGCCACAATTTAACAAAAAGGTTGGAACTGTTCATTCAGAAAATTACAATTAAATATTTTATGTTTATTATTCCAACAATTTTTTTTCAAATCTATCCAATGAGGTATCAAATTGAAGCGTTTTAAGAAAAAGTTATATAACTAAAAATCGTCCCTTATGAACTTCTGTGATAATATAATAAAATCTTGGAATGGACATCTTGGTGGGTCATTATTTACTATGGTATATAAACTTTAATCGTTTCAGATTCTACAAACTGGTCAAGAAATAAACGAAGTGGACAACTCCGGGTTCGTGACGGGCGCGCCGACTATATTCGCTGGCAATTTGGGCAACAACAAGTTTATGGTCCAAGTCACCACTTCCACAATACGATTAGTTCGAAGTGAGTGCTTTTGTTTTTTTTTATTTTATTTTGTTTTCGGTGCATTTTTTGATGATTACAAAAAAGGAATACGTTCTTAATTCGTTTTTTTTTGTTTTGTATATGTTTTTAGGGTTCCTTATTTCAATAGGGAATACAGGACCCTTATAGGATTTACTTTCAGGTATTTTAGTAGTATGAAGTTTCATCGCGATCGGTTTAGTATTAAAAGGAAGGTAGACGCAACACGTGTATTCAATAAGAGAGAAGATAATGAATTCATCTATATATATAAAAGAAAGTCGTGTTAGTTACTTCGCTTATAACTCAAGAACGGCTGAACCGATTTAGCTGAAAATTGGCAGGGAGGTAGTTTAGAGCCAGGAGAAGGACATAGGATACTTTTTATCCCGTTCGACCGCGTTCCAATTTTTATGATATTTTAATTTTTGGATTTCTCTTAGTCCGGAATAGGTAAGTATTAAAACATATAATTAAAATGTGAGAAAGAAAGATTTTTTCTTTTTATATCTATTTAAAACGTACCTAGCGACGAACCCGAGCGAAGCGAGGGTGAGCCGCTAGTTTAATAATATGTGTACTTAGTTATTATTATTTTTTCATTTTTTTGTCTCTCTGTCTTGGTTTGTCGTTTTTTTTATAGTGATGTGAATATGGTCATGTTTTGGAAAATATTACCTTTATTAGACGACACGTTTGGCTCAGTTTATAGTAATCCTACTTGCTGTGCCAGCGATGGCGAGTTCGAGTTCCGCTGGGGGCATTCATTTGTGTAATCAGTACTAATGTTTACTCCAGGCGTGAGTGTTTATATTTATAATATGTATGTATTTAAAGTTATATATGTGTAGTGTATCAACTATCTGGTATCCATAACACGAGCCTTGTAGTTTACCATGGTCCCAACATATTTACTTTACTTATTCTTAAATTTGTGTTATTTTGGTTGTATCATTGTTCTTACTCACGTGTGCCAATAAGAATGTATGCTCAAAATTGACGTGTTTGCGTGTTTGTCCGGCAGACGGCGTGCAAGTGCAGTCGATCACGCTGGAGTGGCGCGCGGCGAGCGCGGCGGCCGCCGACCCCTACGTGTGCGTGGTGTCGACGTGCGGCCGCGCGCTCGTGCTGGCGCTGCGCGAGCTGCGCGCCAGGGACCCCAACGTCTGTACACACTATACCACACCACTACACTGTGTTACACTGTATCAGTGGCGAAGGGTCCGTACAATACGTCTTAACTTAAAATGTATTTTGCTTTCATTTATATCAATGTTTTTTGTGATTTTTTTGAAACGGCTTACCGTTGCTAAAATTTCTCCCTTCGCCACTGCTACACCATTACATTATATTACACTGTATACAGCCATATATAAAAACATAGATACCTACATTTTAAATAAAATTATCTTTTTGAATTATTCCGCAGATTTATTTTGAGGTTTGGTTCTCAACGCTTCGAATGCTTTATCGCAATCATGAGCACATGACCTCTTCTGTGACCATGATTTTTTTGGTACATTTTTAATTTAAAAAATAATAATATTCCAGTCAGCTCGCCTGGCGCCCACAAGGCAAGCCGTACCGCACAGACCGTCCATAGTGCGTGCAGTACCCTACAGAGATCTTAGCGGGCTGTTCACTACCACAGATGAAAATGTGCAGGTAAGTTATCTGTACTAATATTATAAACAGGCGCAGTTCGTTTGTTTGAACTTGTTTATTTCAGGAACTACTAATCCGATTTGAAAAATTCTTTTTGCATTAGATAGCCCGTTAGGAAGGCTATAGGCTATATATCATCACGATACTACCTAAGGGAGCAGAGCAGTAATCATAAATGTCAACAAATCGGGCAGACTTCTGGCTGCTACTGAGATGGCTTCAGGGTTGACGGTATGACTAACGTACTATGAGATAGCACTACAGCACTTTTACGTTGAAGTCTTTCGCCTAAATTTGTTTAAGAACTCATGAACCCTTCGAGTAATGGTGTATCTATAAGTCTAGAAATTCTTTTAGTGATGATAGCGTGCCAAGTATGGTAACCACCGCTTGGCGAGTATCAGTCCTGCACGTCATTTTCAACTTGATTATCGCCTTAATTCACTGTAAGATGAAAGAAAACATCGTCAGGAAACCTCGTGCACGTCTGAGAAAATGTTGCTAGTTTTCGAAAGAAATGTGAAGTTTTCCTCTCACGTGGTCGATTATGGCCTTGATAGCCCTTGCGTTGATGAAGAGTTGCCTTTGTGCCTACTAATGGAATTTGAATTGGGTTGAATGGTAAATGAGGATATAATTTAATTATGTTTCAGGTTAAAGGAGAATTTACGGGTAAAATGAAGGGTAAGAATGTGAAAGCAGAGGGTTTCAAGCCAGACACAGTGTACGAGTTGAATGATGAAGATGAGCTGCTATATGGTGGGGACCAGACACCGGCATCTATGGCCAGTGTAAGTGAAGAATTTATTTGATTTTGGTATTTAAAAAAAAAGAATTAAAAAAACTTGGTTTAAAAAAGGTTATAAAAAAATTAAAAAAATTATATTTGAAAAAAAACGTTTCCTTTATGAATAATTGTTTTTTGTTTTGTTAGTACTTTAATACTATGAAGACAATCGATGTATGTATATGATAGGTTATGGACCATTGTTACCTTCTATAATGTCTGTGCAGTGTTGCAAAAAAAACTTTCTACTGTGAGGAAAATAAATAAAAAAAAACGCATGTAAAAACGCGTTTTTTCTGGAGTATATTTTTTTTCAAGAGAATACAAAATCATTAAGGTAGTTTCTGTGAAAGATTAATTCTTAAGAGTTCATATTAGAGTTTTCTCTTTATTTTTAAACCTAGCATACTGTTTTGGTTGGATAGCACCAAGTTTACATGTGAAAATTCCGACACTGACAAGGACAAGACTAGTGTAGTTGGCATTGGCACTGTAATTGGTACTGACATTGACACAGAGAAAGAATACATTCGATTTGTAATTTTAGTAAAATTAAAAAAAAATAGAAAACATCCTCTAATGATCATTTAATTTCCTATCGATTTTTTTTTCTAAAAAAAATCATTATTATAAAAAAACGAAGATACTAAGGTTTTTTCTAGTGAAAAAAAACAAAGTCGTTTTTCCATGTTACATCACTGTCTGTGTGGTATAAAAGTAAAGCAAAGCCAGCAGTGTGTGTGTACGTGTGTGCGGTCGCAGATAATGCTCGCGGAGCAGTCGGCGTCGCGCGCCACGGCGGCGCGGCGCGCGGCGCGCTGGTGGCGGCGCGCGGAGGCGCGCGCGTCGGCGTGGCTGTTCGTGGTGCGCGACAGCGGCAACCTCGAGCTATACTCCCTGCCCGAGATGCGCCTCAGCATGCTCGTGCGCGACGCGCTCGCCGGCGAACGGGTGCGTACATACACATATACTATTTTATTGGTCACAAAAACGTATTAACTGTGTGTAATCTATACAGGTAAAAAAATGGAAGTGTCTGTTTGTAATGTCAAAATAACAGCATTTTACTAAATGCATATAAAATTATATACTGTAGGTATAAGTAATATATAAGTAAAACACATTTTTAAATTTTTGTCTGTCTGTCTGTTTGTTTTGGATAACCTTTGAAACGACTGGACTGATTTTGAAGGGACTTTCACTGGAAGATAGCTGATGTTATAGGGAGTAAGATAGGCTACTTTTATTTTAGAGAAAAAGTTGGGTTCCATTCAAAAAATTTTAAACGTACCTAATAACGAAACTGAGCGAAGCGAGGGTGAGCCGCTAGTTGTATATATTTTTATTGTTCTTTTAGATGTAATGTTGTACTAATATAATAGCATGTTGTAATCACCTGTAATTAAAAATACAATCATCATGTTTTTATAGTAATGAATTCTTTTTTATATATAATTTATTGTAACTTTTGTTGGTAATTCTAATAAATAAATACGCATACAGTTTTTTTAAATAAATACGCATACACATTATATTTTGTTCTTTGTATTTTACAATATTGAAGATAAAATAGAACATACTACGTAATGACTGACGCCTCAAATAGTACTCTATTTTTATGTCCCTCATGCAACAACAATATTTTATTTTCACAATATTTTAAATTTTAATATATTTTTTACTTGAAATTTTACTCTAAAAATCTTTCTTACTTTCCAACTCATATTGTACTGACAACTATCACCCGCACACCTATAATGAAAATGCAAATGAAAATATAAATATAAAATCTGTATGAATGTGTGTATGTATGTTCCAGATACTGGCAGATAGTTTAGAGTCTGTACCGATACCCGCCACCACGGAGGAAGAGCCCGCGGGGCACAACCCTAGCGTGGAGCGTCTCAAGGAGCTGTTAGTTGTGGGGCTCGGGCATAAAGGGTCGAGGGTGCTGATGCTGATGAGGTGTGACGATCAGCTCATGATTTACCAGGTAAGAAATTAAGGCGAAGGAAGTTAGAGATCGAGGGAGAGAGAGAGAGTGGGAGAGAGAGTGAGAGTGAGAGAGAGAGAGAGAGCGAGAGAGAGAGAGCGAGAGAGAGCGAGAGAGAGAGCGAGAGAGAGAATTTATGTTTTTGTGACTATTGTATGTTTGGGTAATATTAGAAAATATAGAAGATCATAATATTGGTAACTTAAGGATATGTTTGGATGTAAAATTATACTAGCCAAAACTTAAGTTCTAAGATTTTCGAAATGAAGTTCCTCATCGCACACTTGGGACATGAGATATAGACGGAGAAAATAAAATGTGTAATATTTTTACCGTCACGACACGTTTTACTATTTACTAAGAGAATCCTATGTGACTCTTTGACGGGGCCCTACATATATAATAGACATTTCTTGAGACTTGTGCTCCTCTAGTACTCGTAATAATTGTTGTCACCAGATATTATTAGCTAGGGGCAGCCTATAATGTGACGTAGGAATAAGGAGTGTATGTTGTAAGAACTGATTTCAAATATATACCTACCTTATTGTTATAAAAAAAAATATAAATATTTGCATAAAGAAATTATGATGTTAACCAAGTTTGTGGTTGAAGCCCTGTATTCATGCATCTGTATTATTTATTAATTTATATATGTATCTTTTCATCTATGAGTATTTATATACTATGTAAACGTGTCACAGCGAATACATTGCCTACCGTTTTATATAAAATTTACTCCTCCACTTCAAAGCCTGGAAGAGATCGCTTTCAGCCATAAGGCCAATCCTTTTTTTATTTTTTTTAACCGACTTCCAAACAGGAGGAGGTTCTCAATTCGTCAAAATCTTTTTTTTTGTGTTTTTTTTGTTTGTTTGTCCTTCTTTCATGTCGAAACGGAGTGACGTATTAGCGTGGTTTTTTATGTGGAGATAGTTGTAAGGCTGGAGAGTGACATAGGCTACTTTTTATTGCGGGAGGTTATCTAATTCCCACGAGAAAACACGTTATAACACAATCCAAAAAATATTAATGATCAGCATTACTTCAAACTTGGTATTAATGCTCATGCAATGAAAATGTAAATAAATACGTGTTTTAGCATTTTTCGAAATTCATTATATAGGGGAGTAAAATAGAGGATGAAAGTTTGTATGAAACTACCTTTTTAGAGATTTTTTTGTGGTTTGAGCGCGAGCGCAGCCTAGTATTATATATTCTGCTAGTATTATGTATTATTATTTCATAATAAAAATAGCCAAAAACAATCAACTACAACACATCCGCAGGCATACAAATACCCTCGTGGTAACCTAAAGCTGCGTTTCTCGCGCATGCCGATGTCGTTCCCGTTCGGCTACCGGGCCGGCGTGGTGGCGTGCGCGGACGACGGCGCCGACGCGGCCGCGCTCAGGGAGGGCGTCAGGCAGATGAGGTATTTCGGTGAGTAATAATCACTACATACTATAAAACAAAGTCGCTTCCCGCTCTATGTCTGTCTATCTGTCTGTCTGTCTGACCGTCTGTTCGCGATAAACTCAAAAATTACTGCACCGATTGTCATGCTGTTTTCACCAATGGATGGAGTGTTTCTCGAGGAAGGTTTTAGTATATATATAATTTGTTAAGTTTTTGTATACATTAGCTAAAATATAACGATATTATTTGGAGGTGTTGGAAAAAAATAAACCGTCTGGGGTGCTTTCAACGAAAACGCTGCCTAAACCCATTGAGATATAACAAAATAATGTATGGTGGAATTGTTTATCTTATATAGGTCTACAGAAAAGTCCGCGATGGCATATGTCTATCTCTTAAGGATATCATTATACTATATCCCTTAGAAGCTCTATTTAGAGACGTAGGTACCTATGACAAAATAAATAGTGTCCAATGACTATCAAAACTCGTAATACTTAAATACTTATACTTTCCCATCATCAGGTAACGTAGGAGGATACAACGGGGTGTTCGTCTGCGGGCACACCCCCTACATGTTGCTGCTGGGGTCGCGCGGGGAGCTGCGGGTGCACCCCCTGTGCCCCGACGAGGGGCCCGTCTCGTCCTTCGCGTCCTTCAACAATACTAACTGTCCGCAGGGTTTCTTGTATTTCAATGCTAAGGTGAGTTTGTCACTTTGTACGTTACTCTTGTAGGCTCATGCTTATTTTTATATGACGCATTTCTATATATTACTAGCAGAAGCCGCGACTTGCCCGAGATCGATCTACAAAAAAGATCTTTTTTGCTTTGTGTTATATTGCGACAAAAGTATAATTTTATGTATTTATATAATATTAAATTATTTCGATATTGTTCATACAAAAATACTAAAATCGCGGTTAAAAATGGCGATTGGGGGTAGTAGAGTGAGAAATACTTAATGACCTATTCCCATACCTACTAAATTTACAAAAAAAAAATGATATACTAAACTCGCATTAGAAAGTGGAGGGTGGGAGTAGGATGGTGAAAAATACTTTACCTTTTCTTATACATAGCAAATATATAAAAAATATATCATTAAAATCGGTCGAGCCGTTTCGGAGGAGTGCGACTAAAAACACCGAGACACGAGATATTTATATATTCCATTATGTATTATATTTACTTTTATATGATTATTTAGTTTAATTTCCAAACTAAATAATCATCGGATACGGAAATTAAATGAAATAACGTAGCCTAAGGTGTGACCCTATAAGGTGAACGCTAGGGTGGAACGAAAAAAATCTTGGGGGGTGAATTTGTAGCTTATAAAAAACAAAATGTTTGAAATAAAAAAGAAATGAACATTTTGAGGTAGTTCACTGGTTTTTGAAATTATAATTAATCTAAATTTTTGGTTGAATGGATTTTTTTTATTGATTACCTTTGAAAACATTCAAGAGTTGATGAATTTAGTTATTTTCTACCCACTTATCATTGTAATATTGTATTCTTGCAATTTTATAAAGAGTTGAAAAAATATCATGTTGGTTTTTTTGTATTACAATGAAAGTTGACTGGAAAGTGACTAGGTTCGTAAATTCTTGAATATTTTCAAAGATCACGCGAAAAAAAATGCATGTGAACCAAATTTTTTTATTAATTATTTATTTTAACCTCAAAATGTTGCATTATAAGCAACAAATTTTATTTCCAAGCTCAGATTTTTTTTTCTTTTTCGCTCCACCCAAGTGAACGCACATGGGGTCGTAATCTAAATTGGGGTTGTGCGTGGCGGGCGCAGGGCTCGCTGCGCATCAGCGTGCTGCCGGCGCACCTGTCGTACGAGGCGGCGTGGGCGGCGCGCAAGGTGCCGCTGCGCGAGACGCCGCGCGCCGTCGCCTACCACGCCGAGTCGCGCGTCTACTGCGTCGTGGGCTCCGCCGCGCTCCCCACGCACCACTACTACAGGTTCAACGGCGAGGACAAGGAGAGGGCGGCCGACAATAAGGGAGATAGGTGACTACACACTCCATTGTTTGTTCAAACGATCAATTTACTGAAATAGTTTTTATTGATTCCCCATACAAACTTTCATCCCTATTTTCATCCCTTTGAAGGATGATTTCCGGGATAAAAAATCCTATGTCCTTCCTAGGGTCTCAAACTATCTCCTTACCAAATTTGATCTAAATCGGTTTAGTAGACCCAGAGATTACCCTCTACAACATCACAAACTCACAATTCACAAACTTTACCTCTTTATAATATTAGTATACTGTATAGACTAGCAAGTCGCTACCGAATGTCACAAGATTACCTGTTCGGCTAATCTGAATTGATTTGAAAATTTCATCAGCACCAACCATTTTGGAGTCTATAAGGACGTGTATATGTCCATACACACATCGATTTTTATAACACTTTTGAGTGTCAATTTTATTGGTATCAAATACATATATACATATAAATAAATATAAGAATTACAATTTTGTTAACTTTGTTTTTGAATTACAGGAAAAAAACTTCATTTTAAAGTTTTCCAACGCTTTCCATAGTTCCTAAGCATTATGCGGTTACTATCTTTGGGTAATTCCCTATGGGTTAATCAGAGATGAATCTGGAATGATAAAATGAATCCGACGTATATTAGACTCGAGTAGTGTGAATAATTTTTATATCGTTTAATCGTTATATACTTATCTTTTATAACAACGTGTTCCCAGGTTCCCATATCCCATGATGGAGAAGTTTTCCGTGATGCTGTTCTCGCCTGTCTCATGGGAGGTGATTCCAAATACGCGAATAGAGTTCGACGATTGGGAACATGTCACGTGCTTGAAGAACGTTTCTCTTTCTTATGAAGGGACCAGGTGAGTTACCGCCATAATACATATATATATATATATATATATATATATATATATATATACTTCGTATCAACTTTTTTTATCAATTAATTATTTACTTTTAAAATCATTGTATCTTTTTATTTAACAATAATTATATTATATTATAGACGTTTTTGGACTTTTTCGCGATTTTATTTTTATTTCCGACGTTTTGAATGCTTTACAGCAATGATGATTACGGTAAAGACTGGTAGCTCTATTTTAAATGTCAAATATTCACGTAAATCTAAAGTCGTAAATATAAAACATTTTTGTCACTCAATAATTAATTGCCAGTAGATTAAGGAGTATCCATTTTGTAATTACAAATTAATTAAAGAAATAATAAAATATGTTTGTTCTCAGATCGGGTCTGCGCGGGTATATAGCGATAGGCACAAATTATAACTACGGTGAAGACATCACGTCTAGAGGAAGGGTAAGTGTGTTGTGCCTTTTTAACTGATATTTTGTAGTGAGACCAATCATCGTATTTGTGTTTATTTGTTCAAACCACCAATACTTGTTGTACTTTGTGGCAGAGAGTTTTTTGAAATGAAACTTCTTTAGAATCCTTGTAATTTGAAACTCGATGGATGAAATTGAAATGAAATGTGACAACAGAAAGAGACAAATACATAAATATATAGGATGAGGCCGGCGAGAGAATGAAATAGAATTCATTACACAGGAAGTGAAAAATAATACTGAATAACATATTGTGTAATATATAATAAATAAATTGTAAAATAACTTTAAACTTGCAAAAAAAGTGTATTTTATAAAAATATGTATTCTTTGATTTGTTCAATTCTAATTTTTGACTATTTTCATTGTGCCCACTGTAATATTTTTGTAACTCTATGGTAAATTCTTCTATGTCATTATGTCATTGTCAATTTGACGGTTTCACTGGTGGTGTCTTTAATTTGTGTGACGAGCACCAAAGTTTTTACTCCAGTCATGGGTGCTTATATGTGTAGTGTATCAACTATCTGGTACTAGTACCATGGAACTTGATGGTGCTGTGTGTTTATTCATGTAATTCGATTTGGTGAGTCCCATACATTACAACATACCAAAAGGGGTTTTCTAAGGTTTTTAAGGCAATAATTATTTCAGATATTAATCTATGATATCATAGACGTGGTCCCCGAGCCTGGCCAGCCGCTCACTAAGAACAGGTTCAAGGAGATCTACGCAAAGGAACAGAAGGGACCCGTCACAGCCCTCACACAAGTTTTGGGCTTCCTCATATCTGCTGTTGGACAGAAAGTGAGTTATTTATATTTATGTAGCAGAAAGCAATTTTACTTATTAACTTTATATCTAACCTCACGAGTGAAGGTCATAATATAATAAGTTGTATAACATGTTATATATTATATATACTTCTTGGCCCTATTAGTTGCAGAGTTAAGAACATGGCGAGTCTATATCTTCTTAAAAAACTATTGTGTTCCTATGGACGCGTCTAAGCGAAGTCAGGTGTTCCAAAATGGTAAATTAAACGTGGAGAGTGATTGATTTATTTTTTGTGAACTTATTATAATACTTTTGGCGCTTCCTTCAAAATGTACCTAGTCGCTACATTGGCGCCGTTCTAATTTAACGCTATTCGACGGAAAGTTTTTCATCACAAACATAGTTCTCCATAGGTCTACCTTTCATACATCGAAATAAAACTTTAGTTCTGAAATAACATTCGTATTACAGACTAGCTTCGCTTGGGTTCGTCCCTGGGTACGTTTTTTTTGAGCGGGGAATCCTAATCCCTTTTCTAAAATAAAAGTAGCCTATGTTACTTTTTTTTTTTTTTTTTTTTATGGGACTAAGGGGGCAAACGGGCAGGAGGCTCACCTGATGGAAAGCGATCACCGCCGCCCATGGACATCTGCGACACCGCAGGGCTTGCAGATGCGTTGCCGGCCTTTAAGGAAAGTGTACGCTCTCTTCTTGAAGGTGGCCAGGTCGTAGCGGTTCGGAAAGACCGCCGGCGATAGCTGGTTCCACAGAGTGGTTGTGCGAGGCAGAAAATGCCTTAAAAATCGCACTGTGGTGGAACGCTGGACATCGAGGTGGTGTGGATGGAATTTACTATTTTGGCGCGATGTCCGATGATGAAATTCAGCAGCCGGGATCAGTCCGAACAATTCCTCGGAACACTCCCCATGATAAATGCGGTAGAAGATGCAGAGTGATCCAACATCTCTACGAAGAGCTAAAGGATCAAGCCGATCGGAAAGAGCTTGATCGTCGATAACTCGAGCCGCCCTACGTTGAATGCGGTCAAATGGAAGTAGCTGGTACTGGGGAGCTCCCGCCCAAAGATGAGAACAGTACTCCATGTGGGGCCGAATTTGCGCCTTATAAAGAATAAGACGCTGACGCGACGTGAAGTACTGTCTCGCCTTGCTGAGCACACCAAGCTTCTTTGAGGCCAGTTTGGCCTTACCTTCCAATTGACCACGGAACTGGACGTTGCTCGAGATGTCGACGCCAAGTATTCCGATACTGGCTGTGGGAGACAGAGGAGTGTCCTCAAATTGAGGAGCTACGATAAATGGCGACTTTTTAGCGGTTAACGCGCAAACTTGTGTCTTTTTGGGGTTGAATTGGACTAAGTTTAGTCGACCCCAATCCGAGACTTTGGTTAACAGAGATTCGACTTCAGACACAAGTTTGTTCCGGCTCTCGTTGACGTATTCCCGAGAAATATTAGCGCGGCCAGTGTACAGCGCATCCACAGTGCTATCGTCTGCATAGCAATGAATGTTGCTAATTTGCAACATGTCATTGATATGCAGAAGGAACAGAGTAGGAGACAGTACACAGCCTTGTGGAACACCAGCATTGACATATTTAGGATCAGAGCAAGCACCGTCGACAACGACCTTAATGCTCCGATCTGCCAAAAAGCTGGTGATCCAGTTGCAAAATTTCTCGGGGAGCCCATAGGAAGGTAGCTTCGAAAGAAGCGCTTTGTGCCATACCCGATCAAAGGCCTTCGCTATGTCCAGACTGGCAGCAAGCGCCTCCCCCTTGGTCTCAACTGCTTCTGCCCATCTATGTGTCAGGTAAATTAGAAGATCACCAGCTGAGCGACCTCGACGGAAGCCGTACTGGCGGTCGCTAATCAGCCGGTGCTCTTCTAGGTACCGCAGGAGCTGGCAGTTGATAATGGACTCCATTATCTTAGAGAACAAGGAGGTAATGGCTATAGGCCTGTAATTGGACGGATCCGAGCGGTTGCCCTTTTTTGGGATCGGGTGCACTAAAGCGGCCTTCCAGGATTTCGGGACTACGCCTGATGAATAGGAGTACCGGAAAAGACGCGTTAAGACCGGTGCCAACTCCGGAGCACATGTCTTCAACACGATCGGAGGGATGCCATCGGGCCCACTCGACTTATGAATGTCCAAGGAAAGAAGTGCTTTGCGAACTGCACTTTGCCGGAACTGAACTTCCGGCATCGTAGTATCACACCGCGGGATTATCGGTGGTGAGTTTCCTTGGTCATTCAGAGTCGAATTGGACGCGAAGAGAGTGCCCAGTAGTTCGGCTTTCTCCTTCGCGGTATGAGCCAGCGAGTCATTCTCCGTGTGCAGAGGTGGAAAAGAAGGCTTACAGAAATTCCCTAAAACAGCTTTGGAGAGAGACCAAAACGCACGTGTTCCTGAAGGGAGACGCCCCAATCTCTCGCCAATTCTGCCGATGTGCTTCGACTTCGCATTAGCGATACTATTTTTGAAGGACCTGGAGGCAAAGTTATACTCCTTTTTAAAGGCGCTCGTATTTACATCACTAGACGCCGATGCGCCAGCCCAGGCTTGGTAGCATTCCAGCTTTCGGCGAGATGCCGTCTTACAGGAGTGACCAAACCAAGGCTGGGATTTGCCTCCAATGGGTACTGCAGAGAACGGAATAAATAGTTCCATACCCTGAAGTACCACATCGGTGACAGCGTCAGCAACGACGTCTGGATCATCTGGCGAGAAGCAAATTTGCCCCCATGGGTAGGACGCAAAGAATGACCGCATCCCGTCCCAATCCGCTGACCTGTAATGCCATACACGGCGACAGCCCGCAAAGCGAGGCCGTGTTGAGCGCGTCACTGGCACTGTACTCCGGACAAGACAGTGGTCCGACGAACCAAGAGGGGGATCGACGGAGACCAGGTAGCCGTCCGGATGAGAGGTCAACAGAAGGTCCAACAGGGAAGGTGTATGATCTTCCACATCAGGGATTCGCGTTGGCGAGGTAACCAGCTGTGTCAGATCATATGCCAATGCGAAATCGTGAACAGATCTCCCCCCATTATCGGTAGTACGTGATCTAAGCCATTCTGTATGATGGGCGTTAAAGTCGCCGAGAATCACGATCTCTGCGGAGGGGATCTGCTGGAGCACGGAATCTGTAGCCATTTGCATGTGCTCAACGAGTCGTTCAGTTTCGGCATTGCCGCTATGAGACCTATACAGGCACGCGTAGATTCGCGGATGGTCGTCGCAGTCTACACGTAGCCAGAGGATGGATAGGTCCCGCCCTTCAAGGCTGCCGAGGCGACGACAGCAGATGTCTTCTCTGACGTACACGCACACTCCAGCCCGCGGTACAAAGGAATGCTCCAAATTATATCCCGGGTAAGAGAGGAAAGAGGTGTCAGTCGGGGACGATATCTGCGTCTCAGTAAGGAAGAGCAAGGCCGGCTTCGCCGTCTCAAGGTGGTAGTGGACGGCGTTCAAGTTGGAATTTAGCCCCCTTATGTTGCAGAAGTCCACAGCAAGTGTGAAAGGGGTAGCCTTATGTGGCCTGCTCCGCTTGCCCCGAACAGAAGCCGAGAGCGCAAAATTGCCCTCCCCAGAATTCGGAGGGCAGCCTGGGCACCCACGCTCAGGTAGTGTATGAGCTGAACAGGGATGCCCAGAGAGGGATTCTCCACCGCGATGTGCGCTGGTGGTACCCTCCTGGGGTAGTCTAACCGAATTTCGCACTATCATGTATTTAGTGGTGTGGGGGAGGGGCGGGGAGTGGGCCTCCCGGGACTCTCACTTACCAAACGAAACGCGACAGCATAGCTGCCACTTTACGCCGGACTTCTGTGAGAGAGTGGTACTTTACGGGACGTGCCGGCCCATTCGGCTGCTACCCGAAGGTAACTAGCATGGCACTACCACAGTTTTGGTTGACTGATTGCACTGGTGGAATAATCTCTGTCACTAGATTATCCCACCAGCGGGCGGTGGGGTCGTCACGTCCCGACTTCCTATAACATCAGATATCTTCCAGTGAAAGTCCCGTCAAAATCAGTCCAGCCGTTTCAGAGATTATCCGTAACAAACAGACAGACATAATTTCATATGCACTTAGTAAACGCTGTTATTTTGACATTACAAACAGACACTTCAATTTTATTTATCTGTATAGATCTACATTTGGCAGTTGAAAGACAACGAGTTAGTTGGCGTAGCGTTTATAGACACTCAGATATACGTACACCGGATGATGGCGGTGAAGAATCTGATCCTGGTGGGTGACGTGTACAAGTCCGTGTCGCTGCTGCGGTACCAGCATAAGCAGAGGACACTGTCCCTGGTTTCCCGGGACCTGAGGAGTGCTCAGGTGTTTATTTATTTATTACTAACACCAACAAGATATACGTTAAGAAAAACGCAGAATTATAGCATGCCCACAAGGAGTCTAAATGTTATCTTAATTATAGATGTTACACGCATTGCAAAGAAACACGTATAGAAATAATGGAGGACAATAGGTACGTGCAATAAAAAATGACATCAGACAAAACAATCAAAAATAAATAGAATTGAGTTAAAACATAATTTATTAAAATATTAAAAGAAAAATTAAAATTATTAAAAAAAATTACAACAGAAATAATAAAAAATTAATTATACTATGGATCAAATAACAACATAACAAATTAAAAGTACTAATATATTTAAATAAGTCGTATCAATAAAACAATTATCTTTAAAATAAAAATTAATTATTAAATAAACAAAATCAAAGTAATCAATCATACAAATTGCAATTATTTTTAAAATAAAAATTACGTAAATTAAATTTGAATTTAGAAATAGTATCATAAAAAATGTCAATGTGAGGTTTTGAGTTGATATGCTCACTATCGTTATTCTTATAAATAAATTTATACAGTGAATTGTAGCTGAGCATCATTCTATAAATATATATAAATATGTTGGAACATTAACACACAGCACCATCTAGTTCTATGGTAAGCTAGGAAGCTTGTGTTATGGATACAAGATACTTGATACACTACACTTATAAAAATTTAAATATGAAAAAAAAACACATATCAAAATGGCGTATTCTGGTTTTAGAACATACTTCACGAATCGTGATATATTTGACACATACAGCTTACGAGCATTGACAGTTTACGAATCAACGCCATCTACCGACTATATAAAAACAAAAATAGCCCGAATAATAATCGCTATAATTGAGCTGTCTAATTTGTTGCATGCGTTGGGATGAGACATCTATATTAGCGTATTTGATTCCCTCGCTGGTGTTGTGTCTAGCACATACGGTCGCAGATCCGGTGGTCCTGGATTCGAGTCCTAGATCAGGTCAAGTTCATTTATTGAGTTTTTTTGTTAAGAAATTCTTAGTAACAGCCAGGAGTTGGGAGGTTGGGAGGAGTTTCACTTTCCTTCCTCTCCTGCGTCATAACTCTCACATGTCGTATCAAAGTATCGTCCCATTGGACATTGACAGTGAGACGAATAGAGAGTGCACGTTGTGTCTGCACGTACACTATACACTATAATATCTCCTGCATCTGGCTACTAATCTCAGTGAGATTGGACGCAATAGTCCGGTATCGTTAAGAAGGACATCATCACCTCATAAGCATAAAAATATTGTGTAATCTGTCACCTGAAGTATCCTCACAAACAATTACACACACACACACACACAAACATACTCAGTCACAGATAGCTAATACCATGAAACATTGAACAGATATACGACATGGAGTTCATGGTGGACAACACGAGCCTTGGTTTCCTGGTGAGCGAGGCGGAAGGCAACTTCGCACTGTTCATGTACCAGCCGCAGGCGAGGGAGAGCTATGGTGGTGAGATAATTGCTTATTTCTTATATTATTTACTAGCGACTCACCCTTGCTTCGCTCGGATCCGTCCCTACGTACGTTTTAATTTTCTTGAGCGGAACCCTCATTCTTTTTCTAAAATAAAAGTAGCCTAAGTTAAGCCTAACATCAGCTATCAGCTTCCAGTGAAAGTCCCGTCAAAATCAGTTCAGCCGTTTCAGAGATTATCCGGAAAGTTAATTGGGAAGTGACAATATTTAATTAATTTATCGACAAAGATTTTCAAGGTTAAAATCTCAAACAAGAATATTTTAAAATATCGTTATTATCAACCCCATGTTTTACCATTTATTCAAAATAAAACATTTACACGTACTCTGTGTCGAGATCCATTATGTGACAAAGGAAGATATATAAACAAGATATGGCTACATATTTAATACTTTTTCTTTTTAAATTTTTATAAAAAACAATAACAATTTAAATAACGTACAAAAAGTATTTCCCATATAATGAATATCCACCATTTGATTTCTTTGACTTTTTTAATTTGAAAAGGAACGGTTTGACTAATGTCACTCGCACTGCAATGAATGAATAATGCTATGAAAATAGTATAGTCTACATAAGTGGAAGATAGGAGATCAAACTGAATTGTTTATTTACACAATTGTTTAATAATATACATAAACTAGCGACTCACCCCAGCTTAGCTCGGGTTCGTCCCTAGCTTTCTTCCCCATGCACACTTTCATCCCCATTCTCTCTCCTTAAGGGATGATTTCCGGGATAAAAAAATATTTCACTCACTCATTTTTCATATCATGAGATTTAAAAAAAAAATATTTTAGTAAAAAAAAAATTTTTATACAAAAATTGTCCTGACTATAACAAACACACAAAAAAAGAATTATCCAATTTGGTGCAGTCGATCGGAAGTTATGTGTGTACATACACTGCGGTGATTCATTTTTCTTATATAGATGTATGTTTTATTGAACAATAAAAAAAATTCTAACTTCTGTTTAGAATCTTTTTATTTCTCATTAAGAATAACAAATTCACTTACATGAGAAAACACATTAAATATTATAACATTCACTAAATGCGAGTACGTACAAGTTACATTTGTGAGAAATACATAGTATGCGGGTAATCCTTAAAAATAATACTTAAAACTACAAACAAGTTAACAATACAGTTAGAGCAAAGCGCTAAGAATAAAGAAATCATGGAAATGACAAAGACTACATTTTACTTTAAGTTTTTTAAGATATAATATTTTAGCGTTTTTTTAAATGTTGTAATTGTTTTTGATTCCTTTATATCTGTTGGTAATTTATTATATAACTGTGCTCCTTCAAACATAAGACTCCTTTTTCCGTAGTTAGTTCTCGGGGCGTATAAGACTAAGTTGTTGGCATTTCTTAGGAAATGCTTTTGAATTTGTTGTTTTTTAGTGAATTTTATGTTAGAATGTATATCTCCGCTCAGCACTTTTCTTATTAGCATACATGTATTATAGGTATATGTTTGCGTCACGCTCAATATATTCGTTTCTTTATAGATTTTCTCTGATGATGTTAAGAAATCATATTGAAATAAAATTTTAATGAGTTTATTTTGTGCAACTTGAATGGGTTTTATATTAGATTTAGCGGCTGAACCCCAGACTTCGATAAGGTAATCAATATGAGGTTTCGCTAATGTATTGTATATTATATATTTGACTTGTTTCGGAAGACATCTAACAAAATTTCTGACGGATCCCATGAGAGATAATAACTTTCCACGTAACTTTTCTAGATGTGGCTTCCATGTGAGATGACTATCAAGGGTTAGGCCAAGATATTTTTCACTTTTAACTTTATTAATTATTTCGTTATTTATTGTAAGAGGTTGGTAATTATTAATTCTTTTATTTTTGGCCGAAAATATTATATAATTAGTTTTTTTAGTATTTATTGTTAATAAATTATATTGAAACCATTCATTGAGTATATTAAGGTCATTCTGTGCTTTATCTATAATAGTATCAATAGAATTACCAAAGTAAAATAAACAGGTATCATCAGCGTAGAGGGTAATATCTCCATATAAACCGATTTCTTGTATATTATTTATATAAATAAGAAACAAAAGAGGTCCCAAAACCGATCCCTGTGGGACTCCACATGTAATTAAAGAAGGTCTACTTTGATTCTCCTTTATTTTAACTATTTGATATCGATTTTCAAGATATGATTTAAGCATTTTATGGGCATTACCAGTGATACCTATGCTCATCAATTTCATCAGAAGTATTTCATGATTAACTGTATCAAAGGCTTTTTTTAAATCTATGAAAATACCTAGAGCAATTAATTTTTTGTCAATGTTTATTTTCATTTTTGTTATCAGGTCGATTGTAGCTGACAGTGTGCTAGATTTTGGTCGAAAACCATATTGTTTGTCGTATAAAATTTTTGTGGCACCAAGATAAGATTCGAGACGATTGTATATCACCTTTTCAAATACTTTAGATAATACGGGTAAAACTGATATAGGACGATAGTTTTCAGGATCAGTTTTGGAGCCAGATTTGAATATGGGGGTAACTTTAGCTATTTTTAAGCTATCTGGGAAGGTACCTTTTTCAAGGCACTGATTAATGCATTTAGTTAGATTACTTAGAATAAGAGGTTTAATGAATTTTATTACCCTCGTACTTACTTCGTCAAAGCCTGTCGATGTATTAGAATTTAGGTTATTAATAATTTTTTCAATTTCTTCAGGAGTAGCTGGAGTAAATTCACAAAGATTATGGCATGTATTATGTCCTTTTGGTAGAGTGTAAATTGTATTATTATGATATTTTTATAACTTAACATTAAAAACTAAGCAATTATGACCTTCTTAAGTTTTTGTCATTCTTCTCTGTAAATTTGTTTCGAAATAAATGAAAATGTAATAAATTACACGATATATTCGCAGGTCAGCGTCTCATTAAGAAGGGCGACTACCACCTGGGCCAGCAGGTGCACGCCATGTTCCGCATCGCGGCGCGCGGCGCGCGCCTGCAGCGGCACGTCACTATGTACAGTCAGTATCGATATATTTATACTCCTTGCCTTTTTTATTGCTCTTAATTAGTTCAAGTATTACATAAGTATATCTTTAAGGAGTTTAGACCCTCTCCTCAACTGTATAAGCGAAAATAAAAAATCGAAGATCTTTTTAAAGTTATACTTTTTTGGCACGTTTGGAAAAAATACGAAAGAACATTTTTTACGAAATTATTATTTGTCACTATGTATAGTTAGTACCACTAGATATTTCATCATTATACTCTATTCACGGAGTGAACCATGAAAAGCGCTTTTTATGTCTCACATAGCATACAATCTGATAAGGACAGTAAACTGTCTAGCTCCACTAACAATTGCCACTGGTTTGACATCATAGGGCTTGTTCATGTTGCTAATGCTTTAGTGAGGAATTGTTAATAATTTGTAATAAAATAAAATCAACACTAAAGTAAAATTAACTGTATTTTTAACTATTTCTATACATTATTTATTAATTTTCACTTTTCGACGTTTCACTGTCATCTCCTATATTGATAATAAATGAGGTAACTACACTAAAGACGTGTGAACGGTACGGAATGCAACGACGGACTAATTATGATAGGAATTTTAATCGCGGCCTAAGCGTCTTATCTGCAACTAATCACGTGGAAGCGCAAAATCTCAGTGCTTGGTTCATTAGGGTGAAGCGAAAAAAAATGTATATCATTACATTATAAGTGTTATAGCTTATAAAAAAAAACAAAATTTTTGAAATAAGAAAAAATTTTTTACTCAACATTTTGAGGTGGCCCACTGGTTTTTAAAATAAATAATTCATTTAAATTTTTGTAATTGTTTGAATGTTTATTTCGCGTGATTATCTTTGAAAACATTCAAGAATTGACGAATATAGTCATTTTCTACTCAACTTTCAGTGCCAAGTGCAAGTTAGCGGACTTCAAATTTCTTTCGAAAACTTGTTACGTTCTCTCAGACATGTAGGTTTCCTCACGATGTTTTCCTTCACCGTTAAGACAAGTGGTAATCATGTTGTAAATGATTCGCACACGAGAATATCAGAGGTGCGAGACCCGGGCTTTGAACCCGCTTCACTCGGTTTCCTGAGCGAGCACGTTACCACTGGGCTAACACTGTCTTATAATCTAATAATGCCATTAATTTCCAGCAACTCTGGACGGCGGTCTCGGCTACGTGCTGCCAGTCTCAGAGAAGGTGTACCGCCGGCTGCTGATGTTGCAGAACGTCATGAACAACTACTGCTGCCACATCGCCGGCCTGAACCCTAGGGCGTATAGGTATGTTTGTTTTTTTAGGGTTCCGTAGACAAATCGTATTTTAAATAATCTTTTCGATTTTTTTTTCTTTTTAATGTTGGGACATTAACACACAGCGCCATCTAGTTTCATGGTAAGCTACGAGGCTTGTGTTATGGATACCAGATAGTTGATACACTACACATATATAAACTTTAAATACATACATATTATAAATATAAACACCCATGACTGGAGTACAAACATTCGTGCTCATCACACAAAGGAATGCCCCCAGCGGGACTCGAACCCGCGACCGCTGGCTAAGCAAGTAGGGTCACTACCAACTGAGCCAAACGGGTCGTCAACGGTTTTTCGTGGGTGTATTTTGATTTTTGGTCCTAGAAGATTTCAATGCTTTATAGCAATCATGGTCACGGGAGTGGGTTAAAGTGTTATGTTTACACATTATAATTTTGTTATGTTTGTTTGTTTATTTTTAGGGTTCCGTAGCTAAAAGTATGAAATAAAATACTTGTATTTAAGTTGCATTTGTTCGCATGTCATAGCAATTTTAAGACTATATTAGTAGGTTAAAGAAATATTTTTTCTGCATTTGACATGACATACAAAAGGATGACAAATGGAGATAGGAAAAAGAAATATCCCGATTATTATATCACAAATAAAGCATATGTATTTTGTATTGTATACATGTAGTATGTGATGTGTATTTTTTAAAATAATGCATATTGTTATAATCTTGGTTTGTTTGAAATTATGTCTATGTTTTGGTAGGTCAGAGAGTAGGGCCACATATTATATGTGTGGCAAGTGTGGAATAAAGACTGCATTTAATTATAACTGCATTAAATTAAACTAAATATAACAATACGAATATTCAACCGTATAGTTGCTATTTGTATGTATATATGTGTACCCCCCCGTGCGTGTCCGCAGGACGTACAAGTGCGCGCGACGCGCGGCGGGCGGCGGCGCGGCGCGCGGCATGCTGGACGGCGACCTCGTCGCGCTCTACACCTCCATGCCGCGCGCTGACCAGCACGACGTGAGTGCGACACCCCTCCCCTCCCCCCCACCACCACACCCGCACACACATATTACACAATACATGTAACTTCAATATTTAATCCCTCCACGACCGCGGACAAGCCGGCGTGTCAGTTATCAATAGATTTCTTAGAAATGTACCTGGAGTGGAACTGCTTCCGGAGCCGGCGGTAGCTTCCGCACGCTCTTTTGCTTTTTCCACTTCATACACTGACACTCTGTAAATTATATTGACGATTTAAAAGTGCTTGTATTAAGTTTGATTGACTAAAGTTTAATTTCATTACACGTATTGTTTTGTTTTAATATTTTAGTTGGTTTTTTTAATCCTTTATTTTTTCGTGCTAATCTTCTTTTATTTAAATAGTGAATCATTTCGTTAACTGCCTTAAAAATGTACATTAATGTTAACCATGCTTTAAGTGTTTGCAATATATTTTCGATAATTATTTATTATTTTACATAAAATATTTGTAACATTTCTTATAATTCCAGATCGCGAAGAAAATCGGTACTAAAGTTGAAGAGATATTGGCGGACCTCTACGAAATAGACAGACAGACTGCTCACTTCTAGTGTTTATGAATTTACTTGTAAATAAAAGTACTTTTACTATAAATCTTCTTTTTATTTATTCCCAAAAACTTTCATTTTTACATTTATTATATTATTCCTTTTTTCAGCGATTGTATTCAAATTCGTACTTGAATGTCTACTTCAAAACCTGATATCACCTTTTAAACTATTAGTAGGAAATCTCGATCTTTGTGGTAGACCTTCTTTTTCCAGGTGAAATATATTTTTTAAACCATAAAACATATTAAAAAATACGATCCAGGGTTGTCACCAAAAATTTTCTCTAGGCTATTTTTAATTTAAAATATTAATTTTATACATATTTTTTTAAGTACAAGAACTCTTTTCCTGTGACAACTTAGTACCAATCGAAAGTAAAAGACTTGTAGAAAATGCCATCATATGGATGGCGGCCTCTTTCGTATCCACATTATCTGACATCCAAGTATAAACATGCAAATTGAAGTAGTTTGCTCATATCATCATTCATCATTCGGAACCAAGTATCAAAATATAGATAATTAAGACATCTCCAGATTAGAGATTTTTTAAATTTAAAATGGCCTGGAGCATATTTTTTGAACTGAATAAATAAATAGATAGAATGTCATAGAACTGAACCTGAAGCCAATCAATGATTTTTTATCAAAAACACGTTTCGAAACAATATCCATATCCATACTAATATAAATGTGAAAGTGTTTGTTTGTTTGTTTGTTTGTTTGTTTGTTTGTTTGTGTGTCCTTCTTTCACGTCGAAAGGGAGTGATGGATTGGCGTGATTTTTTGTTTGGAGATAGTGGGAGGGCTGGAGAGTGACATAGGATGCTTTTTACCGCGGGAGATTATCTAATTCCCACGGGAAAACACGTTAGAATACATCCAAATCCCAATCCAATAAAATATTAACGATCAGAATTACTTGAAACTTGGTATTATTGCTCTTCAATAAAATTAAATAAATGTTTTAGCATTTTTCGAAATTTATCCTACAAGAGGGTAAAATAAGGGATGAAAAATTGTATGAAACTATCTTTTTAGAGATTTTTTTTTGTCGTTTTAGCGCGAGCGAAGCCGCGGGTTCCGCTAGTATGTACATATATTAATAGAATATTCAATAGATACAAGTAAAGAAATTTTAATAAAAAGATACAGCTAACGGAATCTATTATAATAAAGAAAAAAAGCTTATGCTTATGGAACAGAACTAATGCTTAAAAAATACAAGTAAAAACAAAAAAAATACTAAAAAAGTAAATTTATCTTCCTAAGTTTATTTCGCGTCTTAAAGCAATCTACACTTCTACACTAATATTATAAAGAGAAAAGATTTGTATTTTTGTATGTTTGTATTAATTATTTGTTAGTTAATAAACTCAAAAATTACAGGACCGATTTAGATGAAATTTGATAAAAGGATAGTTTGAGATCCTGGGAAGGACATAGGATATTTTTTATTCCGGAAATCATCCCTTAAGGCGGTGAAAATTGGGATGAAAGTTTGTATGTGGAATCAACCAGGGAACGAACCCGGGCGAAGCGAGGCTTAGTCGCTAGTATAATATAAATAACCAAAAATGATCTGTTTAAGTTTTTACTAGTGGCCGTATATAAAATTTTACTATCCGTCTCCTGGCTCCACCATTACACCAGCTTAGTGCAGCTTAAAACCCATACAACATTAGATATATTGTAATAAATGAATTTATTGAGGTCATCCGTGTGGTATTAATAATATATTTATTAAAAATTTAGGCCAAACATAATCTCCATTTATGAATTCGGTAAAAAATAGAATTCAATACTATATACACAATTGGAGAAGTTATCGCGTATCATACATACAAACAGACGAAAGGAAAGGCATTTCCTTTTTTAAAGTCGGTTTAAAGGATATAATAAATTTATTATACGAGTTACGATGTTATGTTATGTACCCGCAGCTGCATCAAAATCGGTCCAACCGTTTTCAAATCCATATAGAAACGCACAACATACACACATCGATCTTAATATACTTATTATATAGATAAAAATTCGAAATAAATAAATGTGAATAGTGAATACAAAGTGAAGTAAAAGAAAGACGTACTAAATAATTAACTCCAAAACACTGAGTATCTAGAGCTTGAATGTGTCGTCGGCGGAAACTGTACCTTTGTCTTCAGATCTGATCTCGATTAGCAATTGTGAACTGTCTCTCTGTAATACTTGTAGCGACAGCATGAAAATGTTTAATAGTTTTTTATTATCATTAAGTACTTTTTGTTACGTATTTGTTTATTTGACTGTCTCATTAGTTTAACATAGACACCTTAAAATTAGCTGGTTCTTGGTTCGAATCCCAGGTCAGAAATAAGGTTTTTTTCTATCATTAAAATCACAAAATCTTCAATAATGAGATTGTAGAAACGGTTTTTTGTTATTTTTTGTTATCGGTTGTCTGTAAGAGATCGTTTTTAGTGATAAGGCCGCCTTTAAACATGTGCTATATCTTTTTATAATGCACCATCTAAATGTGTAATAAAGTGCTATAAATCTATACATATAATAAAATTGTAACTAAGCCGAATCTGTACATTAAATATTTTTTGGAAAAACTTATTGAAATAGATATTATTATCGATATAGAGGCCGAATCTATAGTGTTTAGAATATTTGTCTGAGTGTCTGTTACCGCGTCACAGAAAAACCACTGGAGGATTTTGAGGAAATTTGGTATGGTGATAGCTGGTTATCCGGGTCAACATATAGGATACTTTTTATCGCGGGAAATATCTCAGTTTTGAGAAAATACAAAAATTGCAATGTAAGAGTATACTTTATATGTAAAACTTAAGATTTTGGTTTTTGGTCATCTGAACGCGGGCGGAGCCTCGGGCAATTCTAGTAGATTTGGTACATTTTTATTCCACCGAACTGCAATTGTGAGAGAAAGAGTGCACTTGTGTTTGCACACTATAATATCTCCTGCACCAACTTTCTACCCTTGCATTCACGCATACTATTGAAGCGCTAGTTAGACTTTTTCTACGAGTGACATATATTATTTTTATTTTTAAGAAGGCTATATACATTAAAAACTTATTTTGATAAAAATAACACATACCACCTGCATACATACAGGTGGTTATGTGGGACTTACCGGCTAGAAAGGCAGTACTATCCACTAAAACCTAACAAAACCTCCTCCGTCTTAATATGTCGCTATTGTACATAGCTCTTTTTTTAATTATACTTTTTTTTTGTAATACCTATTACTTTATATCTGTGTAAAAATAAACAGGACTCTGTTAAAGATTTTTCTTTAAAACATTTTTATTGTAATAATACGTTGCTTTCAGCGTTCATTTTGATTACAAATAAGATAAAAGATATTTTTTCTTTACAAATGTACAGACAGCACTCTAATTGTTTTCTTCCTGATCGCGATCAAATCTGCAATTGTTAAGAACTGTACATTCACTGCGGTAAGGTCAGAAAAAAATGTTTCTAGTATAATTTTAATGAATTAAATTTTTATATTTAATTTCATTATTCGATATTTAGTATTAAAAAAATCTTAAGAAGTTTCAGTCATATTAGCTTCCTTTTTATATAATACTAGCGGACCCGACAGACGTTGTCCTGTCTACACGTCTTTAATTTGAAAATTTCAAACTTTTTTTAATAATTTTTTTGATGAAAATTATTATTCAAATTGTGAATCTAAACCATTCCCAGATCCCCTTGAACACACACAAAAAATTTCATCAAAATCGGTCCAGTCGTTTGAGAGAAATTCAGTGACATACACACTCACAGAAGAATTATATATATAAAGATATCTAAAATACTATAAGCCAAAACAGTGTCAAAGTTTGTATGTATGTTTGTTACTCCTTCTTACTGATATGGTACGACGGTTTTGTTTGGACGGACTTTTAGTATACATATACATATAAACTATGACCTGGAGTAGCATATAGGCTTCTGTTAGGAATAAAGTTTGCTTAAAGGTGTCGCTACCCAGCGCTGGATTTACATTAGGGGCACTCGGGGCCAATCTTGCCCACGGCGGCAAATTTTTAGGGGCGGCAAAATCCGGAGGATGAGAAAAAAATCTCTTCGCGTTATCGAAAATGTGTTTTTTATTTTCCAAAAAATGATCAATTAAAAAAAATAATTAGTTGTTAAGCTGGCTTACGAGGTCTTCAATTATTATACATAAGAAAATAATTTATATAATTAAAAATTATCAATAACAGTTTAATTAAAATCTTTAATAATAAATTAATATAATAGGGAATAACTTGATTACTTCAAAATTAAAATGGAATGTTAATTGACTTCGATCAACATAGTACATTTTTTGAAAAATTGAAATCATTTTCAAATTATGTTTTTTGCAATAAAAAAAATAGTTTTTTTTTAAGTTTTAGCATTTTATTCCAAATTTCGATAATAGGTTATAAGGATTTTTTACTATGCCCAGGGGCAGGCGCTAAGGTTAACTCCGGCACTGTTGCTACCTGTTTATATTATTGTATTACATATAAGTAAATACAAAAGGTCCAGCGATGTGAGGGTAAGTCGTTAGTGTATACTGTATAGTTATAAAGTGATAATATTAGCAATTTATTACGTTTTTGCCAACAGTACTTCCATATATTCTGTTAGCATAGTTCCGGTAAAAGTACTTGTGTCTTATGTAAAATGCATTAAGGTTGTCTAGTTTTTGTTGCTATAATATTAATGGACGTGCGGCGGTTTCGTTACGTAATGCGAAGATGTTGAGCTTCATCCACCAATTATAGTCCAGTTGTTATAATATAAGTATGTATATATGTATTCAGCTCTTTTTAACGTCCCACTGCTGGGTCCGGGCCTCCCTTCAGTACGAGGGCGATCAGGCCATAGTCCACCACGCTGGCAAGTGCGGGTTGGCGGACGATTCTCTCAGAATAATATCAGTACTTCTAACATAGACCAAGATCTTAAAATATTTATAATTAAAAAAAATGGGAGAGGTTCTACGAGGCCTCAAAATGTAAAGTTATTCAAATAAAATGTAGCTTATTATTAATAGTTACCTACAATTGAATATATTTTTGTTTTTTATTTAAGCGTTTTATTTTAGAATTATTTGATTATTTTATGAGTAATTAATTGTTGATGGAAGTAGATCTAATTATATTACATTACCAAAGCTTCCATTAAGATCCCATTAATCTTACAAATATTATAAATGCGAAAGTTTACATCTTTGGATGTTTGGATGTTTTTTACTCAATCACGTCAGAACGCCTGAACAGATCTGGATGAAATTTGGCACAGAGATAGATTATAGTCTGGAATAGCACATAGGTTACTTTTTATCTTGGAAAAATGTACGGTTCCTGTGGAATAAGTTTGTTTTTCATTAAGGACGAACGCGAGCGAAGCGGAAGTAATTCGTTAGTAATTTATAAACCTTACCACACATTTCCAAATTCTCCGTTTTTGTTTGAATTTTCAATATTATTAAGTATACATATTCTCAATATAACCTCCTAACAACATAAATAATCCAATACATACAAAAGCTTACATTGTAGTGTGGCTGAACTCATAAAATATTTAGTAGTTAGCAGAGGCAGAACTGTCACTGCTACTGTTTAAAATTATTAAGTTTTTAGAACGTATAATAATTTACAGACCGCTTTAATATTTTTGATTCGTCGCGAAAAATAAAGTCATCAGGCCATTATCTTCGCTCCCAATTACAGTTCTTATATAAGGTTGACGTAACGATCAAACATATTATCTATTATTTTATTGCTGTCTGTACTTTTTTTTTTTAATTTTTGCTTCTGTGTTGTGATGAGGCAGGTTACTTGGCTGCATAACAGGTTATTAGTTCCATTTTCCACAAAAAAAGTTTCAAGATTAAAATTATATTTTTACATACTAGTGGACACGACAGGTAGATGTTGTCATGCTATAGACCTGGTTTGGTAATAAAAAAATTTTTGGCGAAGTAATCTATGCTCATCTAGCACACTTTGAATCTAATAACAAGAAAATTGAATTGGATTGAATAAAAAAATTGACACGACAAAAACAGCGCAACCTATCAGTAAGAAAAATCCAGGTGATCTAATCTTAGATTTACGCGAATGTTTGACATTTTTAAATAAAACTATCTTTTCGGATTATTTCACGGATTTATTTTGATTTTTGGTTCCCGACGTTTCGAATGCTTTACAGCATCCATGGTCACGGGAGAGACTAAGGTGTTACATGTCTTGAAGGTATAGTTGCTACAGACAGCCTACCCACAATTAACAAAATGACAATTGCAACAATTACCTTACAATATTTTTTAACTTTACACATTTTTATAATTTTAATTATAATTCCATGACCATTGATGCTGTAAAGCATTCGAAACGTCGGGAACCAAAAATCAAAATAAATCCAGGTGATCTCATAAGTACACGAAAAAATGACATTAAAATCGGTCAAGCCACTTACTTAGGAGGAGAAGAATTACGAACATACTCGTATGTACATATGTACCTACATCGGAATATTATATTATACAGAAGCAGAAAATAGAAGTGTAATCAATCAATTCAATTCTCTCGTTAATGGCTTCAAAACGTGCTAGATATGCACAGATTACCTCGCCAATGTCACGTAGAAGTAATGAATCAAAGGTGTGCATTCATTTTTTTGAAATTTATGTTTCGAACTAGCGATTTCTTATAATATTTCAGAAATGAGATATTTTCCTGCAAAAAATGTACCTATCCTATATGTTGACCCGGATAACCTACTATTAACATACTAAATTTCGTCAAAATCTTTAAAGTCAGACACATACCTGTCAAAATTCTAAAAACTATAGATTCAGCCTCTGTATCGATAATAATGACTAATATTTCAATAAGATTTTCCAAAAAATATTTAATGTCCTACAGATTCGACTCGGTTAGAATTGAATTACATATATATAATATAAATATATAGATATAATAAAAACCAAATCGACGGTTCTTAGATTTTTTCTCTGATCTGAGAGAAGGTGGGCAGATATGGATATGATATATAAAAGTTTTTAACGCGCTTTTGGTAGCTTCACTCATAATCTAATCTTGATGTCGGTTGTAATCTACTTCTAAGTGTCGATTTGAAACCGGATAACAATATAATATTTTGACATAGGCTGGTCTAATGATGGAGCTAGGAGGTCGAAGAACTCTTTATTAGCCACTAGCAAAACTTTCAAGCATGGGCTCATTTGATTCATTTTAACGGGTCTTATATATTACTAGCGACTCATCCTCGCTTCGCTCGGGTTCGTCCCTAGGTACATTTTAAGTTTTTTGAGCGGAACCCTAATAATTCTTATACTGATATAAATGTAGCCTAAGTTACTCCTTGTAACATCCACTACCTGCCAGTGAAAGACCCATCAAAATCGGCCCAGCCGTTTCGGAGATTAACCGGAACAAACAGACAGACAGACAGACAAAAATTTAAAAAAATGTGTTTTTCTTATAAATACCGTATATAATTCCATATGCATTTAGTAAAAAGATGATATTTTAAAATTACAATTTACAAACAGACACTTCATTTTATTATCTGTATAGACTAGCGACTAACCCTCGCTGCACTCTGGTGGATCCCTAGGTACGTTTTAATTTTGACATTACAAACAGATATTTCAATTTTATTTGTCTATATAAATTATTGTTGGTAAAAAGCATGTCTTAATATTTTTTATCCTATAGATAAGAGATTGAATTAAGAACTACGGCTTGAGCTACTTCTTCTATGCGCACCCATACAAAGCATTGGTCATGGTTAGCGAAGTAAAAAAGTAATCAGTGCTAAGATGTAAGAAAGATGCCTAGACAAAAAAAATCGTATTGTACAAACGCATCATATTAGTATTCAAGGTATTAAAATTCGCATTAACGTTTTTGTTGAAGAAAGATTTTCATTTTAAATTCATATTTAAATAACAGATTTTCAAAACTAGGTTTATTTTAAAAATATACCTATTGTTTTTAAAATATTATCAACTTTAAATATTAATATACACAGAAATATATTTAAAATGTATGTGTTAAAGTGTAGTAAAATTAGTTACTCAGTATTAATACAAAGTCGCATACAAGAAATAAATAAATAGGGATGTTATAAAATTTGCATACAATTAAAATCAAAAGCAAAGCTAAATTAGAATGTTAATAAAGAAATAAGAATATCTTACATCATAGAGACTCAGTGAGTGTAACTACAGCATCTATGTTAGAATAAAATGAAAAACAAAACAGCAATAATAATATTTTTCAACAGTCTTTAATGAGTAGAGAGAGCTGGTTATTTTTGACGTCTGCAGAAAAAGAGCAGGTACTAATTTCAGGTGATAATACTTTCTTAGATTTACGCGAATGTATGACATTATTAAATAAAACTATCTTTTCGGATTATTTCGCGGATTTATTTTGATTTTTGGTTCCCGACGTTTCGAATGCTTTACAGCATCCATGATCACGGTAATTGTGGGTAATTTGTTAATTGTGGGTAGGCTGTCTGTAACAACTATACATTCAAGACATGTAACACCTCAGTCTCTCCCGTGACCATGGATGCTGTAAAGCATTCGAAACGTCGGGAACCAAAAATCAAAATAAATCCGCGAAATAATCCGAAAAGATAGTTTTATTTAATAATGTTCAGGTGATAATTTTTACCTGTATGTTAAGCAATATCTCTTTACTAGTGACTGACCCTCGCTTCGCTCGGGTTCCTCCCTATATAATATATAATATGACGGGGACACTGCCTTGCCCCCCATATATGTATACAGGGTGGAACAAATCGATGGGACATGGAATAAAAGTACTTTAAATATTGACGTGATCATGATTTATTCAAAGGAAACATTTTTTTTTAAATAATAATAACTGCATTTTTTTTTAAAAAGCTTACCTGAACCTGGAGTCAAACTATATAAAAATGCAAAAAAGGTCACCGTCACTATTTTATTAAATTAATCGATAGGTTCTATGGAAAGGATAAAATCTCTCGAACAAACATTGCCTCTTAGAATTGAAGAAAACGATGAAATCGTGGAGAGCGCCTTGAGATAATTCCAAGCGATGTTAGGACAAGTTTCTAGTTAGTATTATAAATGCAAATGTGAGTTAGCCGATTTGATCTTCACATAGTAGTAACTTATAGTCGTCATTTATTTGAATTTGTGGTATTTCAGTCAGAGGTAAATGGCTCAATTTTCCTTGTTCATTAAATAGTTAGTCTTTTTTAAATCAAGACAGTAGTGACGCTAGTTGCCGTGCGAGCGGTCGCAAGTTCGAGTCTCGCTGGTGGTATTCATTTGTGTGATGAGCACGAATGTTTGTACTCCAGTTATGGATGTTTATATATTTTACAATGTGTATATATTTAAAGTTATATATGTGTAGTATATCAACTATTTGGTAACTCAAAACTCGTAGCTTACACTAGATGGTGCTGTGTGTTAATGCCCTAACATATTTATTTATTTATATATTTAGTCAAAATAAATTAATACAAGAACATAGCCAAAATAAAGGAGGTTAGCTAGTTTTCTTTTAATTTAACATTTTTATTTTTATCTCGCGTATTATTGTCTATATCATGATTGATATAAGGTTTTATTAAGATTGAGTCCTCGTCGGCTTATCTTTTAACGTCTATCATTAAATAATATTGATGATAGACTTCCTTCCAGTAAATAGGCAAAAAACGAAGATCTAGACAAACTTTTACTGAACTAGTTTTTAACTACAGTTTTTTTTGTTCTATTGTAATAAAGAATAATAATTTGCAGACAAACATACAATATATATTGTATATATTTAATATGTTTTTTACGTTGTATATAAAGAAAAATGCATCTTTTTTTAGATTACGTTTATATTATATGAATTATTATAGCTGACACTATAGGTATGGTTCTGTCCAAATCTTAATTTAATTTGTGAGCTTAAAAAATCCTGAATCTCAATAACAGCGCCACATATCGGCTGCAACTATAGCTAAGAACCGTCCAGGAAACCTATAAATATACAAAAAAAACATCAAAATCGGACACGCTGTTTTGGAGGAGATGAATAACAAACACACGCACGCTGGATTTTTTCTATATTTATTGTTAATATTCTGTAATCTGTACTGATACCGCTATGATTTATGAATGAATTATTTTTTTTACATTCGAGGAGTTCCTGAATTAAAATATCTTAAGAGATATCCACTTGTATTGTGTAAATATATCCATACTAATATTATAATTTAATGTGAAAGTGTGTTTGTTTGTTTGTTTGTTTGTTTCTTTGTCCTTATTTCACGTCGAAACGGAGTAACGGATTGGCGTGATTTTTTGTGTGGAGATAGTTGGAGGGCTGGAAAGTGACAAAGGCTACTTTTAATCGCGGGAGATTACTTGATTCCCACGGGAAAACACGTTATACATAATACAATCAAAAAAATACTTATTATCAGAATTACTTGAAACTTGGTATATATAGTTACTCTTCAATAAAATTAAATAAATACGTGTCTTAGCATTTTTCAAAATTCATCCTATAAGGGGGTAAAATAGGGTATAAAAGTTCGTATGAAACTACCTTTCTATAGATTTTTTTGTAATTTTAGCGTGAGCGAAGCCGCGGGTCCTGCTAGTTAATATTATAAATGCGAAAGTTTGTAATGATGTTTCATGTTTATTATTCAGTCACGCCAGAATAGCTAAACAGATCTAGATGAAATCTGGTACAGAAATAGGTTGTAGTCTGGAATAGCACATAGGCTAGTTTTTATCCCGAAAAAATGTACAGATTCCGTGGGAAAGATTTATTTTGTTTTTCACCAGAGACGAACCTGAGTAAAGTGAGGGTGAGTTGCTAGTTTGTTATATAGACACATATATAAATAAATATAACTCGCCAACAAAGTCTAAATTTTTATATAAAATTAATTTCAGATATTCATTAAATTAATAAAATGGTTATTCTATTATATTAAAAATCGCAAACACATATCTAAATATCTACAGTATTAAAAATAAAGTACTCAATTAAATATCAGGTGTATATCGGTTTAAAAAAACTTAAGTTCAATCATAACGTCAGTACATACATACATAATGCCGTAACTTCGTTATACGTGAAACCACGTGCTAGATACTATAATAAAATAACAAAATCTAATTTAAAATCACAAAACCAGTATAAGCCATGCATACAAAATTAAGGAAAAGAGAGCTCAGCTAATAATGGCGGAAAATAAAAAACAAATGAAGTAAATTACTTTTCAACCTGTCACTGCGGTATATAACAGCGGCCACCGAGTGTTGTGACATCAGTTACTTGTTCTGAAACCATAAGAAATGTGCTCTCTAAGGATTTATGTGAGTGTTAAAATATAACAGTTAATTTAAACCTCACTTAAAGTAGTGAATAGCTAAAATTAATTTTGTGTTGTTAATTTAAAACTCATTAAGGATTTTCCCTAGTAAGAGGCGGTATCTGGGTTATTTAAAAAAATATAACTTTTGAGGTCCAGTTTCGATATAGGATTTAAAAAATTTATAAGGAAGATATAGAATAGAAACACCTATGTTTATATGTGTGCTTGATATATAAGTCTAAAATACCTTACACAATTTTTTTTAATTCTAAGTAAAATTAAAGTTTCTTAAGATACGGGTTGATGGGTTTGATATGCCATAAGGATAAACCCTTAAAAACAGAGGTATAAAAAAGGTATCTTAGTCATATAATGGTTTGTAAATAATTGAACTTTCATGTATCGTTATAGACTATATCTATAGTAATGCAAAATTTTCTGTTTTAGTTAACTTTTTATCTCTTCACATAAAACTTTTTATGAGGAAACTTACAAAATAAAATGTTAGATAAAAAAAATTTCAAGCAAAGATATGAACTATTTATCTTAATTTTATTTTACAAGCTTCCTCTTAAAAGCGTTTTATTTGAAGACGATCAAAATTCCCAAAAATTACAGATTAGTTTAGAATACATAAACGTCATACATACAAAGTGGGTGTAAATCAGTATTGTATTTGACTCCGCGCTTCACGCGCGCAGGATATCCGGCCAGCTGGATAATGCTTTAGAAAATTATCTACTTTACATTTATATTAAAAATTATATATTTATTATTATTTTAGTCAACACTTAGGGAATAATTAAAATGTTTTTAACAGTATATTGTTATATAACATTCGAATCTTTCGATCTTTTTCTATCTATAATATAATAAAATTCTAACTGAGTCGAATCTGTACATTAAATATTTTTCGGAAAATCTTATTGAAATAGTTATTATTATCAATACAGAGGTCGAATCCATAGTTTTTAGAATTTTTGTCTGTCAGTCTATCTGTCTGGGAACGCATCACTATAAAACTACTGGACTTTAGATGTTTGGTATTACCTGGTTATTCGGGTCAACATATAGGATAAATTTTACTGCGGGAAAATATCTCATCTCGGAGAAATCTATACTAAATCTTAAAACGTAACTAGGGACGAACTTAAGCCGAGCGAGGGTGAGTCGCTAGTGTGATAATAAAAATAATCTTATAAATAGCCATAAAGCTCACCAGTTATAAATAATTTTATTCTTCGTAAAAAATGAAAGATGCGATTAAAGTTGAACGAATAAAATAAGATTATTATAATATATTTAGGTTTAAAATAGATGGTTATTTATAAATATTTTTATTATAAAATATTTAATAGACTCAAATGGCAAATAATACTTATTTAGTTTTATTTACTGATGTACCATATTTTTTTATCTAATTTTACTTTTATATAACACTAGCGACTCTACATCGCTTCGCATAGGTTCGTCCTTACTCCCTGGGTACGTTTTGACGCTTAGTATGGAATAGATTTTTTAAATTATTTTTTTTTCGTGATTTTTTTTCGATGTTTTATTAGTTATTCTGTTATTAGGGGTGAAAACAAATCCAACAAAATAAATATCATAAAAATCGGTCCAGCAGTTCTCGAGTTATAAGTGTTGTAACAAACCCTACTTTGTTTTATATACTCGTATATATAGAATTCTGTCGACGATAAAGGAAATACATTGAAATTACAAATATACCTAATTATATGACTATATTACAAAACAATTGTACACATAATATTATTACTGTACAAGTCATGTCCCCGTGGAATTGTTGCAAGAATTCTAACCGTATTTCCCCGCTGATTGGCAATGCCGAATCTTTGGGCAAAAAAGGCACAAGCACTTATCACCAGTAGAGAGAGGCGATAGAACGAGGTGTTATGTCATTTAACAAGCGTTTAGAACTTTGACTTCACGGGCCATAGGTTTCTATAACAAATGGTATAGAGACAAATTTTTGGCTAATACTTATAACTTATTATTTTTCTTATGACAGTTGAGATTGACAGTTATGACTTCTGTCAAACTGGTAAATGGTAAATCTATTCCAATGTTATTAAGGAAGCTAATATAATAGGCACTACTTTTGTTATCCAGGTGCTAGCAGCCGTGGTGATGACATCTCTGGCACTTCCACAACATCAAGAACAACAACAACAATGGATGCCATACAACAGTGACCTTCAACAATATTTACAACATTATGATCAACAGGTAAATTAGTTTCTTTCACCTGTTTTAAAAACTAGCGACTTTACCCAAGAGTATCCTATGTGTTTCTTCCCTCATAGTCTATCTGCATGCTAAATTTTATCCAAATCGTACACATAAATCTCAAGACTGTATTGTATTCAGACCTTTTTAATCGACTTCCAAAAAGGAGGAAGTTCTCAATTCGTCGGATTTTTTTTTATGTATGTTCACCAATTACTCGAAGACGCCTGAACTGAATTGGACTTTTTTTTGTTTCAAAGGGTATATATACTTCCCAGGTTGTCTCATATAAATTTTATCTAAATCGGTTGAGCGGTTTTTTAAAAAATCAACAATAAATAATTTTTTAAAATAATTTGTTTAATGGAATGTGATATTAAAAATGTTCTTCTTACAAATTACCTGCTTATTACGTCTACACTAAAAACTTAAAAAAAAACTGACTTCCAGGCATTAAAATGTAAAATAAAAACTTTTTAACAAAAAAATAAAAACCGACTTCAAAGAAAAGCACTAAAAAGTAAAAAATAACTGATTGGTAGTTTTCATTTACTATACATACCTAATCAAATATTTTCGAAGTCGGTGTGCTTTGGCTAAGTAATTAAAGCCTACCTATTAAATACATACCTAATCAAATATTTTCGAAATCGGTGCCAGCCCATACAAAGCAAAGCACACCGACTTCGAAAATATTTGATTAGGTATGTATAGTAAATGAAAACTACCAATCAGTTACTTTTTACTTTTTAGTGCTTTTCTTTGAAGTCGGTTTTTATTTTTTTGTTAAAAAGTTTTTATTTTTCCCTTTTTAGCGTAGACAGTAGTAGCAAAGTAAGAATTCTAAAGTGTTAGGCTTGTCAAATCAAACAAAATAAGCCCAAACTCAAAGTATCTACTATTAGTCGTTGAAGAGTTCCACCTATCCACCTTCTGGCCTTGCCATCAGATCAAGTCAACAACACCGAACCACTGTACTATCAACGGAAATAGAAATACTTGCAAAGTTTCAAGTCAATATGACAATTAGAAGTAGGTTAAATTCATCATTAGTTATTTTTCCACCCTTAGGGGTGGTATTTTTTTTTGAAATTTAAATGGGACCAATCTGGAAGTATACCCTTTCAAACAAAACAAAAATTTTCCAAATCGGTTAATAAATGACGGAGTTCTGAGGTAACAAACATAAAAAAAAACAAAAAAAAAAAAAAACATACAGTCGAATTGAGAACCTCCTCCTTTTTGAAGTCGGTTGAAAATAACTAAACGGAGGTTTTCATTCAGAATAGATACCTAATCAGATATTTTCAAAGTTGGTGCCAGCCGACAATATTTTAAGATAGGAATACCTAATAGATAAATATGTATTTTACATATCGAAATACATAGGTATATTAGATTTGCTTTTTAACATTCCACTTCTGGGCACGCACCCTCCAATACGAGGGGATCAACACTGTATCCTGTCTAAACTAGAACCATTAAAAGAGTCTGTAATACAAACTTTTGCAGGACTCGAACCCCCTGACCCCCTAAAGCCTGTCATAGCGACTATACTAAGTAGTCTTTATAAGGCTCTATAAATATTAAAGCATACATTTATTGCGAAGGCAAATAGGTTTTGAATTTCTAAAGCTCGACGCAACTCGATTAGCTGTACTAATATAATACGGCTCGGTTAATTGAGTGTATAATGTATATTCGAGGATTTAAAATGTATGGATTCAGATCATAGGATCGATTCGTATTTTGACCTTATATGTATATAAATTACTATTATTATAAATGAGAAAATTTATATGTTTGTGTGTTTGTTACTGCTTGACGCTGAAACAGCTGGACAAATTCGGATGAAATTTAGTAGGCGGATAGGCTATGACCTGGAATAATATACAGGCTACTGTTAGTAAAAAAATTGAAAAAAATATAGTATTTTGAATGCAAATTGCTAGTGAACACTATCATGGCAAAGAGTTAAGTTTGTAAGTTTGTATATAAGAGTAGAGGGAACTGATTTGTTTCTGAAAATTCCTTCAATAATATAATTATTAAGCTATTTTAATTGAAATTCGAAGAATAGTGTCGGCAATCCACCCTTATTTGCCGAGAACTTTTATAAAGTACACTAAAATTCACTGGCTCTATTTAACGTACTAGCTTACGTCACTCTCCAGTCCATAAAGTTTATGTGCGTCAAAAATTATGTCTATACTATGTTACTGTTGCTGGATTAAGAAAGGACAAATATAAAAACATTTTGTTTGTAAAATAAGTGAGAAAATGGATAGTCGAATATTGAATTGGGCTTATTACAGTATTATATACCACAGATATATAATTTATATTAGCTGTATTTTTTATTTTATTTTTTCATTAAAATATTTTTTTTAGTTAAGATGGTTCATTATTCATGCGTTTAGTAGTAATAAGTTAGGAAAAGTTTATACTATAATAATTTTGTGGAAATTATACGAGTTCAGTTTAGCAATTTAGAAGTTATTTTATTTTGAAAGAGCACTGGATAATTTTTAAAACCTACATCTACCATGTTTAGTTCGCAGGTTCGATTCCCTTTTCGTTCAAGATTCGCTAGAGAGCAAATAGTATTGATCATACAAACGCATGTCGCGTTTTTTTCACTAATTCACTAAACGTCTTCTAATATCTTTAGTCTTCTTTTTGAAATGTTTTGTAATTTTATAAGAAGTCAATCCTACTAATCTTACTAATATGTATTATAAATGCGAAAGTTTGTCAGCTCATACATCAGAATAACACATAAGCTATTTTTTATCGTGGAAAAATAAGCTTTCCCGTGGGATAGATTAGTTCTATATATACTGTACAGTATACATAGTTCTTTGTCTATGCCTTTGAACTCTATAAACAATATAGCATTTAGCCTATTTATGAACATTTTTCTAGAAAAAACAAATTCAAATGTAAGAAAAATATTTACAAAAATTCTGAAATTTGTTTATAAATTTTTTGCGTAAACAATTTGTTTAAGTTAAAAATTTTAAATATCGGAGAAAACTTTTTTATTTTTTTAAATTTTAAAAATTCGTAATATACTTTAGCTTCGGGTGTTTGGGTGTATTCTATTGGAACACATTATTTTTTGGTAGCCAAGTATAACACGCTCGCTTGAGAAACTAATTGAAGTGGGTTCAAATTCAGGGTCTCGCACCTCTAATATTTTCATGTGCGAGTCATTTCCAACATGATTACTACTTGTCTTACGGCGAAGAAAACATCGTGAGGAAAGCTGCATGTTTGAGAGAATCTAGCAAGTTTTCGAAAGACATGTGAAGTCCGCCAAACCGCACGTGATCAGCGCGGTGGACTATGGCCTGATCCCCCTCGCATCGAAGTGAGGCCCACCCCCCGCAGTGGGACGTTAAAAAGAGCTTGAGATTTTCGTCCCAAAAATACAATTTTGGTTACAATATTTTGGACATAAATTATTTTCTTCTACATTTCTATTGGACTCTAAATAGATTTTCGAAGTATAAAGCAAATTGATAAATAAATGGACTACTACCTATAATACGATATCCTATTGTCCTTCTAAATAACATCTGTTCGTTGCATTATTAGGATATTCGTAATTCTATCTGTCGTTCAATGAAATTACAGGTGATAATGGTAAGGTAGATAGGTACTATCGATATATTTTGTTGTGGATTACTCAAGGTAAAATATATTACGTACGCCTTCAAGCAAATAAATATTAAATACAAGATTTTTAAACAGATTTTAATCTAATTATTTTCTTTATATTGAACTAGCGGCTCACTCTCGCTTCGCTCAGGTCCATTGCTAGTGAAAAATAAAAACAAATGTATTCCACAGGAATCGTATATTTTCCGGGATAAAAATTGTAACCTATGTGTTATTCCAGAATATAATCTGTTTCTGTGCCAAATTTCATTCTGATCCGTTCAGCTATTCTGGCGTGATTGAGTAACAAACACCCATACATCCAATCTTTCGCATTTATATAATACTAGCATTGCCCGCGGCTCCGCCCGCGTTCAGATGACCAAAAACTAAATTCTTAGGTGTTACATATTAGTATACTCTTACATTGCAGTTTTTGTATTTTTCCTCAGAAATAAGATATTTTCCCGCGGTAAAAAGTATCCTAGGATCGCGCGCTACATCGCCCGGTTTATATAGCTTGAGCAGGCGGTCGAGCGATGCGGGGCAGAGGGGATGGACTCGCCGTAGGCATCTCAATGCTCGCCAAGCATTAAAAATGTTTCGCTACTAATTACTTCTAACAACGATATCTCAAAAACTATTCATCTGATTGATTTAGTGTAAAGAGCAATTTTAATCTGCATTAAATGACTAAGCTAACTAAAATATTCATTTGGATAAGGATTAATACCGAACTAAAGAAAATAACTTTGAAAATAACGTAATGTTTTTAATTAAAAATGTTAACATAAAAGTGGTTATTGTAAGTCAACCGTAAGAGATAGAGATATGCTATCGCGGACTTTTTTGTAGCATTTTTATAGATTTTGAATTCTCTAGTACATTACTTAACTGTATCTTTGCTAGTTTACGCGGCGTTCGCGTGGAAAGTTCCCATTTGGCGAGATTTTTTGCGACCTCTTCAACATTTGTCGCCGTATTTCAGCTAATTTACATAAAAGCATAATAAATTATATACCTAAACCTTCCTCAAGAATTACTCTTTCTATTGTTGAAAACCGTATAAAAATCCGTTCAGTAGTTTTCGAGTTTATCGCGTACAGACAGACAGGAGGACAGACAGGAGGACAGAAAGACGCGGCCGGGGGACTTATTTTTATAATAAGTACTAGCGGCTCACCCTCGCTTCGCTCGGGTTCGTCGCTAGGTACGTTTTAAATAGATATAAAAAGAAAAAATCTTTCTTTCTCACATTTTAATTATATGTTTTAATACTTACCTATTCCGGACTAAGAGAAATCCAAAAATTAAAATATCATAAAAATTGGAACGCG